TTTTGAGGGTACAGCATCCGAGAATGACAAGACGACGGGAGGTGAGGGCAGCTTGGGGAGCAGGTTTGCGCTCGGGTTGCGAATCCAGCGACTACTGACGCTGCCGGCCGGGTCTTCCTCGTCACCCGACGAGTCGCTGTCGCTGTCGCTAGCACTATCCGATGACGATGCCGCGTCATTTTCTCCATCTGCTTCGGCATTGTCCTGCACATTCTCGTCTGAGCCGCGTAAGACCCAGGTGTCGATGTAACCGGCAATGTCAGCGACCGCAACCATCTTCGAGTCGGAAGTGAATGAGATGTGGGTGATGTTTCTCTCGTAGCTCCTCAATCCTCCGTTCTTGATGTATCGGGGGATATGGCGCCGGAGACGGGGAAGCCGCTGCAAACGAGAAGCGAATCTTGGTGGTTGGTCCGGCTCATTGGTCTCCTCCAGGCTTGCCATGACAACGCGAGAGCCTTCCCTGACGACACAGAGCCATCTTCCATCTGCAGAAAGCTCCACCTTTGAAGCACCATGATTCTTGAGCTTCTCTGGGATCTCAAGCGCAGACAGTTTGACATCTGAAGGCTTGATCGGGTCTTGGTGCTCCAGCCGGAAGGCTTTCACATCTGTTGTGGTCGCGACAACCAGGAGAGTGCCCTCCGGGTTGATTGTGGCAGAACTGATATTGGAGTCGCCCTTGATGACAATCGTCTTGAGAAGTTTGCGGTTTTGGTTCAGATCAAACTCCTCTCCAGTCGTGTTGAAGATCTCCGTAGCTGGCTTTCGCAGAGTCCAGATATGAACCTCCCTATCCCACCAGCTGGTTATGAACCTTGCCTTGCGTGCGCTCGCAAGGGGCGGCTGCTGTGGGAGATTGCTGATTGTTCGGTGGTTTTCGCGTCCCATTTCCTTGAGGGGAACAAGCATGAGGTTTGAATCAGGACCTGCGTAGGTAAAGTCAGCCATCGATCCCTCCAAACTGTTGGATCATGATCATCTCACCTCCAGTGACTACAACGCTCATGCGGCCGTTCTCAAACGATGCCATGGTCTTGACGTCGTGGTCATGGTATCTTCGTCCCCAAACCTTGGTCCAGCGATTACCCGCTCCCACGTTCTGCTTGTACAGAACGGTGCGGCGATCCATGCCTCCACTCGTGATAGTCGATCCATCAGCACTGATAGCGAGACTGAGGACATCTTGCTTGTGACTCTGCAGCCTTTGAGACTGTGTGTAGGTCCTGCCATCCCAGATGCAGACTTGGCCTGTAGAGTCGGCCGAGACAATATTACCGTCAGGCAGGCACTTGACCGACCACACGATGATATCTTTCGAGCCTCCGGCCAGATCGGCGCCCAGCGTCATGTGGCGCAGCATGTGGCCCTTTGTAACGTCGTAGATTCGAATGGTGCTGTCTGAGCAGCCCACGACTGCGATTTTGCGGGACTGGAACGTGATGCTGACCATCTGCGCCTTCTTCGTAGGGGACCGTACAACGACTCGTTGGAAGCGCAGGTCATCGTCTTCGATCGAGTACATGGCCAGCTCGCCGTGAATGGTGCCAGCAATCAGCTTGTTGGTGTGCAGTTCGTCTGAGGCTCCGGTCAGCGCGGGAGGCTGAGCGGCCAGGCACCAGATGTCGCCATGCTGTCCGCTTGCGTGCCTCTTGGGCTTGCCCTTTTCGAGATCCCACTCGGTCACCGTAGAAGTATATCCGATACTAAAGAGACGTGACTTGCCCACGACGATCCTGCCGTCGCCCAGGTCCTGGTTGGGCTCGTTGACCCAAACAAGACCATCGACGCTGCGATCCTTGCCGCCGCGAATGACCAGCTCCTGGTGCCATTTGCCATTTGAAGGGTTCCAGATCTCAATGTCACCGTTGGCTCGTCCGACTGCCAACCGCGCAACAGCGCCCTGCTTGGCAGACTTGGTCTTGGGGTGGGAGAAGGCTACGGCATTGATGGCCGAGGGCTTGTAGGGCACAAACCGGCAGCGATGGATATCCATGGCGGCGATGGATCCAAATTGCCGTCGACTTTCGAAGCTGATTTGAACCACTGCCAATGCTCGACGCGCTTCCAGACAAAGAATTGCGCCAAAGCTGCGAAAGGATGAAGCGCAACGCCGTCGGTCGTGATGCTACAAAGGAAAAAAAAAAAAAGTTCCAGCCTTGCTTGGAAATTTTTTAGGCCTGGCGAATTAAGCAGCGGCCCATGCACGGCTGCCCCTCCACCCCACCAATAGTCGGCCTGTAGCAGCGCCTCGTCCGCTGCAAGACGTTTTGGTCCCCTATAGTTCTGCTATAGTGAATTCGATGCATTTGATCACTACAGCCTTCACGTTCATGAAGGCACAAGATACCTCCTTTTCCGTAATTCACCTACATACGGATACCTTACCTTGCTATAGGGCCTCGAACTGCGTCACAAGTAACTTTTCTTTCATCTCGAAATTATGTCATACTACTATATGCAGCCCCATCTCATGCACATGTCGGAGTAGACAAGATGAGGGCACATTGTTGGAGGTATCTCCGACTACAGAACTTGCTTGACTATACATATTGCCGGACAGCCTCACAGTGATGTGTCAGTACCTAAGGTAGGTAGGTAGTAGTTTCCTCGAGACCGGTGAGGTACTAGATACCCAGTAGGTACTTGTACGCTCATACCTTGGCAGCCAGCGGATGCTCAAAAGGTTGGTGCAGTTGAAGAAGCGGCTTCTCTGCTTCCAATCCGCGACTGCTTCTTTTCAGCTTCCCTCTTTCCCTCCTACCAGATAGATCCCCATATATTAACCTATGGAAGGAACATCCGCAAGCTACCTAAACGTACCTCACACAACAGATACAATGAGAAGGAGCTACCTCAGACTGTCTCCAGCGAGACGTGACCGATCAATGTCTCCAATCACTTCGCCAACCTGATCTTCACTCCCTCTCTTCCATCTTGACTCGCCTTGTCTCCTCAAACATTTCCGCTCCATACTTCAGAACTCTGGCAACTTTTTGGGCGCTTCTTTTTGGAATCCAGTTTTGGCTGCTCTTTTGGAAGCATCGTAACTACTTCTCGGTCGACTTACCTCCCTTTCAACTCCAACACGTACAACACCATGACGAATCAGCCTCCTGAGAGCATCGGCCCCAACTGGCCACCTCACAGGCTCTCTGCCGTCCGGCGGCGGGCACTGGTCCTTGCTGGTTTGTTTATGCTGTCTCTCTCTGCAACTCTATTTGCCAGGCTCGTTACGATCGAGGTGTCAACACTTGAACAACAGACTCTTGTCAAGCGGCAGTTCCAGCTCGGTGGGTTTCTGGGAAGCGTGTTTCGAGAGGTATTGAACTCATTTCCTTTATCTACTGTGTCATCATCACTGAATAAACAAAAGGTTATCGGGACCAGGCCTATCGAAACACCAGCGGTGGCTCAACCTGCGAAGCAAGATCCCACTGCCCCTTCATGGACAGCCAGCGTTGTGATCGAGACGTCTGCAGCAGCAAACAGCCTCCCTGAACCTCCAAAGGAACACACGCTGGGGGCACACAAGTCGAATCATTCTGGTAGTGATCCCGATCAATTGCTGGAAACCTTAGCAGCTGCAGTCAAGGAGGCAATTGTGAAGTCCAAACAGCTCCCATCAAGCATGCCAAACCATGATCAGAAGAGCGCTCTATCCGAGATCATTGTCAGCCAGTCCAGTTCAGAGCCAGTGTTACTGGACTCTTCATTTTCTTCTCCTCAAGCACCGCCTCCAAGTTCCGAGAGGAATCATCGAAGTGCCCCCGAAGGGCTTCTCGGTGGCTTCTCTGGGAATGGACTGGTGCTGCGAGTTCACAATGCCCGAGCAACGGCAGATGAGCCCTCTTCTGACTCCCTTGCCGACCGTCCCTCCTTCTTGAGCGACGTTTCCAAAATCATTGCAGAGATATCGGATATCGATCCGATAGCAGCTGCCAAGCTCACGGATACAATCCTCGACGCACTTCATGTTGACTCATCCGCCATTGCTTCAGCTGTCCCAAAGGTGGCCAACCAAGCTTCTGTTTCTGCTGCTGATCTACTGCCTCTCGTTATACCTGCTGTTGCGCAGGCCATGGACCAACCCCTGCCGCAAGTGCCTTCAGTGAGCTCATTGGACATGGCAGAAACTCTGGACAAAGTCCTCCAGCAAGGGACGACAGTCATTAACGATCTCAGCAAGGGCATGCAAAATATCACTGATCCGTCTCTTCTGAGTGTGTTGAATGAGCTTGCTATGATTGTTGCCGCTGTTGCCAACTACCTGGAAAAGCCTCTTTGCGCTGTTGATCGGGTTGTGGGCAAAACCTCCTTTGAGGCAGTTATACCTTGCGACTCCGCCGAAGCACAGTCCCTCAATGCGACCGATCAGCTCACAACATTAGCTGCACCTATGCTGGCTGATCCAACACATCATTATTCCGGTTCAGGGGCGAGCATCACAATGGGACAGCCTCCCCCATACTCATCGGTGAACCAGGCGCCATCACCGAATCCAGCTTCTCCATCACAACCTGCGGCAGAAGGTCCATCGAAAACAAGCAATTCGTCGCCCACAAATGGAGAGGATGGAAACAAGCCTACATCGAATGAAAAAGGTGGTGCTCCGGCCGAAACACCCTCGCCTACTTCGGCTTGTCCGCCATGTCCATCTTGCGAACAGTGCAATGCCAAGATCTGTTCTGTGAAGGGCCCAGATGGAACAAGCGACGACCAGCCACCTGATGCTTCAATAGGCCCTTGCCCTGGGAGGGGCTACAGGTGTGACGACTGTCTTGACGGGTGGTTCTGCCCTCCACAAGAAACACCGGCGCAAGTTGTCCCTTGCGGACTCGGGTGGCCATGCTACCATTGTTCAGAAGGCTGGTTCTGCACTCCCGATGCAACGCCTGGTCCAACGTCTCCTCCAAGTGCCGCGGTAGAGCCCTCCTCCGAGGTCACGAGAAAGCCAGGCACAAACAGCGCTGCAGCTCCAACGGCGCTTCCCACTGCCGGTGGTCCTCCCAGTGCCGATGGTCCTCCCAGTGCCGATGGTCCTCCCAGCGCCGGTGGTCCTCCCAGTGCCGGTGGTCCTCCCAGTGCCGGTGGTCCTCCCAGTGCCGGTGGTCCTCCCAGTGCCGGTGGTCCTCCCAGTGCCGGTGGTCCTCCCAGTGCCGGTGGTCTTCCAGCCGGCTGGGATCCTCTAGGTTGTTACCAGGATGAGATTTCAAGAGTCCTGCTAGACAGCAAACACGTCAGTTTCGTCCAGGGAGACATGTCTTTAAAGGCGTGCGCCGACCACTGCCAGTCTGGCGGGTATGAGTTTGCTGGGACAGAGAATGGGAACGAATGCTGGTGTGGAACTTCCCTTCGAGATGATGCTGTGCGGCTTCCAGATTCGCAGTGTGACGAGCCTTGTGTAGGCCAGCCAACCGAGAACTGCGGTGGCAACTGGACAGTGAATGTCTTCTCTTGCTCAGACGAAACTGGGCCACAAGCACCAGATACGCCAGCCGGCGGGTTCATGTACCGGCTCCTGTCAAGCTTCAGAGGCAACGGCAGAGGCACAATTCATCATTCCACCTGAGCCGTTTCCATTGTCTGAGAAGCATCAGCCTCTATGTCGCGAAGGGACTTGTGAACAGCAATCGACTTCGAATAATACGTCTATCATTTTGATGGGTTTAGCAACGTTTAAGGGGGGTTTGACTCTTGAGCATTGGGGAAATTTTTATGTTTACTAGCTGGACATCATTTCGATGGGGAGGGGCTTGATGTGTATAATATTTGGCTTATGGTGGACTATGCGCAGACCTGAGAAGTTAGATTACGAATGGCATATATCAGATTTACCGTTTCGCAAACAACTTTCGCCGTGTGATATGACTGACACGCCTTCAGTACCATCGGCCTGTTGCGTCACTGTGCTAGGGGTGTTCCTGTGATGGCATAGCATGAACACATTTCGAAAGAAGAGTGGGAGTCTGCTGACGCTGTTCATTGACACAATGTCGACTTTCTCATCATATCCATCCAGTTGAAGCGGTCTGATCTAGGGGCTTGGTCGTCATGTGGAGTTTCCACAAACACGCCCGCTCAGCAAAATTCTGGGAAACCTCTGAGCAATGTGTGAAGAGTCTGCTCCCCTGATAAGGCGGCTATCCATTCCATGTGTTTGCCATTCCATGTCGTGATCCGTACTTTGGTACGAGGCAAGGTACCCGGACCCAGCCTTGTGAGCACTGTATCACCACCCTCCCGACCTGCCCTCTTGGCAATTGTTCCATCGGCCTTCTTCCAAAAGGGCCACGTCACGGTGGTATCCCGAGACATTGGCCCAACCAGCTGGGACAGGAGTCTTGGGAAGGGTTGCACAGAAAGGGGGACGGGTATCACCACCCCCCTTCATGCTGTGGTTGCTGGCAGGTTAGGCGAATACGACTCGCAGCAATGGATGTTTGTATCACTGCAGGGTTTCTTTCTTTTCTTTCTTTTCTTTTTTTTTTTTTCTTTTTCCCTCGGTGCGACGGAGAGGCTACGTGTGATATGTAGGTATGTATGTGCCACAAATAGTTCGTATTTTATTGATAAGGCTCATATGATATAGATGGCAGCATGCAGCCAAGGAACATATCTCACCTTCTTCTGCACTCTTCCGTGTCACTCGAATACAATTTGCAGCTCGTCATCTGTTGTTCTATTGGCCCTAGAATGCCATCAGCCGTTCTTTTTCACAGGGTAGCAAAAGGTTGTGCAAACGGCGGCCGGCTGCCTACCCTGCAGTAAATTGCGCATTCGCCGGCAATTTTTCTCACTCAGACGCCATCAGAAACCTTGGCAGACAGGTCACGCCGCAACACCACATGTGGCGGTATGTATGCCAAGGAAAAAAAAAATTGAAAGAACCGGTGAGGAAGAATAAATGCTCCGAAAGCAAGCAATTTACAACTATTACTAGTTCACGGTTTCACGACCAGCTCGTTCGAGTTGAAGGTCGGTACGCGTACTCGGAGGTCCATGATTTGGTAATCGTTGTGGTTTACCGAGGTCTAAGGAGTCTCGGACTAAAGGAGACGTCAGGCGTATATAACACCAGCAAGCGCCAAAATCCACGACCATCAGAAGCTAAAACCAGCCATGTCTGCTTGGCGTACTCACCGTCAATATGACATTTGGGGTAGCTGCAGGACTCAGTGACGCGGTAGAGACCCCATCATCGTCGACTGACTCCGCATGCAAGCGACAATCACGGTTGGAGACGGTCGAGGCGAGAGGCATGTGAGCTGCTTTCTGAGCTGCCGTGGGCAAGGACACAGCCCGTAGGACCCACGACTGAACGAGCGCTCTCGGGGAGCACAAATGGCTTCCGGCCGGAACACGGCATCTCAGGAGCGATGGAGGGAGGCATGTTCGTTTGCTCGAGTATTTCGTGTCTCGTACAGGGGAGGATCGATGTAGGCACGAGAGAAGCGACAGAAGAAGCTCATCGCCGTGTAAGTGACGATGGCCGTAGAAGGACTGTATCAGACGCAAAACGAGACGTAACTCGAGAGCGTAAACGCCCGCAACTTTCCCCAAGATCAACAAGGGTGTCTTGGAGAAACTCTAGGCGGTCTTGGCTTTTTCCCTTCCTCTTCAGCTTCGTAAACATTCGGCCACGGATCGACTCGTACGAGGGCGCCTCAACCCCACGTTTCGCTAGTTCGATGAGCAGCCCATTTCCCGCTCAGCCGATGACTCCATCGATGCCCGTCGCCTTGGGTCTATTGCGGGTAGCAAAGCAAGATGTGTTTCGTGCGGGGGAGCCGATGCTGGGGAAGCGGGTTGGAGACCCAAATCTCGACAGATCAGAAATCCCGAACACCGAATCTGGGGGAGATAAGATGCTTAGTTCACCCACACGCTAGAGTTGACAAACGAACAGCCTTTTTGCGGGGGAATCGGGACCTTAAGCAAGCGCTCTCGTCGTAGCAAGCAGCATAATTATCTTCCATCCTGACAAACAAAGATGCGTTGTGCAACCCGAGCCATTTCGTCATGACTAGTTGATCGATCTGGCAGGTTGGAGATCTGCGACTGTGCCCCAGATGACGATTTTGGTTCGTGCGGAGGGAGAGGGGCCAAGATCGTGGACCAGCAACTAGAGGGCCACGACACCAAGGCGAATAGCCCTTCAACCGACCATGGCGAGCGCCCATCTCTGTTGCGTGATAAATCAACCGGCGTGGCGGGTGGCTGTCGGTACGCACGCAAATACAAGCTTGCTTCTTCGTGCCCGCTCACATCCACGCCACCTCCAGTCCCGAGCCATTTGCTGCGCTGCAGTGACGACATGGTCTGATTGGAAAAAAGCCACAGTCAGAACACTGAAGCGGCTCGCACCAGGGGAAGGGCTGACATCGATACTGTCTCGAACGGCGGTGGCAGTGTTTTCGCTTCCTGCTCCTCTGACTGCTTGCTTGTAGAGAGTACGATGACCTCGTCGTCAAGCCAAATGTTGCAAGTAGTACTCGTACCTGGAGAAGCGACCCGGGCACACGAGCGAAACGCCGGGACAGGACGTGATAGTGCGCCGAGGCTTTTGAGGGCCATGAAACGTACGAGAACGTTCCGAAGATCTCAACTTGAGTTTCATGGCTGGCTCTCCCGACTGATGAGCAGACATGAAGCTCTGACGGTCGATCGTGCCACTCTACTCTCCCCTATGTGGGCTTGGCGATATTTGTAGCATGGAGACAACCACGGAGGCGTCATGCAGTTAAGATGAAAAGAGGTTTGGCGGTAATAATAGTCAGTCATGTATTCCGTACCAATGCATGGTGCCGCGCACGAGTTGCAAACAAGCTCTCCTGAAGAGATGGCGAGGAGGGGCTCAAGATGGGGGCGAGGAGCTTGCTGAACGATCGTATGAGTAGCTCAACAGCCGTACACCCGGAGCTCCTCTATTGTCTCCGTCCCAGCAGCCAGCTTTGCCAGCCTCCATGCTACTACTGTAGTTCCCCATGGACATTTGCTATCCTCCGACGATCCGCAAATCATTGATTGACTCGACTCTGATGAGGAAGGGTGCGGGACATCAGGCGGCGTGTTAGATTAGCCGCCTCCTAGCGAATTCTGGACATTCTTGCGAATCCCCCTTCCGTCGCCGCTGGCCATACGGACAAGGCGGCTATCTCCCTGTGAAGGGAAAATGAAGATATGCGCGAGGCACCAGCATCGGTGGTATCTGCACGGAGTAATATGGCGGGACTCCACAGTGTTCGTCGCAACCGAAGACAGACAGATCTCTGCAGGCCCCTTTCCATCCTCTCCACAGGCCGACAGGTTCCTGGAACGAAGAGGCCGGGAGGATGATTAGATGATCAAGAGCATCGAGATTCACAGTCGATATATTGCCCACGATGTGTCATAACGCTTGTGGCCGGAATGGAAGAGACTGGCAAATCATACTGTAATTCCACAAAAAAGAAAGGTCAAGCACGCGCTCCCAGCCTTCTGTGCTTTTTATTGTCGTTTGCTTTTTCTCTTGTCGATTGACTCTGCTTTGACCGATTGCGCATGGCAGCAGCAGCGACAGCAGCAACAGCAATGGGTTGCGCGCTTGGACCTGATCCTGGCTCGACGATGCAGAAGCGTCATGCAGCATTTGATTAGCGACCCAGACAATGGCCACCAGGCTTGACTCGCGCACGGAGCTCCTGTCCGAATGGAGGCATGGGCTCGACTTGAGTTCTCTGGCGATCCCCCAGTACCGCTGCCAAAAGCACCAGGCAAACCAGGGTCCGTCACCGCATGGAGCTAGCATCCCTTTGCCGGGCGTTCGAGTGGCGGACAGGGGGGAGGGATCAATGTTGGTCAGACCGGGCCTCGATTGCTCGGTGATATTTTTGCGTGCCATCGAAACCGGGTGCTGCTTGTTATTGCTTCCATTGCGATGTGGCCAACCTGTAACTTGCCATGCGTCAGCTACTATTCTGAGGTTGGTGCACCGTGCCGCTACCAACAGCACTTTGAGCCGCTTCTACCATGAGTGATATTCGCATTGATTGTCAGGAGAATCGTCAACGACGTGGACCCGCTCGCATTGGACCAACAACAACAGCAATTTCTACATGCTAAACATGTGTGTATCCGTTAGCATGCCGCGCAGGAGACAGGAGACGCTTCAGGAGCCAGTGATGGCCATTGGGGGTGTGTTTGGATGCTTACCTTTACAGGTACGCAGTTGCGAGCGGCCTCTCATTGGAGCCAGGCCGGCCGAAAGGGAGTGTGATCACATCTCACCATCCCTTCTAATTGCTTCTTCCATCGCGGATCTAGCTACGAGTATTACTTCGTGGAGGCTAGCAGATGGGCCCTTTCGAGAGTACGAGGTACGAAGTAATGTACGGTGTACGAGACTTCAACGGCTGGCCAGCAGCCTTACGAGCGGACTGCGTATCGACGCTTCTCATTCTCTTTCTGGCCAGGCCGTAATGATTCACACCTTGCAACTGCTCGTTCGATGTGCATGGGCCTCGCCAAGCCTTGACACGTCCAATTCCCACAGCGACCACCAATCCTCTCGACTGTTGTTGGTTCTCGTCGTCGGGCTCGGTGACACGCCCAAATAGCCTAAACTCTGAAAAATTTCCAGAAAAGCCTGGGCAAAAGTGGCTGGCCAGGCTTGGCCCTAATGCGTTGTGGCGGCCTGTGCCGGGGACAAGGATGACTTTTCCTCTCTCGTTCTCTCTTGTTTTCTCGCCGTCTCGCCCTTTCACCGTTGCGCCCACCAAAGACAACGGATGGCGGCCTAAGCATGCATGAGATCAAGCACCAGGCGACGCCTCTTCGGCAACAAGGTCCTTCGTCAGCTCAAGGAGGATGTGGGTCAATACTACCCCAATCCTGGGCTCATTCGACGGGCTTGACTCTGGAGGGCAGGGATCTGGAACCCCAAGCTCTCCCCACTCCTCTACCCCAATCGTTGTTCTCTCGTTTGACCATTGGTTCTTTTCTTGGCCGCAGAAATTTTGGAGTCTGTAGTTCCCTTCGTCCATCCATCCTAGCGGGAGGTAGCCTTTTCCACAAGCTCAAACATAGCCTCGAGCAACGGAGTGTCCCGTAATCCTAGTGAGATGATTTGACCTGTAATGGGCGGCAGAGAACGCCATGAACGGAACCTGCGCTGTTCGCCTAGCTCCTAGCCCAGGCTAGATGGGGCTTGCGGGAACAGTCCTCGGCAAGGAAGTCGACCGTTCTGAACATGGCCCAGGGGGTAGCAACCCGTATGAACTGCGAGTACCTGACTTGCGGTACTTCGTAGCGAAGTGACGAGTGCAATTGAGTACTTGACAGCCACCTGGAGTTTCTCCGTATGTTGATAAGCTTTCGAGAGGAGCGGCACCAAGTCGAGGTGGACACAGCAGGCTCGCCACCCACCTCTTTGGCTTGCTGGCGACGGGACTAGAATCCTTCATGTACTGCCGGAAGTACGCAGTAGGTACGGAGGGGAGCCGTACATCACATACTGGATGCAAGAATATCCCAATGACCCCATAACGAGAGCTCCCCGGAGGGCTACGGGACAAGTCCGTCGCCAGCGTGTCACTCGTTGCAACCCTTTTCTCTTCCCAGTCTCCACCTGCTAGATCTGTCGCACGTTGTTGATTGACTCGCGACCGCCGGATTGTCCCCCTGTATCCCGCAGTGCGGTGCTAGCTGTAGGCACGGAGTACGAAAGCAGCTGCGGTACCAGACCGCGACCTTTGGGGACATTGGGTATCCGCCGACGAAAGTCTCAGCCATCGGTCTCGTTTTGTCCGACCCTGCGTACGGCAGCAAGGCATAGCGTGCTCAATGTAGCAATATGCCCTGTTTATAAAAGCTTCTTTGCTCCCCACCCTCTCTTCTTGCTACCCTCTCCTCTTGCTCCGGTCGTTCCTAATTCAAATCGTATTAGCAGTTGCTCTGTATGCGAAGCTCTGCTTTCTCTCAACCCATAATACCCCGGTCATAGCTGGTCTATAAGAGAGCTCTTCACTCAGCCTCGTCTTCGCGTTTCCAACCAATTCGATCGATTTCAAAGCAAACAGCAATCCACAATGGCTGACGAAGTTCACGTCGCTCCCAACGAGAAGGAGACCAACGGTGTCGAGCAGACAACCACCCCGCGCCATGGATTCAGACACAGCCACCACGGCGACTTCAGCGAGATGACCCTTGGCCAATATGCTCAGGCCTTTGGTGGTGCTCTTCAGCCTGGTGCCTGGAGGCCATATGAGCACCGAAAGCTTGCCAACCCTGCTCCTCTGGGTCTTTCCGCTTTCGCCCTGACCACGTTTGTCCTGTCGGCCATTAACATGCACGCTCGAGGCGTCTCCGAGCCCAATGTCGTTGTGTCCCTCGCCTTCGGCTATGGCGGTCTTGTCCAATTGCTCGCTGGCATGTGGTAAGTTTCGATCCAAGCTGGGGACCACCCGCTGTCGCACAAGTGGAGCCGAGTGCTGATGACATGTCTTCAATTCAGGGAGATTGCTGCTGGTAACACCTTTGGTGCCACCGCCCTGAGCTCTTACGGCGGCTTCTGGATCTCGTACGGTATCCTCTTGACTCCCGAATGGGGCATCACGGCGCCCGATGGCCCCTACAAGGGCGATGTTGCCAGCGTTCTGGGCTTCTTCCTGACTGGCTGGTTCATCTTCACCACCGTCCTTCTTATGTGCACTCTGCGATCCACCCTTGCCTTCTTCCTCCTCTTCTTCACTCTCGACCTGGCCTTCCTCTTCCTGGCCTGCGAGCAGTACGCCTCCGACCTGGGCAACGCCTCCGCTGCCCTCGCCCTGCAGAAGACTGGTGGTCTGTTCGGCTTCTTGGCCGCCTTCTTGGCCTGGTACAACGCCCTGGCCGGTATTCAGGACAGCAGGTTCGTACCCTCCAGACATGTCGGCGCGTTTGTATGTTGCTCGCCTGCTGACCAATCAATAGCAACTCCTTCTTCCAGGTCCCGGTCATCCACTTCCCCTGGTCTGAGCAGGCTCGTCAGCGCCGTGCCAGCAAGTCTGAGCGCGCTCAGGCCTAAATTCCCGTCGAGGATAAGCGAAGCGTGTGCTTGGTTACGTGTGAGCGACGGTGGAGGAGCGTGGATTGATACCTGAGTGAAGCGAAGTCGTGGTTCCTGGCGGGCTGGGCTGCGAGCAGGAACCAATACCTTATCTTGAACCTGGCGTTTCTTTTTTATCTGTTTCTCATTTTCTGATTCCCAAACGTACTGCGATGTAATACAGGAAGCAGCTACCCAGCTGTTGCTATATACCATTAATGAAAATGACGTTTGCGTCTGCCCAACAATTGGAAACTGTCACCGTGACCATTGATTGTAAACCTGCCTGGCTATCTAAGGTACCTACATGACCATTTGTTGACAGGTTCGTACCTACCTCACCTTACCTTACGGTACCTTAGGTAGTGTTGCCAATTGAACTCGTTTCAACTCGGCGACACCTTCCTTCCTCAAAGCTCGAGAGATTCTTTCGGGGCAGGACTTATCTGCAGCAATTGACAACCGGCAGATGTACTAGTACGGCGACTCCCCCCTCCTTTCTTGTAACTGCCGTCTTTGGTGCAGTGTTGTGTCTCAAAGAGGTTTCCTCTTACAGATTGGGAGATGCCGGTCTGCAGGTGTGAGCTAGTTACTAGGCAGGTAGTGGTAGTTACTGCCTTGGACGGCACCATCCCATTCGACAGCGATGTTTTGCGGCACATGATGTTTCACCGCGAGAGTCATGAAGATCATCCAAATTCTGCCTTGCTGCAATTTACCATCCAGACGCTCATTCATTGTGCTCTGCTGTTGATCGGGACATTACCCCTGAGGCACGAGGACATGCGTCGTCAACGGAGAGTCCAACGGCGCCACGTCTTCGTCAACTTCTGCTTTGACCACCTCCTATGTTCGCGTCATCAACACTGAAGGCCGTTGAGTCGGGTAAGGATCTATCTATAGACGACCAACGCTCAAACAAGCGCCAACGTTTCGCTTCTTCTACACCTAATGCAAGGTACAGAGAAACGTTCCATCTGTTGGCGCAATCGAGCAACCGGCTTGGCAGCCCTACCGACGGGTTTCAAAGCGCCGGTCTCAGAGCAATCTCAAGAGAGCGGGAGGCGCCCCTGCTAGCATGTTTCAAGTAAGGTGAGGTTCATGCCGTGAACAGAAGATCTCCATCTCCATCGAAAGGCGCAGCAGCAGAGCAACAGAGCAGCAAGAGTTTGTTGATCCTTGACCAGCCCACAAGAGAGGCGGTCATGGTGCCGAACGGAGATATGGTATGAGGCTCTCTTGGCCCCATCCCGACCTCATAAGCCATCATGCGCACGGCACAACGAGCACGAAAGCCGGAGCAGTATGAGAACCTATGACAAACTCCCGGCATGCGGGATGGGGCAGTCCTCCGGCTTCCGTCCCGGCACCGAAAGAGTTCAATCCGCAGTCCGGGACGTTTCTGTTCCTCAACAACCGACGAAGGGCGACAGACCGGGCGCATACCTCTCTGATCCGGCTGAACTTTGGCTGATTCGCCACTTCTATCTTGTGCGTTGCCTCTGTTGGCAGACTGGAGCTCGCCGCTGAGCTGTTAATTACTTGGGATCACTCTCTGTAATGGATGTGTCTCGCTCAACGTTTTGTTACTTGCAATCTGACATTCTCGATGGAATCGCTCACCGATAGTGATAGGACTTTGTCTGATATCGTGGCCGCAGAATTGCCTATTGAGACTAGTCTGAAAATGCCAGCAATTGCAAGAGTTAGCTGAGTTCAATTACCATTCACACTCATTAATCCCCGGCAGATATTCCCGGCTTGAGCGAAGATATTGTTGACCGCGCCCTTCACGTTAGATCCCAAGCCAAGCTTCGGCGTGGCCCAAAACAGCAAAAATTGGAAGTGTTTTTAAGTAATTAGTTGCCTCTTCAGATCTTTGCGGATAATGGGGCCGATTTTGGCCCCCCGATGACCCATCCAGCACCACATACATAATGCTGCCCATTCGGCTCATCGCCAACAGACATTTTCTCTCCTCTATCGTCTTTATCTTGCTCTTGCTGTTTCTTACGAGCGTACGATCAGATTCGTCTCACTGGCAGGACTTTGACTCGATAGTCACCCTGTGCAGTTGTCGGAAGCTGTTTGAAAGGTTTGAATGGGAAAGATGAATCACGGCCAGACGCCGAGCGACAAGTATGACACAGACAACACAATCGTGTCGGCCTCGGGGCCTCGCCTGGACAACAATGACCACGGAATTATGAGTGATGAGACGGAAAAGGGAAACTTGCAACTCATGGTTGAGTCACAGGGTCAGCAGCTCGAGAACAATGCGCCGCCTCCACCCCCAAATGGGGGCTATGGTTGGGTTGTCACCGCCGCCATCTGCATCGTCAACGCCCACACATGGGGCATGAACTCGAGTTACGGCGTCTTCCTGGCTTATTACATCAAGAACAACACTTTCCCTGGGGCAACGACTCTACAGTATGCTTTCGTGGGATCTCTCAGCATTAGCTGCGCCATGGGCATCTCTCCGTTTGCGACACTCGCCGTGAAGAAGTTTGGCACCAGACAAGTGATGCTGCTTGGCGTCTGCGTGGAAGCGGCCAGTTGGATCGCAGCAAGCTTCGCCTACAAGATATGGCATCTCTTCCTCGCGCAGGGTGTCTGCTTCGGCCTGGGCATGGGATGCCTCTTCACGGCCACGGTGGGCATCATTCCACAATGGTTCACGACTCATCGTTCCCTCGCCAATGGCATAGCCGCTGCCGGATCAGGTCTGGGAGGCCTTGTGTACTCCTTCGCTGCCGGCGCCATGATCCAGAACTTGGGGCTTGCATGGGCTTTCCGAATCCTTGGCATCATCGCATTCGTCGTCAACTTCATCTGCAGTCTCCTGGTCAAGGATCGCAACAAGATTGTGGGATCGACGCATATAGCCTTCAAGAGCACTCTTCTGGCGAGGCCCGAATTTCTGCTGTTTATCTTGTTCGGCTGGTTTAGCATCTTGGGTTATTCCGTGGTGATTTTCAGTCTTGCCAACTATGCCAACGAAATCGGCCTTGAATCGTCCCAAGCAGCCCTCATCAACGCATTCTTTAACCTGGGCCAGAGCATTGGCCGGCCGATTATGGGATACTCTAGTGATCGAACTGGGCGAATGAACATGGCTGCCGTCTGCAGCTTCTTGGCCGGCATCTTTTCGCTGGTAGTCTGGGTCAATGCCAAAGTATATGGCGTATTGATCTTCTATGCTATCATCTGCGGAACTGTTGCCGGCACATTCTGGACGGTTGTCGGACCTGTTGCGGCCGAGATTGTCGGGCTACAAGATGTGCCCTCGGCGCTCAATCTTCTGTGGCTGATGATTCTGCCCCCTTGCACCTTCAGCGAGCCCATTGCTCTGCAGATTGTGACTGGAACGGGGAGCTATCTCGGCACCCAGCTATGGACGGGGCTGATGTTCATTGCTGCTACAGTCTGCATGGTTATACTTCGTGGATGGAAGATTGGCGAAATCGAGGAGCTTGCGAGGGCGAACAACGAACGGCCGGAAGAGCTTGATCCTTACAAGACGAACAACGGGGAGGAACTGGTTGAGCAAGGCAGAAAGGCTGGTCGACGACGAATGTTGGTTGACTTTTACAGGAAAAGGGTGGTCTGAGGATTGAAGGCGAGTTGCATTTTACGATACGATAAGCGATGTTGGTAATCATGCATTAAGGGAGGAACCTGGGTGACTGGCAGCAGGACATGTAATGAATGCCATGGTACCTACTTACCTATATACCAACGTCCATCTTTGTACATATAGCATTTGCACTCTTCATAATGCATATACGAGCATATAGAGCAATTATAGCCGATTGTAGATTGTTGATGGCTTGTGATGTATACAGCTTTTCCTTCTGACGAAGTCCATGTCTCTTGTTTGGGGGGACCTGAATCCAGTCTTCCTCAAATTTGTTGGTGAATCATCGCACTCGAAGAAGTGATAAGTAAGCTGATCCATATGACGCCTCTGATATTGATTGGAGTAGGTAGTTTCAGAACGATTGGGAGGAGCATCAATGTTAGCAGCACGCACCAAGAAAGACGCAGTTTAAACGGCACGTGAATTGGCGTCGAAGACGAGCCCAAGGTTGACGCGCCGCCCCGCCCAGGATTCACGACCAGCCAAGTAAGTGCGTGCACGGCGTCATTCGCCTATCAGCAACACCACTACCTGCCTACTTGCACCTACTACCTATACCTCTATCATACACGCCTCTAGGAAATGGCCTGTGGCACAGAATGAATCACAGCCTGTGGCGATGTGGCTGTTGACAAATGAAGGGGCCTTTCAAGGTGAGCCAGAAGACGCGCGCCTCTGCGCCAGAAGCCCTGAGCTGACCCGATCTCTTTCACGCAGGGCGTACACTTTGGCTGCGGCCGGGCAAAACGTACCTCTTTGGGAGGACGGCATCGGAGCGTGAGTGACGAGTTTTGATTTGCTTTGAGCAGGTATTTCTTGGGGACAAGCGCTGATTGACTTGAATATAGCTGGCCAGCTAGTACTTTCGCACAACACCATCTCGCGCAAACACCTGACAATCACGGTCGACCCCGTTACCGAAGGACACGCGCACAATCTCTCAAGCCGGTCCAAGATCAAGATCGAAGACCTCGCGACTAAGATAGGCACGGTGGTCAATGGGCAGAAGATCAAAGGAGAGGTTTACGATGTCCAGGTCGAGGAATATGAGATCATGCTGGGCAAGTGCTCAGACTCGTTCAGGTACTTGCGCCACAAACTCGTGGATGCGGATGTCTGCACAAGCGCGTTCTGCTGACAAGATCTTCAGTCTGAGATGGGATCCAAAGGTCTTCACCTTCTCGTTTACGAACAAAGAGCTGCAGACGCAGCCACTGACCTCGCTCAAAGAACGATTCGAGCAGCTAGATATCAAGCTGTTGACGGACTACAGCGTGAAGCACACGACACACGTCATATCGAAGAAGCGAAATACAGCAAAGGGCTTGCAGGCTCTCATCAACGGCAAATACATCGTCACGGAGTCCTTCCTCGATGCAATATCCGCCGCAACAGAACTCTCTGGCGGCGCGGACAGCCAAGAGCCGAGCTCTTTAGAGACGGACTTTTACAGATTTTGGCCCAATGAGATGGAGCATCTGCCGCCGCGGGGTAGTGAACCAGTGCAGCACCCGGACGAACTGTATGCGCCTGACAGCGGGAGGAAGGGCGTCTTTGAAGGATATACCTTCATCTTCTACAACCAGATTCAGTATGATAACCTCATGGCGCCGATCACAAACGGGGGCGGCAAGGCCATGTTGCATCCCATCCAGCCGGAAGAGACGCGGCCCGATGATTTCGTTCGATACGTAAAAGGAGTTGCGGGTGAAAAGGGGACCGGGTCTTTCAATGACGGGAGCGAAGGCAAAGGAGTTGTTTTGGTGAGGTTTCTGCCAGCTAAAGGAGAGCTTGTTGGCTGGTACACCGAATTCATCACCGCGGTCTCGCTGCTGTTAGACCACAGGCCTATTGAACAAAATGAGTTTCTAGAAGCGATTCTGATCAAGGATGCGAGCCGATTGCGACGACCATTGGAGGTAGAGTCCTCCCTCAGGTCCCAGGATGCTCAGCCTGCAGAAAGTGCACAGTCGGAGCGAATCACTCAACCAAACTCGGAGAGCCAAATGACAGCAGGGGTGAATGAGCTTTCTCAAGAAATTAGTTTTCAGCCCCTTCCGCGGCGCAGCAAGATGCGAAGACCAGTCAAGAGGAGGTTTGCGGGCTTTGACGACGACGACGACGATGAAGTGCCTATAGAGGAAACGCCTCCGCCCCCTGCCCAAGCCGCAGCGAGACAGCAATCGCAAGCGCAGGAGGACGAAGGAGGGTTGTTTGTGTCACAAGAGGATGATGCTCCATTGGCGCCCGACACCCAGCATGGCACCTTTCGGTCACAGAGAAAGAGAGCACCTTCCCCTGTACCAGAAGCTGATCTGATGGAGGGCATGGCGCCGGCTGTGGCAAAGTTCAAACGGCAACGTCTCGAAAGGGGAGGACGCTTTGCTGAGCCTTCGCCTGAACCTGCGCCGGAGGAACGTGAAAAAGCAGAGCCAACCAGCGAAAAGAAGAAGAAGAAGGTCAAGGAAGAGATAGACGTCCTGGCCTTGGCTGCGAAGAACCGCGAAGAGGCGGAAGCCCGGGCTCGAGCCGAGGCCGAGGACCTGGCCCACCTACCAGAGGACATCGACCTGGCCGAAATACGTCGGCTTCACATTGTGGAGGAGATTCAACCTCGCCCCGCAGACAGGGCTTCGGACAGGACGAGGGAACAGGACATTGCCGACGGGCGATGGAACCCCAAGTGGAACGGCATGAAGAACTTTAAAAAGTTCCGCAAAAGGGGCGAGGCAACGGGAAGGCAGCCCGCCCGGGTCATTGTCGCCCTCACCGAGGTCAAGGCCAAGGAGTTTGGAGTCGGCGACAACTACTGGCTGGAAGATGTCAGTAGTGACCGCAGAAGGGCGACGAGCCAGCGCTCTGCCGTGGGCGCCGGCGAGGCAAGGAACTCCAACTCCCCCTTTGTGGAGCCGTCGCTGCCGACGACGACATCGCGTGGTGCCTCTTCGGCGCGGGTTATTATTGCCTCTGATGGTAGCGACGAAGAGGAAGGAGCAGAAGCAACGCCGGAGGCGTCGTCTGCCAGAGCTGCGGCGTCGAGAAGAGGTGGAAGTAGGGAGGAGTCGCAGAGGGGCACACGGAGCCAGCTCACCGGCGGACAGTCTCGGGCGACGAGTCAAGCGAAGAGGGCGGCCACGGAGCCTGCGGCAGCTAGGGACGCGCCGCCGCCGAAGAGGTCGAGGGTGGCGCCGAAGCTGCTGGAGGTTGGAGATAGCGATGATAGCGACGACGAGCTCAAGTTTAGATTTGGCAAGAGACGGTAATCGTCGCCTGTACGTAGAACGTAGCATACCTCCATAGGTAGCGTTACGCCATCTCTTCATATATGTACATGTAATTCTATCCTACCAACCTTGGGGGGGTATCTCTCTAATTGTGAATGCGTAGCTTCCGTCTAGTGATTTACGAAGGAAGTCCTCTGTCTGCTCTTTGCGTTGCATGCATATATCACTTCGTCTCGAGGCAAAGCCCTGAATCATCTAGTCCATCCTGTCCATCTCACTCTCCTTGCCCTCCGGCTCTTCTACCAGCAGTCCGACAAGACACGCAGCCAGCATAGTCTCGTAGTTGACCCAAGGGTGAATCTCCCCAAACAGCTTGGTGCCGTCCCTGCCCGCGCCCCTCATCAGCTCCGGCACGCCTCCCGGGTGGAACTTTGCGTACGGCGTGACGTTGTACACCTTTCCGTTGATGGCCATCCAGGCATCCTTGCCCTTGCGGCCCGTCTGCGCCTTGAGCATCGAGGGCGTCACGCGCAGGTAGGGCGTCGCAGCGGGCACGCCGCGGAGGTCGGAGTTTGGGCCGGAGATGCGAGCCCAGTCCAGCGGGGAGTGGCCCGGCGTGAGAACAACTTGCCGGCTGGGCTTGGCGGGCTTGGAAGAGTGCGTCGGAGGAGGCGCGAGGCCAGAGGAGGAGGAGGATGATGATGCGGCGGGAGGGCCTCTATTGGGAGTTGGGCCACGTGCTCGCTGGGCCGAGTTTGGGGCTGGGTATTGATTGAGGGCGGGAATGCGGCCGTTGGGTCGGGACGAAGGGAGAGGCGGAGGGGGCATCATGAGGGAGGATGATGACTCGGCGAGGAAGAGGCTGGGGACGGGCTGTGATAGGCTCGTGGGCTCGGCTTTGGGCGTGGTTGGACTTTCTGGCTCTTGGATGACTGGGGACGTGATCGTGGGAGGCATGATCGTAGGCGGTTGGATGATCGGAAGTGTCGAGGGAGGGACATTGTCGGGCTTGCGCTGTCTCAAGGTCGAAGAGGCTCGATCGGTGGAAGAGGCTGATGACGACCCCCTCAGGTCCAGCTCTGTGTCGTCGTTTGGTGGCTGAAGTGCGATCTCTGGCGCGACTCCATGGCTGGCGCCTTTGCCGTTCTGTCGCGCTTCACTGTTCCTCCGCTCATGGCCTGAGAGTGTCTTGTTCTCCTTGCCGTCCGTGATGGCGCCGACTCCTCCGACCCAACTCTGCCACGGCAATCGCAGCCACTGCGGCTGCTTGAGCGCCACGAAGACGAAGGACACGACAATCAGCGAGATGCCGAGCAGGGCCATGGCAGGCTCTGAGACGCGAGGGAAATGAGCGAAATGAAGGGAGATTCCAGACGAGGCGCAAGAATCGCCGATATCAAAGTGTCATACAATCAAATCGAGAGAATCGCCCAATAAAGAAAAAAAAGATGACGGCAAAGCAAAAAGGCATGCATCTGGGGCTTCTACAAACAACTAAATTTGGAAGGCATGGCGTTGGCGCCCTAAACCGTAAATAGGGGGTCCCTTGAGCGTGCGCAGCCAATTGGAGGCTGAGTCCTGATGTGGCCGGGATCTTACTAGCGCAAGACCGGGCGGGCGGGGGGCTAGGCTTGATGTGGTAAGAGAAGAGATGAAGAAGAAATGGGTTGTTGAGGCAGCTGCTCGCTTTGGGTGTTGTTTTGTTTCATTCAGGGGAGCTGTTTGACTAGGAACGTCTTGTTTATTTGAGGCGGGATGGCTTTGCGTGGCTGTTTTTATTTATTTTTATCTCGGTTCTGGTGAAGATTTCAAGTCTTTGGGTACGTACTGGGTTCATGCAGATAACCAAACAAGTGGGCGATCCCATGATTTACCCGTTGACGCCATCCTTCGAGAACATACAAGGTCTGTTTGTAGGTACCTAGGTAGTAAAAAGGAGCGTGCACTACTACTAATAAATCATTCGGCACGGAGGATTCTTCTCATAGCCCAATCTGCGTGCCGTGGGCGCACATGGATCTCATCACTCTGCCTCTGCCGGAGCCAGGGGCCTGATTCGATGGGCATTTCTGCATGCACGAGGCGCGAGTAGTTGTAACGACGTATGCGGCACTGGACAAGTCAGATAGCCTCGTAGCATCCCATCTTGCATTGCTCGATATCCACCGGCCCCCCCCCATCATACGCTGCTATATGGACTAGCAACTGTCACGAACGACCATCTCCTCACAACTGCTCCATGCTCGTACATGCAAGCTTGGACGAATACTGTACATGGTAGACGCGCGAGGCGAGCGCACTCTTACTCGTACCGAGCACTGCCGACCCCATCGGCGCCCATCCTGGTGCCCTTTTCGACGGGCATGTGCGCGCATGCAGTGGACTTGGGCATCTCCCTCTGCTCGCTTCTCAGGCTCTCACTGGACGGCTTCGATGCATCTTGCACCAGAGGCTCCTTACCGCCTTTCTGGATACAGACTTGCGGGGGGGCATAAACCCTTGCGCTTGAATGGATTGGGCCACTCTCGCAGCGTGTGCAGCTGCGTCTCCTCACATCGTCTGACGATGCGATGCCGTCCGCCTGCATGTAGTACCGCCGCCTCGTTTGCGCAACGTAAAAAAGGCCCCCCCTCGCGATCTGCGGTCCTCTATCCAGCTGCTGCGCAGTTTCCATCGTCTCCGTCTCTCCGTGCCGTATCTGTCTGTCTGTCTGTCTGCCTGTCTGTCTATCTGTCTGTCCGTCCGTCCCTGTGCCTGTTCAGTTCAGATCAGTTCACAGTTCAGTTCTGTCCCGTATTATCATCACCACTTACTCGTACGGCTACCTGCGACATCAATCCCTCCTCCATAGCTGCGCCTGTGGACCTCGCTCAGGCTCTTCCCGGCTCCTTTTATCCCTCCACACGCCCCCTAATTTCTGGCCCGGGCTAGTCACCACAGCGGCCTTAATTACCTGCCAGCGCTGCCCGAGGCCCTGCAGTGGCGCTGTTCCGCGCGACTTTGGGACGCCCGGAGGATGCGCTCAGGCTCAGGCAACGCATGCTCGGACGCTGTCGTCGACAATCCCCGAGCCACGTCCAGGCCCAAGCCCAAGCCTCATCTCCAACCTCGACCTCAATCTCAACAACAACAACCACCACAACCACAACCACAACCTCACCCTCACCCTCACCCGCAACCTCAGCTTCGGCCTCAACCCAGCCTTCATCACCACCACCAGCAACCGCGCCATCACCCCCCCAAGCCGCAACCCTCCGCCTCGCGACTGTCCGCTTGCAAGCCCGCGCCGCAGCGACCAGCGACCAAAGCCTCGACGACGACCACGACAACGACTCCTGCTCCTCGATTGGGCTCGACTCCGCCCAATCCCCAGGGACCGCCCCTCACCCGCCCGACAGCTGCTCGACAGCCGAAACAACATGTGCTTTCTGTGAGGACTGCCGCTGCCCCGACTACGCGTTCTTCCACCAAGAGGGACGCCGCCACGATGCCTCCCGGCGACAAGCCTCGCCAGCCCCAGCTGAGCGCTGGACCCCCCCGAGGCATGACCCGAACGCCCCTGACGCCCAAGGTTGCCGTTAAGGGCCCGCCAGCAACCACGCCGCTGGCTCGCAAGTCCTCGTCCGTCGTCAGCGCGCAGTCGCCGCGCGGCGAGAGCGCCGCCGCAGCTCCTCCGGGTTCATACCTCAGCCATACCAGCACCCCGCGGTCGGGCGCCAGGCAGTCCCGTGCCGAGAGCACCGTCTCGACGCCGGGCAGCTCGACGAACCTCGACAAGATGAGCGACGGCGGGTGGGAGACGCGGAGCAACCGCGGCCTGGGCGTGTCGCCCCTGGCTCGTAACGACAGCCTGAGCTCTAGGAGGAGCGTCACCAGCTCATCGTCCACCGGGCCGGGCGAGGACTCCAAGTTCTTCTACGCGAGCAGCGTAAAGCCCTCGGCCCATGCGCCGCCGCCCCGACCGGCCTCGGTTGTTCATACTAAAAGTACGCCGACCTTTTTCTACGCGAGCGATGCTGCCAGCAAGCGGGTGACGAGCCCTCCGGCATACCCCAGCTCAAGCACCCACTCGCTGGCCTCGGCGCAAGAGGGCGTCGCCACCAAGTTCTTCTACGCGAATGGCGCGCCAGACATGGACGCGAGGCTGTCTGCCCGCAGCTCCGGGACGGGCTCGACCATCTCCAGCGGCTCCAGGGCGACGCGCGCCAATACCAGCAACTCCTCGGCCGTGGGATCCAGCACGACTCAGCTGTACTCGCGGCCAGCATCACCCTCAAAGAACCTTACGCACCCTACACTACCGCAGCAGCAGCATGCCCAGCCGACGCTCCGAGCCAGTGCCATGTCGCCTACCTCCCCGATCAGAGCCTCGGCTCACCCGGCTCCGAAACTGGCGGCTGCCCCTGCCCAGGCCAACAAGAGGCGAGTGAGCATCGAGTCGCCTCTGCGGTTGAACAAGGGGCACGGCCGCGCAGGAAGCGTCGTTTCTGTAGAAGGAGGAGCCGCCGTACCAAAGATCGCCTCACCGACAAGCGTACCCCCCGCGATTTATGCGCCCGATATGACACCGCCACTTCTGAGTCCCGGACTGGCGCAATTAGCACAGCCCATGACGATGGCGTCGATATTACAAATGGCCGACGAAATGGACGATGAGGATGAAGAGGATGACGAAGACGGGAGCGAAGGCGAGGGAGAGGACGGAGAAGATGGAGACAGCGACGATTCGGAATCTGACTCCATCAGTCGAAAGAGATCTTCGCAGAACTCCGAACCTCTTAGCCACCTTGTCCTGAGCGCCCGACGCGAGCGCAAAGTTCAGGACCTGGAAATCACAAACGCTTCTCTCGAAGCCATCAACAGAACCCTTGAGAGGCAACTGCGCAAACAATCCGCAGAACTGCGCCGCTTCCGGCGCTTATCCAGAGCCGGGCGCCTTCCCAGCGGCTCGGGAGCCTCCGGCCAAGGAGGTGCCTCTCTCACCGTTCCAGATGCCTCGGGGGCCCTCACCGACGTTAGCGAGAGGGAGGAAGATGCCGCAAAATTAAATGGAGAACTGGACGAGGACGAGGACGAAGAGGACGAGGAGGATGAGGAGGACGAGGACTCGCTAGTCGACTCCGACTTGTCCCACGGAAACTCAGCCGCCGACCCCAGTTCTACCACCTCTCAGTCAAAGGTGGAATCGCCTGGCGACAAACGGCGGAAACGGGACGAGCGCCGTCTCCAGCTCGACCTCACGAGGCACCAAGAGCTCTTGCTCGACAGCCAGAAGATGAACCAGAGTCTCAAGAAGTGTCTGGACTGGACAGAGGTGCTCATCAAAGAGGGCCAGAAGGCATTGGCCTACCGCGTCCGGATTGCCGACGTGGACGCCATGCCCGGCCGCGTCCTGGCAGCCTCGTACTACGACTACGGTGACGACACGTCTCAAGTCGAAGATGATACGGTGTCCACCGTTTCCGCATCACGTTTCGACGACGATACCATATCAAATATTGAATCCGAAGCAGAGGCTTGGCCGAAAGGAGCACAGGATCGTGACAGCGGCATAGAGCTGCCCGTTGCGGGTCACTAGCTAACCGACTCTATGCAAACACCATGGAGAGGAGGGCCAGCCGGACCCTTCTTCTTCTACTTCGCATATCGACCAGCCGATATGCCCATTTCTATGGTGCATTTACTGCTTGCTCTCATTCACATCACCACTCATGGATATCTCGTCTTTTACTTCCTTTCTCACTCCTCCTTTTGCCCCCGGCTGCTGCAATATTTCCTTGTCTTTGCTTCTTTCTATCCTTCTCTTTTCTTTGTCTCTTTCGTATTTGCGACAGCATATACTTTTATGCACGTATAGTTGCATCTCGGGATATCGGGGATACAAGGCGCTCATTCGGATTTGCATGGCGTTCTACTTATCACTTTTGATTTTCAAACACACACACTCTCTCTACTCTTACTCTTCTCTTCTTCTCAGCGGCTGATGTAATCCATCAGCGCTCTTATTCGTTTTCTCTCATTGCGTTTATGAAGGCCATGATCACTGCATTCTTCTTCCTACTACTCGCCGTCTCCAGTCCTTTCCCTCGAGAAGTTCCCCTCACATCTTGGTCTAAGTTTAACCTTCTTACACAACTTGAGAGTGTCAATCTCACTTTCCTTCTGCGCTTTAAGAAGGTTGAAGGCATTGCCTTCCTGCCCCTTTTTTTCTATGATATCCCTTGTCATATATGACTTACTCGGTTGTTTTTTGACGTGTTTTGTTTTTTTAAATCGTTTTCTTTCCACATGTGTAAGATCAGATACCCGCAGAGGCAAGGCAAAAAAGACTTGAGAGAGGGAGAAAAAGAAAGGGGGGGAACAAAGCTATCCATGGAAACACGCATAAAGACAGATGCCTCCCCCAAGACGAAGAGGCAGACCTTTTATTTTCTTTATTCACTTTTCATCTCCCCTTTCGAAAGGCGGTTCAGCATCATTCAGCCCTTCTTGCAGCAAAAGACTTACTCCAAGAGATCAAAAACTTGATTAAGCTTCGCCAGTGTTTTCTTTGGATACATTCATGAGGGAGAAGGAGGGGGGAAAAGAAAACCAAAACCAAAACCAAAACAACCTTGCATTGATACATCTTTTGCATTTATTCAGAGTATGTGCGAGATGTAGAATTACGTGCGCTGCCTTTTCGGTGAATGATGCGAAAACGGAATAGAAGAAGAACAAGCGTTTATGCCTTCCATGCTCAGTCAGTCTGCTTGCTTGCCTATAATCATTTGCTACGTGAGTGAAAGCCAACACCATCTCCACTGGTCCCTACACGGGATTGGATGTCGGGGACACGAGATAGTAGATGCAAGATGTTAATGCCTTGAGCATCACCCAAGAAAAACATAAAGGGAGACCTCAAGGAGCAGAAGAAAAAAGCTGTGTGTATTCTATGTACCTAAGTAAGATTATGCCCGATCGCTCTCTATCTGGCAATCTCGACAGTATTTCTCTAAACAAACAAAAGGGCCGCATAATTCCGTTTTTGTGCTCCTGAGCTCGCTTCCTGTTCCCCGAATCCTTCTTCCTCTTCCTCGTCCTCTTCTTCCAACTTCTCCATTTCCGTGGCCATTAACCCCCCTCCCACTATCTGCTCCATCGTAGCTCTTCCCCCCCATCTTACACCGCCGGCTGCTCTGGTTTGGGCACGTTAGGCGCATCCTGGGCAACCTCTTCCGCGGTCATATCCCTAGACTTCTTGTCCTTCTTGTGCTTGTGGTCTTCGTGCTTGTCCTTCTTCATGGCGGCCTCGGCAACGAGCTGCTCAAAGAGCAGATAATCGCCCTCTTCTTCGGGAGACCGCTCAGCCTATGGGTGGAGAGTCAGACAACACTTATCCCTCCCAACAAATAGGTTTCGTCAAAGTGGGAGACAAAAGAAAAAAAAAAAAAACATACCTTGATGAAAATCTCGCCAATGAGCATCAGCGCCTGCGCTCGCTCTAACCGCTTCGACAGCGGAACCTTCTTGTCCTTGAGAACCCCATCGCACACCTCGCGCAGCACGCCCTGGATCTCAAACTTGCTGCCCCTCCACGCAGCCGTCAGGATCTTGCCCGTGACGCGGCGCTCGTACTCGACGCGCTTCTCGTCCGTCCAGTCCTCGCCGCCCCGCTCCTCCATCTTGGCCATGTCCTCCACCGTCTGCTGGGCGTCGATGGCGCTGCTGATGGTGTTCCAGGTGTCCTTGACCAGCGTGCCCTTGTCCTTGAGCTTGCTGAAGAAGCCACCGATGCCGAGGAACTTTTGGCTGTTTAGGAGAGCCGAGGCCTTGGACATGTACGTCTGGCCGATGGCGTGCAGGATGTCGATGCCAAACGACTCCATCTTGAGATTCTCCACCTCGAGCCGCATCTTCTCCTGGAACGACCGGGTGACGTCGGGGCCCTTGTCCGTCTCCGTCCACACGCTGACCCGATCCAACAGCTTCCGTGTGAGGGCCTCGACCCGCTCCTGTCGGATGCGCGCGCGCTCTTTCTCGTAAGCCAGCAGCTTTTCTCGCTGCTCCTTGCTCATGCCGCCCTTCTTCTTTCCTTTGCCCTTGGGGTCGTCCTCTGCGTGATCCACTTCCTTCTCTGTGTCGTCGTGGGCCTTTTCGGTAAGAGCCGGTCGGATGGGAATCTGTCGGCTCCGGGAACCATATGACGGAGCGGGAGATGTAGCTTCAGATCGAGGCGGCGGTGTCGCAGCCGTAGGCTGCACAGGTGTCTTTGCCTTCTCGTCCTCTACCACCACCGCGGGAGGCGGCGGCGGCGGCGGCGCGGACGCAGAGCCTGCGAATGTCTCCTGGTTCTCCTTCTCCTTCTCCTTCATGCTCTCCTTCATCGCCTCGGCAGTTCCAGGAAATTCTTCCTCTCCCTGCGGCGCAGCCTCTCCTTCTTCACCCTCATCCATGGCAATGTCCATTGTCGCCGCCAAATCCTTCATCAAGCTAATCTCGCCGATCCAGTCGACAAAGGCTTCGCCGCCAAAGATGGCGGAGAAGAACTCGGCAGGGTCGACGAAACCCTCTTGCGGTTTCGCGTGGTCCTTTCCATACTTGTCGTACGCCTTTCGTAGATCTGCATCTGAGAGCACCTGGTAGGCCTCGCCGATGGCTTGGAACTTTTCGTGCGCTGTCGGATCGTTGGGATTCTTGTCTGGTGTCAGGGGCAGGTGTCAGTCAGTGTACAATGCCGCAGGACGCAAGGCGCAAGGTGCCAGAATGCTGAATATGCCAAAGAAGGGATAGACGGCCGCTTACCTGGATGATGGACAATGGCCAGCTTGCGATAGGCTTTCTTGATCTCTAGCTCCGTGGCCTGCGGCGAGACGCCGAGGGTGTCGTAATAGGCCGTATCGACGACCATTTTGGGCAAAAGAGAGAGATGGTGTTCGTCTGGCAAGTACGAGTGCTGCCGCCGCGGTTCTCGAATGAATGAATCAGCAGAGCGGGAATGACTTGGCGGCGCTGCGGGATGTGTAGGTATAAGATGTAAGGCGACAGTCTTCGCGGCCGTTAGTCGAGGGAGTGCATATTCGCTCGCCTCAGCCGAAATTTTGCCCAAGGCTGAGTGCGCTCTGTTTCGATGGCGCTACGTAATGGCGGGGCAGTGCTGCTAAATCGAGATGTACCGCTACCGGTTAGTACCTGTTATCTGCTTGTCTGGTTCTCTCTTTGGGCGGCAAGTTTCGAGTGATCCGGATCGTCAGGGTTCATTGACATGCGGTTTGCTCATTCGAGTGCAGATGGCAAACTGACAAACGCCATGTTCACATGAATGTTTTCCAGCACGCTGCCAATCAGTGGGACCGCGATGTCACTTGGCAATGATTGCATCTTTTAGGTCTGCACAACACACGTGGCCAGCCAAGATCAACGGCATACGCATGGGGGGCACACAACGTGGTCTCTTGTCAACTACCTAACTACCTAGATCAACGTATGTAGCCATCAAGATGAGCAGACGATATCTTGCACGGCGACAAGTGCCAACTCAGGCGCGACTCTCAATAATAAGGTGCCCATCGTCATGCAGTTGAGTCAGGGACAAACCACAGCAAGCTCAGCATCAGACCTCACTCAATTCCTACAGCCTTCATGCGCTCAAAGCACTTCTCGTAAGCCTCGTGAACCTCGGGAATCTCATACTGGTACTCCTTGAGCTTAGCAACCAGCTTCGACGTGTCCAATGAGCAGTTACTCCGGTCTGCCTTGATGACCTTGGCCTGTTCTTCCAGAGTAAAGTTCTGCCAGCTCAGTTCCGGCCTCACAATATCCTTGAAAAGCGTGAGTACCTCGTTGTGAGAGATGGCGCCGGGGTTGGTAAAGTTGTAGACGCCAGTCTCACCGTGTTCTGCGAGCATAATAGAGGCTGGCAGAAGATCATGGAGAATGGTGTTGCTGTTGGGAATGTTGACCACCCGCTCGTAGTTGAGGAGCTTTGTCACAAAGTTGCGCGGATGAAGGTCATCGCTAACAGGCATGCGAAGACGGAGGATGAGGCAGTTGGGATAACTGCTCAATACCTAGAAGGCACGTCAGTCTCGCTATCCCCTGGAGCAACACGCTCTCGCCATGGGCTTACCGGCTCAACGTGGCTCTTGGTTAAGGAGTAAAAGCTTCCCTCAAAGTTCGGGCGGTCTTCCTCCGTATAGCCACGCCCACCGACGGGATGAGTCTTGTCGTACTGATATATGCATCCAGTAGCGAAGGTGGTGCAATGGATATTGGCTTGATAACACGCATCTGCCAAGTTCAAAGTACCGATAACATTGGATCGTACCGTCTGGCCCTTGTTGTCCTCACACCAGTCAACATTGGGCCTCCCAGTGCATCCGGCAGCATTCAGAACGTGGGTTGGCTTGGTGAGTAAGAGCTCCGACAGCACAGCCTCTCGGTTCTCCATACGAATGGTTGTGGTGTGAACCTCCTTGCCCTGTTCCTGCAGGAGGCGTTTCAACTGACCGGCAATCCAGCCATTGCCCCCCCATATGAGAAAGCGCGGCTGTTGGCGATGGCCGTTGGAGAGCTTGCTGACCATTTCGATGGATTTGGCACAGTTGTAGCTCAATTGAATTCGTGGTTTTGGTGGCCAGATTCTCTTAATTCATGCCTAGCGGGTTGCTTCGAGGAATGAAGATGAAGATGTTCAAGAGTCATTCAGAGTCTGAGCCGAGACAATGAGCGATAGAAGCCGCATTTGGGAGCAATGTTGAGGAAGGCGCGATGTCTGTTCCTCGATGTGAAAGGTGTTGTCATCTGATGGAAGGTGCAATCTGTCAATGTTTCAACTTCGATCAAGGCCCAACTCTATTTGATTGTCCTGGGTGTTTCCTGCCTCATCTTGTATTGTAACTGATCCCGACCAGTCTTTTGAGGTAAGAAGCCTCTCGTGTATCTCCTTCCACCATCTTCACTGTCCACGGCTCGAGAGAAATCGGGCTGTGTCACAAGCTTCTCAATCAGTTCAAGCAATCTATACAGTACTTTATGTTGCCCAAGCTGACCCAGGTGCTACTTACCTATCTAGGTAGTAGGATAACGCGCATACGGAATCATCAGCTACAAACATATCAATGCCGCCCTGTCCATCTTCGCTGCATCGAGAATAGCGGTGCTGTTCGGAATAGGGGAAACTGCTCAACGGCCATCTAATTGGGGTGCAACTGGCCGATCCTCGCTTCTGAATAGCATGCCACAAACGGCCTGCCACGGCTCGATAGGACGTGATACCTCAATCCCTTACTGTACCTACCTTACGGTAGAAGTCACAGGGCTCGGTTTTCGTCTGGGCACCTCATGTCGGAATTCCGTCCTGCACGGAAGGTCTAACATGTAAGGTAGGACTAGTACCGTGTTGCCACCACGTGTGCGTCATTCGTTCACAGCAAGATGCTCCTGCAGCCGAAGCCCTCGAGTGGTTCACCTGCATTTGGGTGGTATTACATACTAATACCTAGGCAGTTCAGCGTTGCTTGCATTTTGAGCAAGCTTGCAATGCCCTTGCTTTTCGGAGCATCTCCAACTTCGCTACGACTCTGTTGGATACGTCGCAGCTGATGAACTTCAAGCATCGTCACAAAGCACCACTTCTCCAGTCCCGGGCAAACCGAAAGTTGCTAGGTAATATCCGCAAAAAAGCTACCCACGGCATTGACGTCGTGCCACGAGGTGTCAACAAAATCCCGGTGTCTCTGCAATCGTTCCATATGGACTGCTGCCAAGGAGGGGTCCTAATGCCAGAAACTCCACCAGCATCAATATCACCCGCTTGTCTCAGCTTACGTGCAGCTCTCACCGCCGAGAATCTGTCCACGATATCAACTCGTTTGTGCAGCACAAGACGTTTTCGCGGCTGAGTCATCAGACAGGGGGCGGCTCAGGTGAAATTGGTGGCGCTTTGGAAGCGAGTTACTAAACGGCTCGCGTGTGAAGCTCGACGTTGCCGTGCCGCACCATGACATCTTGTGCCTTGTATACAAGGTGGCTGTTGTTGGTGGTTTTGGTGGTTTTGTTGTTGTTGCTTGCTTGTCACCGTTATCCGTGATACGGAGTACGATAGGTAAAGCGAAGACCATCTTGCCCCAGTGTATGACGGTGTTGTTCAGCCTCCGTCATCATACCTAGGTAGGTAGAAATAAGTCCCTGAGATCAGATCAAGGTGCTTATGACAGACACACTCTCCTCTCCAATACCTACCTACGTTGATTCATTACCCCTATACTAACGTGCCTCCTGCTTGATGCTCACCATTTTCTCTATTCCGTATTCGCAATAGCTGGCGGAATTGGGCGTCTGCAATCCCATTCCGCGCCCGTTCTAGCGCTGCAAGTGATGGAATCGGCTCAGCCGCCCAGCGAATGAATTTGCAGCCTCTTCGTGCTAACCCTACTTGCCTACCTCCCAGGCCTCCGTCCCTCGCCCAGCCCGTTCCGAGCAGAGTTTTGGTGTGGGGTTCGCGTGCCTTTTCCGCCCAGTCAAGCCACTCCTGGGCCGTATTCGTATCCACCAGCTCCCACTTCTTGGCTGCCTTTTGGCAATCTTTCATTTTAACCACAGCTTGCTATAATTCCTTCTTCCCCCCATCATCGACTCTTGTTTTTTTCCCTCTCGTTGTTTTCAGCTGTTGCTCTCTATCTTCTTACCAGTAATTCTTGTTTTACCATATACCCCGTACTTTCTCTTCTTCTTCTCCATCTTCGTCTTCGTCTTTGTCTGTTTCTTCGCGTTCATTTTGTGGCACCCCGACCCAGTCGTTGCGAACACGGTAGCCAGACGCTTCTTTTCAGCTCTTCTTCGCTTTACGTCCGGTAGCAGCTAGCAACAGCTCTGCAAATTTTTGCCAATTGACCCTTCGCACACTCTACCAACATATTCTACCCGTGCGCAAAGACGAACCACCACAATGGGCGCCATCTACTACCTAATGCACCCGCGCGAACTGCGCTCTATCGTCCAATGGTACGTTTCGCTAGGCGGGACGCTTGAGAGAGGGGAGACACGTTGCTAACTTGAACTCTGCAGGAAGTTGTGGCATGAGCCCGTCAACCGCCGTGACCCCAAAACCGAGAGTGCGACACTACAAGAATGTTTCCGCTTCCTGAACATGACGAGCCGTAGTTTCTCGGCGGTTATCCAGGAGCTCAACCATGAGCTTCTGGTCCCTGTCACCCTCTTCTACCTAGTTCTACGTGGTCTGGACACCATTGAGGACGACATGACCATCCCCCTCTCCACCAAGGTCCCCATGCTGCGAGAGTTCCACGTGACAATGGACCAGGACGGCTGGCAATACCATGACAGCAAGGAGAAGGACAGAGAGCTCCTGGAGCACTTTGACTGCGTCATTACCGAGCTCAAGAAGCTCAAGAAGCCTTACTATGACATCATCAAGGACATGACGTTCAAGATGGGCAACGGTATGGCCGACTACGCGCAAAACACCGAGATGATCCAGAACGGCGTCCAGACAATCGAGGAGTACGAGCTGTACTGTCACTACGTTGCAGGACTGGTTGGTGAGGGCCTGACGCGACTATTGGTCGCTTCGAACCTTGCCAACCCGAAGCTTGGCGAGAGACCCGAATTGACTGAGTCTATGGGTCAATTCTTGCAAAAGACGAACATCATTCGAGATATCCATGAGGACTGGGAAGACGGCCGGCGATGGTACCCCAAGGAGATTTGGAGCAAGCATGTTGAGAGGTGGGAGGACCTATTCGACCCCAAATACCGAACACAGGCAGTGGAGTGTATTTCCGACATGGTTCTCGACGCTCTGAAGCACGTCGAGGACTGCCTCTTCTACATGGCGGGGATGAGAGACCAGAGCGCCTTCAACTTCGTTGCCATTCCACAGGCCATGGCCATTGCCACCTTGGAGCTGTGCTTTAGGAACCCTGCTGTCCTGGAGAGGAATGTCAAGATCACCAAGGGAGACGCTTGCCAGATTATGCTGGAAAGCACGCAAAACCTCCAAGTCCTCTGCGAGGTCTTCAGAAGATATGCCAGGCGCATTCAGAAGAAGAACGATCCTCGCGATCCCAACTTCTTAGCAATCAGCGCGCGGTGCGCAAAGGTATGCATACGTCGCCCAGCCAAGACGTGCTGTAACAGGAAGACTAATCGATTCTAGATTGAGCAATTCATCGAGACTTTGTTCCCTAGGCAGGATCCAAAGAAGCTGGTCCAGGAAGCCAGGGCGAAGCAGACCCAGGAGCCTACCATGTCCACAAGCGAGACCGCCATCATGATTGGCGTTGTCCTCGCCGTCTTGTTGACCATGACAGGTCTGATGGTAAGTCGCCCCTATTGCAAGAGTCATGAGTGCGCGATGAGTCTAATGTCGAATAGGTCGGCATTGCTTGGTTCATGGGCGCCAGATTCGACAACACCTTCTCCGACACCGCCAAGCTGTTCTCCAGCAGCGCAGGCAGCGCAGGCAGCCCTACCTCAATAACGGGCCGCGACGAATTGTAACAACAATCACTATAGGGATCCCTTTCACTGAAGCACTTCGTCGGTGACGATGCACCTAACGCCGTTCATGTATTACAAGATTCTTGGCTCATGACATCTGCCAAGCCATACAACTTACATCTAACAAAGCATACTTAATGTCTTTAATATCTAGAGATCGACGGGCAATGAATCATCGAAGAGTGGGTGCGTTATCCATGACATGTGATGGCGTCTTTTTTTCCTGCTCTCCTGCTCTCCTGCTCTCCTTTTTCCTCTGTCCTTTGCTTTGTCCTAGCACGGATGTCAAATTGCAATCCAGTCCTCCTATGACTGTGGTTGTGCCGAAGAAGTGCTGATATCAACCTTTGCCATTGCTCTTGGTCCGCTCTGACGAGCTGGACGCGGTGTGGAACTTTCTACCTTTTGTCTTTCACAAGGGTAGATCCGCGCTGGCGAGCAAACAACTCTTTGTGCTTCTGACTTTGTGATGTAATAGTGAATGGGTTGAAGAGGCTTTGCCTGACGTGATTCTGTCAATCGTTCCAAGAAGTCCATTTTTCTGGTTCTGGGCAATAGCAGCATTGGGGTAATTGATTTGATTGCTCCATCACTCTGTTTCTGCATTATCGATACGCCACATGGTCATTACCATTGTTCTTGCCATCTCAATACAGTCCTTCTTTCTATTTCTCCAGAAAAGCTATTCAAGGCTCTCGTGCTCTAATCTCAATGAAATGTACGTTGGGCCGTAATTGCCATTATCCGACTACGATTCGTTCCCTAGAAGATGGCCTCTATTCTACGAGGACATCTGACTTCCTTCCACATTGATGTGTCTGAAAATGACAAGATGAAACTTTTGTGCAATGCGCGCGCGACGTGTATTGGTACTGTCTTCTTCTAGAATAGGCTTAATGACGAGGGAGCATGAGCTTGGGGAGCACATGCTTAAAAGTTGCCGTTGTTGGCGATGAGGCTGGTGGTCCCAGCAATGTTCTGCTTCACAGCAGCACCCGTCTTGGCAGCCAAGTTCTTGATGAGGTTGCTGACATCGTCAACATTGGAGACACCCTCAAGAGCCATCAGGTAGGCAGCAAGACCAGCAACGTGGGGAGAAGCTATACGAGTTGCGCAAGTCAGTCATTGATTCGAATGTTGTAGTGAGTAAATGGTGAGTAGCTCATGGGGCTCAATTGCTTACCCATGCTGGTACCGCTGAGGACTGCAGTGTCGATATCTGACTTGATGCCGACGCTCAGAACGTCAACACCAGGAGCATAGATGTCAACACCAGTGCCAAAGTTGGAGAAGCCGGCTCGGATGTCGGTGGTGGCATCGATGGCACCGACAGTAATGGCCTGAGGGGCAGAGCCGGGAGAGGTATTGGCAGTGTCTTGCTATAGGACTGTTAGAAGGTTTGAGCGAGATGAGGGAGGGGATGCAACATACGTTCTCGTTACCGGCAGCGACAACGGGGACAATACCAGCGTTGGTCAAAGCCGTAATGGCGTTGTTGACAGCAGTAGAGAATGAACCACCCAGAGACATGTTCATCACAGCCTTGCCGGAGCGCTTCTTGGCTTGGACGTCGTTAACAACGAATTGCATGCCGTTGAGAACGCCAGAGTTGCTGCCAGAGCCGTCGGCATCGAGGACCTTGACAGCAACGAGCTCAACGTTCTTGGCCACTCCAAAGGTAGCACCGCCAATAGTGCCAGCAACGTGGCTGCCGTGGCCGTTCTCATCGGTGTCCTGAGCACATCAATGTTAGCCAGCGTTCATCAAGTGCAAGTTGCATAACCTCGAATATCAGCTGTAGGACATATACTTACGACATCGTTGACAAAGTTGGCACCAAAGGTGGCACGGCCCTCAAACTCGCTGTGGGTAATCCGAATGCCAGTGTCGACAACGTAAGCTGTGATGTTGGAGCCAGCAGAGTTGTCGAAGATGTAGTTTTGTCCACCGACGGCCTTGTTGGAGAGGCGGATCAAGCCAGGGGCAGCATTCGTCTGGGCAACGAGGGCGGCGTGCTGGACCTTGGTGTCGGCCTCAATGTAAGCAACCTCTTCGGCGTCAAAAATGTCCTTGATCATGATATCATCGGCATCGAGGGCCATGGCACGCCAGGTGTGCATGCTGAAGGAGTGGATGGCGGTAGACAACTCGTTGCCGAAGAGACCTCGCTTTCCGAGGTTGCGCTTCGCGATCTTAGCAGCAAACTGGGCCTGTTTGGCAGAGATGGCCTCCTCGCCAAACGAGTTGTTGTAGACGACAATGTAGCGGTTGGGAATGATGTTCTTGGCAAAGGGGTTGGTGACGAGGCCCATGAGATGCGTCAAGTTGACGTTGTTGACGATGTCACCGAGGTCCAGGGACTGACGATTGCCGTGAAGCGGGACAGCAGCCGCCAGGGGGGCAACCACCATGAGGAGATATGCGAGCATGGTGCTGAAGGGCGCCATTTTGAAGAAGATGCCGTAAAGTTACAAGAGCGCGCACGCGAACAAGGAACAAGAAAAGTCGAATATTAATACTCTTAGAAGATGTTTGTCGTGAGGAAAGGCCCAGCCCGTTCGCTCCAATTGAATGAATGAATACTGATAATGATGTTCGTGAAGGAGAGAATGAATAGAGGATGGACGATCAACGGTCCTCTGCAGCCAGCTTGCTCGGTTCAGCGGTTGAGACGTGAAAGGAACGACGGCGAAGAAGGAGAATATGAACGGTCCAAGTGCGGAGGACCGGGCCGGGGACTGCTGGGCTGGAGAGGGGGGAGAAGCGACAAAAAGATACCGAGCGAGAGAGAGAGAGAGAGGAAGAAAAGAGTATGAAGAGGACGTTGAAAGTCCAAGATAATAAAAGAAAGGGACTGAAGCGTAAGTGAAGTAGATGACGGGGAAGAAAGGAAGAAAACAATGACCAGGGGGGCCGCAGAAAAGAGGAGAAGTCCAGCAGGGGAATCCAAAGTGAAGAAACAACCTGGTTGGGAAGTGGCCTCCCACTCACACTGGCTCGCACCTGCACCTACCTAGTACCTTACCTACCTACCTACCTAGGTACTTACACCCTCCTCCCCAAGCTGCAAGTGCTAGTAGCACGTACTGCAAGGCAATTGCTAGGTACCTAGGCAAGCGCAAGGCAAGGGTCCCACGGCTGGGATGCGTGCTCCGCAGAAGCAGGTGCAGTGGACGAGAGCGCCGAGAGGGACATGAGGCACGAGAGATCCATGGATGCAGGTCGTTGGGGATTGGCCTGGTTTGGCCGATGCTGCAACAACAGCCGGTGGGCACCCCTGCTAGCGGGCAGCTTGTGCCTGACTTAGCGGACCAAGGTTCTGACAGGCCTTGTTCTAGTGGCCACAGGGCCCCCTCTGTTGCTTCTGTAGCGCCGGGCGCGAGATGCTGAGACTGGGGCCGAATGGTGTCTCAGAGCGGGCGAGCAGGGGTCGCTGCCAAGCGAGTAGCAAAACGTTCGGGAGCGGCTTGGGAGAATGCTCAAACGCCAGCTGCTTATTGCTCCTATGCGTCTTCTCTCTAGTCCTGTCGGGTTGTTTTTTCTCCTGGGCTACAAAAGTCTAAAATCTAGACCTTCTGAGTTTGTGGCTGACGCATATGATTCGTGCTTCAGCCAGTTCTTGGCAGGCCAGGTACGAAACTTGGGCATGACGAATCAATGCCGTTTGGCGGGGTGTTGTGCGCGCATCAAAGACATGGAATGAGACTATGGACCTACTACTGGAAGGTGCTGGGTACGGTACATACATGCTCCTGAGGTGCAGCTTCCATCCGTAATTACGCACCTGGCAATGTTCCTGCTAAGTGACCACAAGAGTAACCTCTCTGAATGACAGCAGGTAAAGGTCCAGCAGCTGCTGTTACTAGTTGCCAGCATGAAGGCCGTTGTTATCACTCGAGGCTCCTTTATCAGGTACAAAGCGACGTGCACTCTGAAGGCTTGGCGAGCATCTCGGCAGAACCATTCCGACGCAATCTCCAAGGAAGTGGCACATCACCAACTCATACCCGCGTATCGAGTGCAACTACAGCTAGATGGATGGCATCAAAGGCACGATGCCGGATTCAAGAACATGTAATTGCATTTATGCTTGTTTGTTAGTGTCAATGCTCGGAGGGAGTTGGTTGGCCACCAATCACGCTGGGAACATGCGACTTGCCGTTGGTTGTGCCGATCAGCTGCGGCTTTGATTGATGCTTGCAACGATCCCAACTTCCGGTTTCCAGCTACGAAATATTAGATTGCGCAGATGAAAAGCCTGCAGATCCATGACTGCTGCTGCACTACAAAGACGTGATTTCACACCATCCGGAGCAGATACTCACCGCTTCAGTAGAGATTAAATCTACATTCTCTTGTCCCTTTTCACTACCTACTATTGTTCAGTGTCTTGGTTCAAGCCTTAGAGGTTCTATTTTGAGCAACACGTACGAGTAGATACATGTAGTAGGTACCCAGTAAAGTCTTTGATGTCCTGGCGCGCTCCTGCATCTTCAGCACCTCGGCAGCCCTGGAAATTGGCGACATAAGCTTCCGGTGGCGTCAGGGGCCGAGTTCCAGCACCCCACCGCTGAAACGCACCGCTAGTGCATCTGAATTCGAACTGCAGGTGCTCGGTGATGTGAAAGTCGGCGGCTGTTCCATCCAGCTGGGGCAGCTGCTGCCGTCAACTGATTGGCCGGCCACAGAGGCAGTCTGAAACGCGCGCTACGGAGCCGAGTCAAGCCGGCGGCGCCCTTTGTTCGTTCTGTGACTGTGAGACGGCCCAGAGGTGAGCACTCGTTCGTTAATGTGCGTTCATGATCGGTTTTTTTTTTTTTTCTTTCGGCGTTCTCTGTTTGTGCTGGTCGAAGGTCGACGACCAAATGTTCTCACTGCATCGTATATGACTCTGTGGTGGTGCGAAATGGGCAGCCGATTTTCCTGCTGATATCTCTGCTTGGTGAACTTGTCTTTACTTGTCTTTCTATTGTTCTTTTCGCGGATTACAGGCGCTGACCGATTGCCTCGGTGGGCATACTAGGTTCGTTCATCTGTGAGCATTTCATGCTCGAGCCTCCTTTGAACCTTGATAGGTGCAAACACCAAGCCGGGAGCCCTTCAGAGTGCATCTGCGCCACGTGCCACAACGTAAGTAAAACCCCAAGACGGAGGTCATTGCTACAACTAGCATGTGGTAGAATAAAGTCTCCAGTCGTGGTGAAGCGATGTAACTCTCCCGAGGAGAATCCACCATCAAGGAGAGGGTTATTCCGTATCTCAAACTGCAAGTCACCCAGCCACTTAATACTGCACAGCGACTCCTAGGTAATAGTGAGCAAGTTGGTAAGAAATAAGGTACCTACTGTAGGTAGTTGTAAGCTCAGCTGTCACATTCATCCAGAGGCGATCCAGACTTCTGCCACCCTTGCAATCCCACTCTCTTTCTTCCCCACATCATCTCAGGCACTGCCCTGACAGGCTGCAGGCCATCTGCGTGTGCTCCGTGCTGTTTGGGATTGAGTGTGCAATTTCCGTATGCCAACGCATACGAGCTCCTTTGCTTTGTACGCCAGTGTGCATGCAGGCCTTTGCCATTTGCTTCGCCTCATCGCTGGGTCACGGTGCTTAGGCTCCATACAGCTTCACCGGAAGCTTGCAAGCAACCTCGGCGATACTCAGGCTTACGCCAAACGCCTGCAGTTATCTTACTGTATTACACTCTCACTCGAGCCGACAAGAAGATTTAAATTAAGCTTGGTTATCACACTTGAGATAGGGGTCCAACTCGGCTCAGGTGCTCGCTGTATAATGGTTGGTAACTGTTGCTGTACATGTAAATGCCAGGATACTGTACCTTTCACATCCATTCAGGCTTGAACAGTAGGTGGGTACCTTATGTATCTCACGTGGATACTCAAAATGCACCTCTCTCCAGAGACATCTGCATGTCTTCCAGGCTCCGAATGCGGACAGAGCAGCACCAGTAATATGATGCTTCGCAAGACTCGGCGTGGTCAACTAGAGATCACCTCAAGCTCTCCTTGTGGCTACAGTCAGAGTTCGAGTGAGATACTTGAGCAGGCAAAGCCACATCATCACACATGAAGTACCTTACAAGCAACAATAACCAATGCCTGCCTCCAACATCTCACTCCTCGGAGGGCGCTCTTAAGCTCAATGTAACGAATTAAGCATAACAAGAAGCTCCATGCCGGCGTCGGTTCGATTCGAGTGATTCTAATCCTTCTTGAATCGATGGGTAGTCAAGTCAAACACGGAGCTGCTTCATTCAAGCATGGGTCATGCCTGTGTCTTTTTTTTCCCCTGTCGACGTGATGCATGTGGTCTTGGCCGCGGCATCTGCGACCTTGAGCTTGGCCATTGTATTTTTGGAAAGGCCTCGTCTCATCCTGTCGATCTGGAACTGAAAGTCTTTTGAAGATACGGAGTAAACTGCAATTGTTTGTTTCATTCGAGTTTTGAAGGAGCTTGTAGCAGGATTCCTCGGCCGATCACCGGTATGCAGGAGCCGGGATCCTAGTTGCAGTGCAGCGTACCGCTGGGGAGGTATGATTGCGGAAGAGGAGTTGCCGTCTTCTTCTCTGCATCTTGTGTGTAGTCAGCATCTTGGCATAAACGCTCCATTCCATGTGTGCCCTATTGATAAGCTGTAGATTGTAACCTACGTGAAGAAATATCTTCCACTTCCATCATTTTCTCTCATTATCTCAACCGCAGTTGTGTACTTTTTGTCGAGCCTTTGGGTCTCTCAGTCGTATGACACGGATTACTCTCCCCTGTCGCTGGAGGTTGTGATACCGGTGCGCCGAGGTTCACAGTCTAAGTGAGAGACACCGCTGGGATGCCTGCAAGGTGCTGCAATACAATGGAAATCAATGGTTGCTCTGTTCTGTTGTGGAAGATGCGTCTGATGGTACAAGTTGAGAGCTCGGGGGCGTAGTGATGCCTACCTAGGTATGTCAGTGTCGAACACCAGGAACACATCAACAGCATGAAGGATGGAAGCCAACAACGCGTGTTGAGGTGCCTGGGCAGAAGAATATGGCTCCTCGGATAGTATTCAGCTCGATCGAGTGCTAGTGAGAGCGCCTGATGCCTCACAGAGCCGGATCGGGAGTTGAGGAGGTGGTAAATGATGTTCATGATCGAGGAGGCCAAGATACTGACTGACAAAGTAGCTGAAATGGCATTGCTATGATCACGATCTGTCTTGGTTACATAGGTAGGTACTTAATGCCATCTCTAGGCCTGGTTTGCGAGTAGGTAGTTTGCCTTTAGGAGAGCCACGGCTAAATAAATGATGAATTCAAGATCATGGAAAATCGGCAAAGGCAGAGAGAACAAGGCACGGGCTGTAGCATGAGTGGCTGGCTAACAGCACTGTCGCAAGATCGCGAGATTGATGATGAGCTCGTTGCTAAGCGACTAGTACCCTTTGCACTGAGTTTTAATCTCTGCTGTGTCGACTTGATATGAGAGGACATCTGTCACGCATAAAAACCATGCAGACATCATAATCCGTCATGTCATGCTTTTCTCTCCTCATCCTTTATAAGAGATAGGTACCTATTAGTACTTAGACCCAGCTTTATTCATGTCTTGGAGGAGGATGAGGAGGAGGAGGAGGACTTCTGTTTGGGCGGGCATAAGATTGAGGTGGGGTAATTTCACTTGTGCAAATGAGATGTCTTTCATGGGCGGCTCGAGAGGCTCGCAGGCCAATCATTCCATCAAGACGACGATATTGGTACGGGAGCACAAGGCATAGAAGATATGGAGATGAAAAAAAAAAAAATGAAAAGAAAGGGAAAGAAAAGTTGTGCATCTAGGGAGAAGATGAGGAATTGTACATATACCTAGGTAGATACCAGCATCGTGCTCGTACCTTAGGAACCTCTGTCATGTTTTGCTGGCAGCTCTGAAGAAGACATGAATCCATACAGGGTCTGGTACCTACCTACTCTCGGCGATGGGCGTCATTTGAATTGATTGCTATTTTGCTTTAGCGGCTTTGACGCCTAAATCGTCACTCCAACACTCGGGCAAAGTAAGCCGCCCTGCTGCTGCTGCTGCGCTGCACGCAATTATATTGGATGCGCCTCGGGACAGCCGCTACGGAGCGCCATTCGTCGTCTGACAGCCCTTTGATGCCCATTAAGTTTCCGCCTCATTTCGTTTTTTTTTCTTCTCGTCCCTTTCCGGTGCACTTCGTGACGTCCTCTGTCGCACTCTCCCCTTCTGCCTTGTCATCAGTTCTGGTCTTGTTTCCTTCGCCCTTGTCGAGCATTTGTGCCGCATGCTCGTGGCCGCCTCGCCGCCTACATTCCTGCGCGGACGAGACACATACGACGACGACGTCGACGACGACTGGGACCTAACCAACGATTCTCCAATTTCCATCATCTGATCGGCCTGGCCCTTCTGCGTCCTGCACCGCCCCCCCTCTGTCGCTTGCAATCTCCGTTTCGGCACGCGAGCACGAGACCTGGAGGCACCGCGTAAAGTGCCAGCGAAATCCCACCTCGCCGGCCCCAAACTGACCTGCGCTGCGCTGCGCTGCCTCGACAGGGCCTGTATCCTGCCTCCATCGACGCCCTCGTCGTGCGCCGTATTACTGTGCGGTGCAACCACTCTCTCCGTCTGCTCCCACCCTCGCCGAGAACCCGCGAGCTTGTCAAGACGGGTCATTGACTTTGGCCCGGCCACCGTTTGGGGGTGTACAGCTGCCCAAGAATCAGAACTGGAATCGCCTCCCGTTCCAAGGGCGGCTGACGACGCCACGATAGCGAGCACGTCGAGCCGTGAAATGCATCTCTCTTTGGCCCTGCAGAACCCACAGTCCAGAGTTTGAAATAGACCCCGGTCTATCCAAGATGAGAGAACCCATGGATGGCGTAAGCCACGATGATGCAAAAAGCACCCGCAGCCTGAGAATGGATCTGGACGAGAGGGCGACCGAATGCCCAGACGACATCGAAATGCAGCAGGACGACCCAGGCGACGGCAGCTTTCCATCCCCAATGACCACGTCCATGGTGGCCTCGTTTCTCAACACAACCTCGAGTCCCGTCTCTCCCGGTCCGTCAAGCCCATCCTTCCAGATGGCCAAGAGCACGTCCTTTGTCCCGCCCGCGCGGCCCAGCAGCACCCCGTTCCCGCACCCCGAAACTCGAAACCCCCAGATTTGCTGCCTGGATGATTCAGAGTCCAGCTCCGATGGCAGCGGCTGGGACAAGTCCTCGACCGAGCCAGTTGACGCTGCCTCGGGAAGACCGCTCGCGCGGCATTTCGACGAACTACCCACCGAAGTCCATGAGGCGATCCTCGACCACATATTCGGATACTGTGTGTCTGCTACGTCGAGAAGCACAATGAGGATCTCGAGTCTGACCAGGGGCTGGAGCACGGCTCTTCGCCATTCGCGGAGGCGAGAGCTCACTGCGCTGGCTCTGGTCAACCGCGTGTGGAGGATACTGGTCCAGCAGCGGCTATTCCGCCATATCAAGCTCAAGGCGACGCTTGATTCCATCACCGGCGCAATGGACTTCTTGATCGAGCGACCCCATCTTGCGGAGTATATCAAGCACATTGAGATCTGGTTCCCCGTTTTCCAGCCGACATACGGGCCGTTCGCCTTGTCCAATACTCTCACGCTTCCCACCGTGACGACAGACGGGCTCACCAATGCCACATACACGTTGCCGGGAGACAACTGCACCCTCGATCAAGTATTTCTGTTTGTCGCCGCTACACTTCCAGCGACCAAAGTGCTCACGCTGGAAGGCGGAGAGCGGCGCAAGGCACCCGGAGTGGTCCATTTCGACATGAGCACGGGCCCGCCCATCGAGGAACGGCGGCTGGAGCCTCTCGACTCGGTGCGCACTCTGGTGACCAAGGGCCAGTGGAATCTCATGAGGGACGACGAGGACTTCAAATATCTCATGAGGGCATTGCCCAACCTAGAGGAGTGGCAAGGATCCTACAGCAAGCCAAAGTCCAAGACCTACATCACAGCAGCAGAGTTTATGCCGTTCTTGCCCAAGCATGTCACGAACCTGAATCTATGCATGGAAAGCGACTACCGCCGAGAGGGAGTGATGCCGTCCTTTTACTACAAAGTTGTTCAAAAGGCTCATCTCTGTTCCAGCTTGGCCTTTGTCTTACCATCGCTGGAACACTTTGTATATACCGGCCGCATCTGTCACCATTTCTTTTATGATGCAGCGCGTTATGCAGAGCACCAGACAACGAACCTCAGATCCGTTGACATCACCGTCAAGAACTGCTGCCGCCAGTCCTTTAGCTTCCACGACTCCGGTTCTGGGATCCAGGACATGGCGTTCATTGACGCTTTTGAGAAGCTGGTCCTCTCTGCGGTCCGCTCGATGGAGATATTCAAGAAGCTGGAATACCTGAGGATTCGATTCGTCGATTTAGGTAATTTTTTTTTATCTTTGCCTTGCCAATACTCCCTCACTCAAGTACGACTGCCGGTTGCTAACCCTATTATCAACAGATTCCGTCTTGCCGCCGCTCAACCCCTTTTTCTTGGTGCAGGGTGGAAAGTGCACTGGGGTATGGAGCGACGTTATTCTCACCGAAATGAACAGGGTTCGGCCTGATGTCACATTTCCCGGGCTGAGCGACAGCTTCGGCAATATCGTCTACAGTAAGGATGGTCGGATGATTATTGCCCCTGAGCCTTCCAAGACGCGCATCACCTCTCTCAAGCTGGCCAATTACCGATCGCTTGCAACTCGGATTACGATTCAGTAGCCACCGAGCCATCCACGAAGGGTGACCAAATCGTGAGCAAGTCACATCAGAGATCTGCATAGAAGTTTTCTCATCTTCATTTTTTGGAGCAGGTTGCAAGCAAAGCAAAAGTCGACCTAGGTTCATGTTATGGATTGCATATGCCGAAGAAAAGCGTCCATTTCTTCTCTTCTTTCTCTCTCTTTTTCTCTCCAGGCGTTTGCGACCTTTCACATCAGCACAAGGCGAGATTGCAGGATTTGAATTCTGTCCGTGATCTCGGCTCATTTTCTGTTCTTTTTTTTTTTTTCTTTCCTAGTCGGATTTTCATACCCAGGAACAGTCGAATAATACGAACAAAGCTTGGAGTTGGGTTGTTACTCGCATATAGGGTTCGGGGCCGCGATTTGGGTTTGAGCGCACTGCTGCTTTTGAACGCCATGATAGGGTAACATCTTGGCGTTTGGCATCTCAGAGAAGGGGGGGAGGACGTGATTTGCAACGAGATTGAGAGATATTGGGCCAAAGTTTAGGTCGATACCCGTAATGAGATTTCTGGTATCCTATGCCGTCAATTATCATGCGCATTCACATGCTTTTTACTGTGGAATCTTTAGCAAGCCTGGTCATGGAAGAACATTGTGTCCCAAAGAGTAAAAAGGCTTTTAAAAATGCTCTTGTTCCTTCAGGGGATGGGTTCTCTTTTATTGCTAAAGCACTCTATGAAGTATGCACCTTCTGAATGCTCCTCTCCGCCCCATCGCTGATGATGATGCCCAATATCCAGCAGTTGATGAGGAAGAAGGCCAATGAGGCGAGCCATAACCCAGGAAAGAAGGTGCTAACCCCCAAGAATTCCAGCTCGTACCCTTGCTGTAACCAAGCAGCCTGGCCCAGGACCCAAAGTAGCAGTGCGGTGATGCCGCGCCTGGGGTCACGCAGCATGGATGATCCAGGAAGATAGAGAGGCAGAAAGATCATATACCAGAGGAAGTACTACAGCAAGAACAGACAAGAAGAGAGGTAAGTTGTGAGTTACTGGAAGCATCGAAAGGAAAGAGTAAATAGGGGAGGCGGGCCGGCTTACCTGTGAAGTGCAGACCTTGTTAAAGGTGACAAAGGCAAAAGTCTGTGCCATCATGGACGTGGCGAGATCCTTCTTGGCGAGGACAAAGGGGATGAGGAGGCACGAGAGGAGCAGCTGGGGGAGGAAGGCATGGAGGGAGCTGGAGGACGGGTTGGCGGAGGCGAGGTAGAGGTAGATGTTGTACGGGGAGAAGTTGTGGCGGTGGTCGATGCGGGTGACGTGGTGGAAGTAGGAATGGGTGAGAAAGGGGGTGCCGTAGCTGGGGAGAGGGGTGTTAGTGAGTTGCCCGTTGCTGTCGTAGACGATTGATGACGGGGGCTTGGGAAGAAGAAAGGGGGGAAGGAAGAGAAAGAGGAGACGTACATGTAGTACATGAGAACGTTGAGTCCCATAAAGGTTGATAGGCTGATGAGCGTAAGCTTTATCCTCTCGGGAGAGACGAGGCGTAGTACAGCCTCCGCGAGCGCCGCTGGAGGCTTCGACGTCTTCTTCTTGCCCAGATGCTCATCGTCCATCCACCAGATGATGGCCGGCGCATAAATGAAAGGGTATATCTTGAAGTGCACGCTCAATCCCAAAATCAAGCCGGCCACCCCGATCCTCCTCCCCTCCACAGCCCACAGCAGCGCCATGGTCAAGACGCCCAGCAAGCCCTCCGAGCTGCCCCTGGTGCTGATCGTGGCGACCATCGGGTTCCACAGCCAGATGGCGGCAAACGCGCCGGCCCGCTCGGCGCTCATCCCGCGCTGTTTCCGGAGGACCCTGACGATGAGCCATCCGGCGAGCAGGTCCGCGAGCGCGAAGACGACCTTGCCGAAGGAGAAGAGGCGCGGGCTGGCGGTGGGGACGAGGAGCCAGGCGAGGAGGGGCGTGTAGCGGTACGTTTCCCGGGCGTAGGGGCTGAGGCCGCGGGAGACGGAGCGGGCGGCGTCGGTGAAGACGAGGTAGTCGATGTCGGTGTACTTGACGGCGGAGTGGGCGTCTTGCCAGGTGCCGTAGAGGAGGAGGACGAGGCGGAGGAGGGCGGCGAGGGAGAAGAGGGGGGCTGGGCGGAAGAGGGTGGTGAGGAGTGAGGGGGGCATCTTCCTTAATCAAGTTGTTCTTGTCGTCGTTGTTGAGAGAGGGATTGGTATGAGGGTGAGGCGAGATGAGAGGTGAGTTGAGTGAGGCTCTATAAAGGACAGCGTGTTGTGATGGTGGAGGAAGCGCAGGGGAGCATGGTTCCTAGTTGTGAGGCTGTAACTGAAGCAGCTCCAAGTAATATCTTGTCGAGTTGGATATAGAGTGAAGATTGGTCAATTAAAGGTTGTGTGTCTCTCTGGAGGGCTGGCCTCATTCCAAGTGTTTGTCTGAAGCTGACCAGATACTACTATTATGACGATAAGCTGCCTTCTGTTGCTCCTTTAGCTCTGACCTCACAAGCTTGTAAACCGCAGTGGGGCCGTAGCAAGCAGTCTGGAGCTTCTGAGTGGCTGCTCTCGACCGCCCGCGTCTCCACTCTCGACCACCAGGGCACCTCGAACCAAAACTTTTGGGGACAAGCTTCAGTTGAGAGACCTCATCAATCAATAATCGAGGCATCAGACAATAAACGACAGAGCTTTCGCGGCATTCTCACGCATCATCTTGGATTGAGAGAGAGCAGCACCATGGCCGGAGGCACTAAGAGAGACTACGATGGTAACGCTCGCAAAAAGACGCCGCAGCAGCCGCGGGGCCGATTCCACGCCATGTTTGAGAATATCCGGGATGAGCTGGACGAGCATTACGATCGCAGAGAGAGAGTCATCAAGGCGTCCAGAGACGTGACGGCCCAGAGCAAGAAGATGTCAGTCATGATTATTAGGATCAATGTCAATTCTTCTCATACATGAATGACCGCCAAGCTCATACTGTCCAATAGCATTTTCACATTACAAAGGTATACATACTCATGAGGAGAGCTCGACTCTTCACCAGTCCCTCGTTGACTTAAATCAATACAGGGTCAAAGAACTCAACAAGGACTTCCCGGATGACATACAGCAAGACGTCGACACGCGCCTCAAGGAAATCGCAAAGCTCCTCTCGCCCATCGTCGCAGACGTGCAGTCCATCAATCGCTACCGCTACGGCTACTCCCTCAGATGCCTAGAGGAGCTCGTCGAGGCGCTCTCCTTTGCGCACTACCTGCGGCACCAGAAAGTCATCACCCCAGAAGAGACTCAGGCGGCCACGCCGGCCGACATCCTGCTCACGCCACACGACTACATGTTTGGCCTGTTCGACCTCTTTGGCGAGCTCATGCGGTTCGCAACGGTCACGACGGCGCAGTCGGGCAGGCTCGTCGGCGATTATGAGAGGAACATCCTGAGCGACATACAGGAGCTTGGGTGCTCGTTTGAGATGCTGCCGCAGATGCCGACCAAGGACTTTAAGGGCAAGATGGAGGTCATGCGGCAGAGCATCAACAAGGTCGAGAAGCTGGGCTACGGGCTGGTTGTCAGGGGGAGCGAGCGGCCCAAGGGGTGGGTTCCTGATATGAAGGATGATGTTCCCCGACCTGCATCGCCTGTGTGAGGGAGGAATGGAGTGGGTTTGTTGTTTCCTTTTGCTTCTAGTTATGTTGTGCGTTACATTGCTGTTTGTTCATTGTCGACATAATCTTTGAGTTGTCAGGGAGCTGTATGCGTCATAGTATGGCAATTTGTCCTTGGATTTTCCACATGACGCGCGTTCATTCTAGTCATAATACAGTATTCGGACGGAGAGCATCTGTGGTAGGTAAATATGGATTATGCCGCCCTCTCTGTTCGTGGCATACTGACAGGATCGGCTTTCTTGGTCTTCACAAATCGTGCTTCGAGCCGGAGATTGGAAGCCATTCATACGTCGAGGGTAAAGTGCACAGGTAGTTCGGGAGACGGGATGCAGGGTATGGTGGAAGGTACCGATTAACCTTTCTATGGCTGGCAGTTCAACGCCAATATGTTGGCAGAGAACAAGAGACATACTCATGCCTTAGAAACTCAGCATGGTTCCCATCAAAACTGCTGACTGTCCCCCTCAAAATGTCCGTGTATCGCAATACTAACCATTAGAAGCACAAAGGCGTCGCCCCAAAGTCAAACACTTCGACCAGGCGCATATCTTGCTGAGTTAGATTTTCCCCTGTATCTCTCCGTCTTCACAGACAACACGCGAAATATCGGACAAAAGATACCAGCGTGACCAAACACCTCTCGAGGCAGAATCAGGCTCTGCCACCGCTCACCGACTTGCCAGCTGCGAGAATCTGAGCACATGATTCTCACATCACTCATGACGTTTTCGACGTGCGCACGCACAGCGTTGAGCATCACCTTCGGAAGGATAAAATTAACTCTCCGGGTTCTCTCCCCTTCTTCTTCTTCTTCTTCTTCTTCTTCTCCCTCCTCCTTTCTCTTTCCCCTCTCACCTCTTTTAGTTCCTCCTCCTACCCACCCAACTCAACGCCAACACGCAACTTGTTGAGTCTGTGGCTCTCCTTGAGCTATACCTCATCAACAGCGATAAAGTAAAGCCTCTCATTGCCGCTCGAAACCTTCTCTTATCAACTGGTAGCTCTGCCGAGACTTCAGTTTCTCTTAAATCGCGGTAGAGAGATGGTTGAGGTGGCTTGACCTTGGCCACAGTCGCTACGAACCTCTCTGCTCGTTCACCAATAACTTTTTTTACTCTTTGCCGCAGCGGTCCCCTACCATGGTTTGGTCTCTCTAGTTATTCCTATAAGAACAGTCATCTCCTTCCATACCAACCATCTCGACACTTTTCCTCGTCCACACATTTTCTGGCTTGACTGCCTTCTTACCATAGGCATTGGCTACACCAGTTGCGTCTGCCACCTCTTGCCCTGAATTCATACCAAGGGCTGCTCGAGGTGGTCTCTCGCCTTCATACCCAGGTGTATATACAGGACACTGTTACAAGCTCGGTTACTTGGCCTCCATCGGCTTTATGCCCTGTCGTTGCGACGGTATGGCTCCTCCTATATGTCCGCACGTCGTTTGTTGGGGCTTGAAGCTAACTCTTGAATAGATATTTCTGGCCACTGCATCCACCATGGCATCCAATGTGTGTGAGCCTCGTCCGGGTGCGCCGGTAGCCGTGAGGTGCCCTGATGTGGTATCTAGCAACGAGCAGATCCCCTCCGGTATCGTGGGAGCAAACTGCAGTCAGTCAACCTTTTCTGTGCCAGCTGAATGGCCTGGCAGAGAGGACGGGGTCGTCGCCAGAATGCACGTTGAGCATCTCGCGCCCGCAACTGTCGAGCATGATGAGCCCATCGTCTTGATCCACGGCGATTTCCACAGTGGCGATGTAAGTCTCGAGAAACACAATGACATCTTGGCGGACGATATACTGACATGTTCCGGTAGATATGGCTCACGAAGCCAGATTTCGGGACAGGATGGGCCGCGTACTTCGTCAACCGAGGTTACAGCGTATACATTGTCCATTTGCCGGGCAGCGGCTGGTCCAGCTTGCCTATTGCCGACATCTTGCCTGGCCAACTGTTGCCGAAAGCGCAGTATATGAATCCGCGAAGTGTTGAAACTCAACTTACTGCTCCCGAGAGAAACCTGATTCGAGGCGCGACCGCATGGCCGACAGCTGGTTTGCACAACAAGTGGCCCGGGGTAAGATTGTCTCCCTCCGCTATGTTGAAGTGTTAAACACGACTAACTAAAATTTCCTTGATAGACCGGCCAACCTGGCGACCCCTTCTTTCACCGGTATCATTGTACACTGCAGGTCCTTCTTGTGCAAAAGCCCCTGCGAGAAAAGCTTGCTCAAAATGGTCTCCGCAACCTCCTCGCCATCACCGGAAGGGCAATACTGATCGGACAAGGAGCCGGATGTACCGCAGCCTGGGTCGCTGCCGATGCTGTTCCAGAGCTCGTAGCCAAGGTCGTGGCTGTCGAGCCGGCCGGACCGCCAGCAGCGAGAGCTCACACTAGCTATCGTGAGGGCCGGGTGTACAGCCCATGGCTGAGCGGGGATGACAGCGTACGGAAATTTGGACTTGCTGATATCCCTCTGACCTTTGAGCCTCAGGTAACTGGGCCGGCGCTGGAGTTTGAGGCCCGCCAACTTCCCGACAACAACGGCTGCTACATGGCGCAGAGATGGAGGCCGGGAGGCGTGGCTCTGCCCAAGCCGCTCAAGGCAGGGCAGGAATCTGTGCCACAGCTGGTTCACTTGAAGAAGATGCGCCATGCAATTATCACTGCCGAAGCGAGCTCTCATTCCATGTTCGACTGGGCTACTGTGCTGTTCATGCGACAGGCCGGTGTGACGGTGGACCACATCGATCTGGCCAAGTTTGGTATTCGGGGCAACGGGCATCTAATGTTCCTTGAGACCAACAGTGATGATATTGCTGGGATTGTGGCTAACTGGATCGAGGATTTCGACGATGAGCCAGTCTCTCGCTCGCAGACAGCTTCGCTCGACCTAGACCAAGCGAACCCCCAGGTTGTAGATGCTCTCAATGGAAGCCAAGGCCAGAGCGCTCCGCCTGGTATTGGCGAGAAGCGGATACGTCAAGACTCGGATAGCAACGATGCTCTGACCTTTCCGAAACGACAAAATATTGGCTTTCAGACCACCGCGGCCGAGCACGCCCAGGCTTCGAACACAGCGCTTCAAGCACCCCTGACACAGTTGTCACAGGCTCATCAGCTGACCGACCTTGGCTATACTGGTCTTCAATCACCTGCGGCTGAATGTCCTCTGGTCGTTGCTAGCATCAGTCCGCAGAGACTCACGGCCGAATATCCTCAGGCCCAGAAGAAGTCAAGCGATTTGGGCCTGATGAGTCGTCAACATCAGGTGGTCGGACCGTCTTTATCTGATACCACTGGCCTTCAATCGCCAATGGCAGAACCTCTCCATGTCGGAAGTCAGAGTCTAGATGCAACAGCCTTTCCCGTCGAACTTCAAGACAGCCAGCCACAGGTGCTGGCCCAACCAGACGCAAGCTATCCCAGCCCGGAAATGGAAATCATTGAGGAGTTTGTCCCCTTGACGAAGTCTGTTCCCGCTGTCGAGCCTGCTCCCGTTGTCGAGTCTCTTACCATCACCGAGCCTGCTCCCGTTGTCGAGTCTCTTACCATCACCGAGCCTGCTCCCGTTGTCGAGTCTCTTACCATCACCGAGCCTGCTCCAGTCGTCAATCCTGTTACCATCACCGAGCCTGCTCCCGCCAACGAGCCTGCTCCCGCCAACGAGCCTGCTCCCGCCAACGAGCCTGCTCCCGCCGTTGAGTCTGGTCTCGTTGAAGAGTCCGCTCTCTTCCGGGAGTGTGCAGACGACTTCGAGTACAATCCACTCACCGAATACGATTCTTTTGCAGAGTTTATGGCAAACCTTGCACCAGGCGAGGAAGCCTTTTTCCCGTTCATGGGTAACTCAAGCGACCATGCTACCATGGGAGAACAACAAACCTCTCTCGATTCTCTTACCTTCGAAGACCCCTGGAAGGACCTGGGAGACTCGGAGTTCCTGAATATGTTTCAGTAGCAATGGCGGTCGAAACCAGGGCGGGTATAGAAAGTGAACCAGGCGCTTTGGGTGCACGAAATTTCTTTTCAAATATTGCTTGATCTTGCTAAGTTAGGTTCATCTGGGATTGGGATTCGGTCGTCTGGGTTTCGGCTTTTTTTTTCTTCTCCTTTCTGTTTTCTTTCGTTTCGGCGTCTTCTGCTTCATGACTTTGAAGACATTGCCAGAGATACCAAGTTCAATTTCGGGTGCGTATGGGTCAGATTATCACGGGCTTTTCACCGAGGAGTACTCCGTACTAGCACGAATACATTGCAAATATTGCTGGGACTTGATCCAATAGTCCTGACGTGAGAGGCTGTGAAGTTGTCAGTATTTGGATTGGCCGTGAGCTGAATGTAAGTCGTACCTGAGTTGCTAGGGCGATGAACGAACCGAGAGCAAGGTGCCAGAAGAGATGGTTAGCCAGAGAGGATGTCTGCTTGATGAATAATCTGGGACACTGATGCATGCTGTCTGAGGTCAGGCTGAAGATAGAGATGGAGTCACGATGCTTCCCCTAGGTGAATGACAGAAGGATCTTCACCATCTTTCCGGCAGTTGCAAGATTGTTCAAAACGATTCCACGGAGTTGTCCGTTCTTGCCTTGTAAGATGATCGTGTGGCTTGTTAAGCTTGTGTTGCCTATCGGCAGGTACGACCTGATTGGTCATATTGAGAGCAAGTGCCCGCTTTTTAGATCTTGAACACGGACGAACTCGCAACTGCCGCAACTCTCACAACTCTCAACCACTTCCACAAGTACTTAAGAGCACCTGAAGATGCACATCTTGGACACGGTCAGCATACCGACTCGTCTGCTCTTCATTGCTGTCACCACTTGATTCTTGCGCATCAACTGCAGGAGAGCGAACCGTATCCTTGCCGAGGCTCGCGCTGCACCCGTCGTCATAGGCACAGTTACAGCCATTACAGCCGATACAGCTGCCGTCATCAGTCACATCGCGATACTCCATGTTCGCAGCCATGGACACGCTGCACATTCCTCTCTTCCTGGACGACGACTCCAAATGGCAGGCCGTCCAGTCACGCGATGCCGCAGCCGATGGCTTCTTTGTCTACGGAGTCCGGACCACAAAAGTCTTCTGTCGACCAATCTGCAAGGCTAGGCTAGCTCGCCGCGCAAATGTACGCTTCTACGCTACGGGGGACGAAGCCAAAGAGAACGGCTTCAGGGCGTGCAAGCGATGCAAGCCCGAGGTGCTGGGCTTGATGCCCGAGGAGCAAGCGGTGCAGAAGATCCGGGCGTTTGTGCGGCATCGCCAGGCTGCCAGCGGCGGAGACCAAGATGTGGGCGACATGAGGATGAGCCTGAGCCAGATGGCCAAGAAGACGGGCCTTTCAAAGTGGCATTTCCATCGCGTTTTCAAGAAGTGCGTTGGCATCACCCCCGTGGAGTACCTCAGGATGCTGCGAGATGATGCCGTCAGCCTCAGTCCTGGAGCCGAGAGCGAGGGAGGACTGAGCTGGACTGATCAGCTGGGTCTGGTCAACATCGACATGGACTTTGACTTTGGATTCCTCAACGATCCGGGGGCCCTGGACGCAGTCCCGAGCGCCGATGACGCAGCAGCAGCAACCTCGCAGAGCGACTGCTCGCTATTTACATTTGACGATCTCCTAGCTTGGCCCGAGAGCATTGGAAATGAGTAATCCCGCTCGTGGCAAACCGCTCGGGACGGACTAATTTGTTCGGGCACGGATGCTTGAATTCGAGGGCCGGTGAGAGCGGATATGAGTCTATATCTCGGGATTCGGTGAATTCGACGTCTACGGGGTGGCGACTTGCTGACAGCAGGCCACGCCGCAGCGCAAATGACGGATGTGCCCGCTCGGTCTACGAAGGACTTAACAGCGCGCCATATTCCCCATGATCGCCTGGATCAGCATCTTTATAAGAGGAACAGATGAGAATGGCGAGCAGAAGAGCATCGAATCCCTTCTCACCGCATCACCGAAAAGTCCAGGTTTATAGCTTCGAAGCACTTCCGTCCAGGATCCCGCCTTGGCACCGCCGTCACTTCCCAATTGGGCAATTTGTTACTCGCGGCTGACTAAAGCCGAATTGCTGATTGGCTCGCGCTCCCTGGCAGCAGCTCCCGCCTCTCTCATATCGAAGAAGCTTGGATCACTTCAACAGCAATAAGACGTCAAGAGCCGGCCGCTTCACGCGTAAAAGATATCTCCGAAGTGCCTGATCCGAATTACCAGGTCGCCGATTGGCTCGGTCTGTTGGCGGATTGCGAGAGGGTTCCATACATGCGCATCCAGCGATCTCTCTTATAAGGGCTGTCTTGATGCATCGATCTCACAACCAGATCTCATGATAATATCGAGTTATCTCCTGCTTGCTTCCTCATCAACCTCCTCACATTCTTGGGCCGATTCACATCGTTTTACCTGCTCATCATCATTGATCATAATTGCCTGATTCACATTGGCCATCATTTATACCACCCTAGCCACTCCCATGTCCGGCGGCCCTCTCCGCTGTAACGTGCAACACAACAACGAAGAGGAAAAAATAAGCACAGACACCATGTCACAGCCTCCATCAGAATCATCCCCTCTACTACCCGCAGAGCCTGCCATAGAGCGGCCCTGGGACAACAAGTCCATCATTCAGCCCGACTCGTCCTCAATAACCTCGTCTGTATCCTCAAGCATGGACCTCACAGACGTCCTCCGCGATGTCATCATCGGCTTCTCAGACGGCCTGACAGTGCCATTCGCCCTCACGGCGGGCCTCTCCAGCCTCGGCAGCACAAAGCTCGTCATCATGGGCGGCATGGCCGAGCTCTTCTCCGGCATGATCAGCATGGGCCTGGGCGCCTATCTCGCCGCCGTCACCGAGCGGGACCACTACAACTCGGAGGAGCAGCGCGAGCTCAGCCTCGTCGACTGCAGCCTGCCCCAGGAGCAGCGAGACGACATCTTTTGCATCTTGGAGCAGTACAACATCTCCCGGCAGGCCGCCGCCCCCCTGGTGGAGGAGCTCTGCAAGAACCGCGAGCAGTGGATTCGCTTCCGCATGGACTTTTCGCTGCGCCTTGAGAAGCCAAACATTCACCGTGCCTGGATCTCTGGCCTCACCATGGGTCTAAGTTACTTCGTCGGCGGCCTGATTCCCATGATTCCGTATTTCGTCATGAGCAAGGTTGGCGACGCCCTCTTCGTCTCCATTGCCGTCACGGTCGTCATCCTCCTAGGCTTTGGATACGTCAAGAATTACGTCGCCATCAGGAACCACAGGGCTGGTCTATGGGGCGCTATTCAGACGCTGATCATAGGCGTCCTGGCTGCTGGGACGAGTTATGTTCTTGTTAAGGCGCTCGACAGGACGGATGTCTGAAGGGCATTGTTGCGTTATTACTCTTGTACTATATCATCTGTGAGGGGGCATATACATGCATTCTGGCGTTTGGGACGGGGAAGCGTGTGGAGGGCAAAAGCGGAAACAGCACGCTGGCGTTCAATGGTTGCATATTTCTTCCTAGCGATATGATAAACATGAATCACGATTTAACTCCTTTCTAACCCATCTCTTGCCGAACCCTGGTCCTACCACTATCGTACTCAGTGAAGAGTTGTCCTCTCCTTGATCATCTTGCTCCAACTTGACGCAGATCTGTTGTGTGAGATAATAGAGAAAAAGTTGTAACATTGTTGTTCATTTTTGCATGTAGATACAGCTTCTATACTTCATGTTATCTGCTAATACCTATTTACACGTCTAATAGTATACAATTACTCGGACTACCTAAGCAGCTTGTCCCATCTGCATCCACATCGCTGGCAGCGAAAATGACAACCCCCTCCCCTCACAACAGCAAATGCAAATGCAAATACACGCTTAACGACTTTTGTTGTTCGGCCTAAGGAATGCAAAAATCTATCCAGCTGCCCAGGTAGTCCAGCCTGTTACCCTGGTGCTCCTGATTCTTGTAAATCTCCTCAAACTCGGCAAAGTTGAGCCTGCCCCAGCCTCCTCGCTCGGCCGCCTGCTGCTCGGCCATGTTGAGCTTCTTCCATCTCCGCAGCGTCTTGATGGATGGTTCGCTGGAGATCTTCTTCGACGCTGGCGGCTTCTCCGCGTCCGTCTTGGCCCCGTCCTTAGAGGGCTCCTTCTCCTTGCGTTTGGACGAGGACGATGGCAGGGGTAGCGGAGCCGCGGGGACGCTGTTGGGACGGAACTGTGGGAGAGTAGGGTCGCGATGCTCGTCTTCGGCTTCGTCAAGAGACTCAGACTCGGATTCGGTGGTCTCGCCCTCGGCCGGATTCGAGGAGTGTTCGCCAGCCTCGAGAGCATTCTCTTCCCGTATGATTTCTTCTACAATACTAATCTCGACAGCATTCCGGGGCTCCTGATGGCTCGAGTCAAGCATGTATCCGGATTCTTCCAGAAGCTCCTCGAGTGTCTTGTGTCGAGGCGACTTCTCGGCATAAACCGACACGTCTTCTTGTGGGGCGTCGTTGCCATTTTCCGTCTTATCATCGGCGAGGCTAACGGCGTCGATTTCGGCTTTGTACTTGACTCGTTGCTCCTTGGTTGCGGCTGCCTGAACCGCAAGGTCTTCAGCTTGTTTGAAGATGATATCAAGAAGCTCGTTAAATGCCTGTTGCGTGACCTGGTAGAGGATTTCCTTGCCGGCGTCCTTTTCAGCGACGGGAATTCCTAGCCCCGCCCAGCGCTCAGGTTGACTCGCGAAAGACGCCGAGGTGTCGGATTGAGTCTCTATGTCGCTCGTGTCTTCTGCCAGACGAGCCTTGGAGCTGGAGCGAGAGTGCGCCGATGCAATGTGCGGGCTCGCCCTTTTGGAACTTTCTCCCATGATGCCCGATGTCTCAAGAATGTCCTCTTCCTCTTCCCATTGCGAGGGTGGCTCTCCACCTTCCTCCTCGTCTAGGTAGAAGTGCCTCCTCTTCCACCTCTCATGGAGTTGGCGGCGAGCAAGATCCTGACGTCGGCGTGTCATGCGGGGGCCGTGTTGACGATAGTGGTTGACATAGCTTGCTCTGATTTCGCTTTCTGTTGGGATCCTCTCGGTTGTCCGAAAGACACTGGTGAAGTCGTGCCGTTGCGCTGGTGGATGGTCAACATTGTCATGGTCGTCGTCTGCTTCCCTGTCCTCCGTGGCGTCGTCTTCCGATGTCTCGTCTGTAGCGTTGTCATCGAGCCCATTGTTGCCTGCTATCGCACCAGGTAACTCGTCGAGACTAGCGGGCGGGTGCATCAGGGCCAAGAAGTATGCTCGGTCAACGTCGTTGGAAGTCAGGGTACGAACCGTACGCCAGTTGGTATCTACATCATCCGTGGGCGGCATCCGTCGACGAGAGTACGGGTCGGTGTCGTAAGCAAAGAGGTTGGTCAGAATCTCATCTCGGTCAGCCGTGTCGCTGGTGTCGGGCACGACGGCGTCCTCCATCCCAACGTCAATCTCAACATGTCCGTCGGGATACAGAGTCTTGCCGCTGAATGCCAGGGGCCCGTCTGCTGTCGGAACTCTGCCCTCTCGCCCAAAGAGGCTGCTTAGGGGTTGGCGGCTGGCGACGAGTTGCTGAGCTTCGGAGCTGGCGAGCAGCTGATCTTCGAGACCATCGAGAATATCCTTGTGCATCTGCTTGTAAAGGACGTAGTAGGCTCTGAACATGCGAAGGAAGTCACGCCTGTCGACGAAGCCGTCGCCGTCGAGGTCGTACCCATCGAAGACTTTCCTAAGCTTGTCTTTTCGTTTACGGTATGACAAGCCTCGCAGGAATTCAGAGAAGCCTATCAAGTCATCTTTGTTGTCGTCGTAAAAGGCAAACATGCGGTCATGAATCAGGTTAGGAGAAGCATGGCGCGAGCCACCCGTCGGCACAAGGCATCGCTCAAAGGTCTTGCGATCCATGGCAATGCCGAGCTCACTGGGGTCGTCTCGCCACTCGGTGTTTGCCATGAAGGTCCATTGTTCCCAAAAAGCCTCGAGCTCCGGCCGTTCGAATCCCGTTTCCCGTGTCAGCTTTGTGATGAGGGCTCTCGGCAAGTTACGCCGGCAGCTGTCGGGATCTCCGGTGTACCACACGGGTTGCATCTGCCTGGGGCCAAACGGGGGCGCGGGTATCCGAATCTTGTAGAAGATGTGTGTCTTGATATGCACGCCCTGGGACTCGCACGTCTCGCAGAGGTCGAAGTCGGCGCAGTTGGCACAGCGGTAGCGAACCCCACGGATGGGGACCATGCCGCACGAGTTACACTGGCATCCCCGGTGGACGCAGCCGTTGCGCTTGGCATTGTCCTCCGACACCCGGAAGAGAAGGCTGACGATGTTATGGCCAGCTCGCTGCTGGGGAGGATAATTGCTCGGATCGTTCCACCATTCTTCGTTGGCGGGCTCTACGACGGTCTCGCCGTCACCCACGGGCTGTGCGGCCGGGACGTCTTGAGTCTCCGCGTGGTCGGCATTTTCCGCGTTTTCGTCGGGGGGCAGCTCGGAGGAGGAAGAGCTGTCGCTGTGTCTGTGTCCGCGGGATCGCCGCCTGCTTCGGCGGACGGCGTTGCTTCTGTGAAGGCCGCTGCCAGGCAAAGCAGTATCTGGCGCGGTGCGAAGCCGGTTCTGATAGGCGTAGTACCCGATCGAGGCTGCGGCGACGGCCGAGACAAGAGCAACAGCGATTCGCGGCCGAGTGAGAGACTCGGCCGATGGAGTCGAGAGCCACATGGCTATTGTTGTAGCATCGTGGCCGCCAGGGTCGAAAGGGCGGCTATTCCGCTGGTCGAAGAATGGCGAGAGTTGATTGCTAAAAAGCGGCACGATTCCGATGTGTCGAAGAGATGATGCCGATCGGAGCTCTGTGGATGCTGCTATCCGTAAGCCACAGTCGTTCTCTCAGCTGGTGCTATACTGTTGGTTGTCGAGCCTGGTCCGACGGATTGGTTCTTGGTTACCTTAGACTTTGGTGGTGGAAGATGGAGGAGAGGCTGAGGCGTCGTGTTAGAAATCCGATGGCGAGCACCACATGCGTAACAAGTGCGTGCGTGCAGGTGCTCCAAGGCTCCAGTTGCCACCAGTGAACAGCTCCCCGCTGGAGATTTAGCGGTTCCAGCAGCTAGGCGCCAGCCGCAGATGCGCTGAAAGCCACTGAAACTCTCCACTCCACCGCCATGTACTGTAGGTATGTAGAGCCGAGAAAGCACCACCAGCAGCAGCGCATCATACTAGGTACTAGGTAGGTACATGTGCTGTAGCACAAAGCGGGCTTAGCGCTGGGACCCGGCCATCCCACCTATCAAAGCGCCGGCGAGCGATCCGGAAGCGTGCAGCTCTGATGCGGGTGGAGGGGCCGCATGGTGCGGTTTTCAGAGGTGGTCGTGCGGTCATGGACAAAAAGTTGGACGTTTAACATACCTATATCAAGACAAAGAGACACCACAATCCGGCCCTTCTTGTTGATATCCTGGAGCGGCCGTCACTTGACTTGCGATTGAGTCGATCACATCACGGAACCGAGTATATCGCCGCTTGCCTTACTGAAAGATCGAGATCCGACATCATGGCGAACAGGCCGCCGGAATACCACGGGCAGATGCCCTCGTCCTTTGACGACCAGTGCGATTGCCCCCCCATCGCTCTATACCTAAACAGCATGTGCATACGCATCATGGCTAACAAGAAATCCCCAGAGAGCTCTACAACGAGCGGCCGATGCAAAAAGTCAAGCGCAAGCTCAAAGAAGAGCCCCTCGTCCCTCTCGGTGAGCCTCGGTTTCCCTCCTCGTACTCCACCATCTCCTCCTCCTCTTGCCTCCATTCACGGCCGCGATTCAAGACGAGACAATGCTGACCAAAGCGCGTGACGCAGGAATCGGCTTGACCGTCCTCGCCTTCGTCAACGCCTACCGAGCCCTCCGAAAGGGCGACTCCAGGCAGGCAAACCGAATGTTCCGCGCGCGAGTCGCCGCCCAGGGCTTCACTGTCATCGCCATGGTCGCCGGCAGCATGTACTACAGCAAGGATCGCGAAAAGACAAAGGAGCTGCGCAAGCTCAAGGAGGAGCGCGACGCCGAGGAGAAGCGCCAGCGGTGGATCCACGAGCTGGAGGTTCGCGACGAGGAGGAGAGGCAGATGAGGGCGGCGATTCAGCAGAGACAGTCGGGCCGGTCAGATTCCGCTTCTGCTGCTGCTGCTGCCCCTGCTGAGGGGACGGGCGGCGTGCTGGGGAAGATGGGATTGTGGGCAAAGGGTGAGAAGGCTGCGGCGGAGGCGGAGGCGGAGGCGGAGGCTGCCGGGGAGGTGCTGGAGAAGAAGGCGAAGAGAGAGAATCCGAAGAGCTCTCTTGGTGCGCTGGGAGAACTATATAGCTCCAAGAAGGACGATGGCTCTAAGAAATGATGCGTCTTTATGACCATCCGGCAGTACGACTCGATCGGGGAAGACAAAGGTATGTATGTATGTATGAACTTGTACGATATTTGATGAAAGGGGGGAAAAGACAAATCACCCCAACTCTCTGGTTATAACTCCAATGGAAGAAAGCATTGGTATCATTTTCTGCCCTCTATGTGCTAGTGAAGTCTATTCCGTCCGTCCAATACCCAAAAGCATATCATGATATCAGGGGAGAATCCAGTGCCCGCGACCTAGAACACAGAAGTTTACATCGTATCATTCCGTGATCATCCATTCAACCCATTGAACCGCCGCTGCGATTCCCTCCTACTAGCCCGGCCATCTCCAGCAATGCCCTGTCCGCCTCAATGTCACCCGTCCCAAGGTTGATCCTGCGACGGGCTTCCGCTTCACGTTCTTCCCAAGCCCATCTCTCTGCTTGCGCCTTGGCCTCCTCGTCACCACCACATCCCCAGACTTCCATGTTCTCGATTCGAAACCGATCCTGAAAATCATATTTCCTCACGATGCTAGTGTGGAAAGCGCCCCCTCTCGACTTGTAGTCATGATTGAAGACTCCGAACTCGAAAGATTCATCAAACAACAGAGACACGGCTCCTAAAGCATGTATGCCCTCCTTGCGATGCGACTGCGTCGGTTTGGGGTGTGGGCACCCAAATGCTAGACAGGGCCGGTTGCCAGGTGGTTTCGTGAAGGTGACGTAGTCTGTATTGATTGTAGAGGCAGGGAAAACATCGTGAATGGGTTCTAGTTGAAAGAGTATTGTTTCCGAATTGCCGAAGCACTCTTTGTGCGTGTGCTTCCAAGGCTCTCGAACGTACACGCCAAACGTTACACGCTCGGATTTACTACCATGAGGGAACCGTTTGGTGGGAAGCGAAGAGGCGAACGATGCCTCTTGGCCTCCCTCGGGGACGTCTGCTAATCTCGATCCGCTGACTAGAAGAATGGTTGGGGCTCTCCAGTTAAAGACCTTGGTCTGGAGGCTGCCCATGGAGAATCCAGCATCGTTTCCCGAATAGAGCAATCTCACTCTTCGGAACAGAGAGGAGCCAGGTAGAAACAGTGAAAGTTGCGACAGCGTATGCTCAGTCATGATGTCGCCAGGGGTTGGGAGCAGAGGTTGCGCAATCTTGCCAATGATGAGCTGCTCGTCACCAGGCTTCTCAACCTTGTGCTTCGAGAAGTCCAGATCCTTGGAGAAAAGAAAGTGTTCAAACAGGCCATTGAACCCAGCAAAGAGGTTGGGGAATAGGACCGGAATGACAGTCTTGAACCGGGTATATCCAATGCCTGGCGACGTCTCGACATCGACGAAGGATGCTAGTACACACTCTGCCGTGGCTCGCAGCGACTCTAGTTCGGGGCCCGCGACCCGGCTGGAATATTGCGATAGACTCTCCTGAGCATCCAGTGGCGCAATCAGCAGCAGCAGCATAATAAGTTTGCGGAAGTTGTCGGTCGGGATGATGGCTTCTTTAATGGCAGCGGCTTCTCCGTGCTTGGTAGCTTCATCGATGTCGAGCAGCTCGAAGGCCGTAATGACAAGATCATCGTCGTCGTCGTCGCCATCATCCTCGTCCTCGGCCATCGGCTCGTCGATTGCAAAGCCTCTTGTGTTGGCGCTCGGCCTCGCAGTGGCGTCTTTTGAAGTGGAATTCCGCGGTGAAGAACCGGTCTCCTCCATCACTTTCCGGTCATACACAGCCAAGCTTTTAAAAAATAATTTCGTCCTGTCTGTCGAGCCCTTCGCAAGAACGCGCTTATATCGCTCCGTCATGATGACAACGACCATGATCAACTGCGCCAGCTCGAGCACCACGGGGGCCTCCTGCAGAAAGGGAAACGCACCCAGATACGAGATCATGTGGAAGATGACCGGCGAAGCCCCGAGGATGTCTGGGATCTCGAGGAAGCGAGCTATGGTGTCCTCCTTGAGATACCGTATGTCGCCCTGCTGGTCGGCCAGTTTCTTGAAGACATCCTTCAGTGAGTAGTACTCCAGCGACGTGAAGCACTTTTCCTTGAATCTGTACGCCTGTTCACGCACAGTTAGCAAAGCCTAGGCCCTTGCTTGTTCCCAGGCCAAGGTGCAACGGCGCGCTCACAAGCTCCTGTGTCAGTTCCTCGTGCGTCCGCCGAGTCCGCCGCGTCTGAGAAGGGGCTTGGCCCATGGTGTGATGAAGGGTATCAAAGGTAGGAGCAATCAATCAATTCATCAATCAATCAAATGCGCAATCAACAGGATTGCAAGGATAAATCGGGGTATCACAAGGAGCACATCAATTGAGGAGGTACAGAATGGTTGCAGAGGGTGGAATGTTGGTGAGTTTCATTAGGTGGTCAAGTAAGGTAGGTAGGTAGAATAGGTAGCTGGCCGGCTGCCTGGCTCTTTGTTCTCTTCTGAGTTTTGGAGAGATGCAGCCATGAAACCATAACGCAGCCAAAGGGGGATCGTTGTCGTCACCCGCAGCCTGCTGAGTCAGCAGGGCATGCTTCTGTTCTGCTGAGTTGCGTCTTCGTCTCTTCATATCTCATTGATTGTGGTAGTAAAAGATGATACTACTGGACACTACAAGGTGGTGCGTCTATATATCATACCACAAATGCATCAGTCATAGTCAGCCCCATGATTCATAGCAACTTGGTGCAGCATCTGTGGAACTGAGACTGAGCGAGCAATCTTGGTGCGCATCCCAAGGCACCAGACATACACAATCATAGGACTTTGCAAGCTGGAACCTCTATAGACTAAATAAGCGGCGCCTTTCCACAAGAACCAGCCACCTACAACAGACGCCACAACGTCTGAGATCTTCCGTAGTATAGTGGTCAGTATGCAAGCTTGTCACGCTTGAGACCCGGGTTCAATTCCCGGCGGGAGAGATCCGCCACACCTCTTCAGAGGTGGTTCGTCTTTTTTTTGTCTCTTTTGAATCTCTCTTTCAAAGGGAACCTTTGTTCAAGATTTTTGCCATGTTCTAAGAGAAGAAATGATATGGATCAACATAAGTCACTCCGATTGCCTTTACATCTTTGACAAAATACGACAAAATCCCAGCCGTGTTGATACGACGTGTAATAAAAAAAGAACTATCCATATTCTCCGTGCCAAACCAATACTCCAGACCCCTTTCTCCCGCTCCCGCAAAATGCATGTCTTTTTGAAGCATCTAAACAAATAATAACAAAAAAACAGATCTAGCCATACACTTCACTGTCAACCATTCAATGCCTTCGCAGAGAGTCAAACACTACTCTTTTACTTCTTTTGCTGTGACAGACTGGATAAGACGCCTATACTTGGCTTCGTTCTCTTCCTCAGGATCAGGAGGTTTCAGATACTCGAGCTGTTTGGTCGAGTGTGCCGATTTGGTCCAGAGAACCGACGGTTTCACTTCCACGGTCTGCTCAGACTCCGTCTCGACCTTGGGGGTTGAGCCATTGGTCCTTGGTTCGTCGGACACGCCGTTTGGCCTGTCATCCTTTAACGCCCTGGGCAGATGCATTGCCAATAACACATACTCGGCACGCGTCATGTTGTCCATAACGTCGTCCATGTATCGCCGTACCTCATCTTGGGGGGCCACTACGCGCATCAAGTTTTCCAGAATGCGTCCAGTTTGTGTAGAGATGCGTATCGTGACGGGTTGGTAGTAGTCAAGCTTGGGGTCCCCGCCATACTCGGACGTGCTTCCTTTGCGGACAATAAGGAACGATGCAACCACTTCCTGGCCAGACGAGCTGGGCAGGTACTCTAGGATGCTAAACTTGGGGAACAGATAGCGATCGCCGGTTCCAAAATCGAACACTACAGCGGAAATGTCGGGCTTCGGCGCCGGTGGTGGTCCCTTGGACCGCAGTGCCTGAGGGTTTGCTTGCTGGGGGCCAGGTGGATTCGAAGGTCGCATGTGGCCATTGGGAGCTTCACTTGGCGGCTGCTTTGCTTGTGGAGGTGCAGGCGGCGCCTGAGAAGGGGCCTTTGCGTCTCTGTGAAGGCGGTCGAGGATTTCCTTCAGATCTGTGGCATCGGTAAATCCGGGACGCCCCTCAGCAATGCGTCGAATCATGTCGCTGGTTTTGGGATCTTCCAAAGCAGCCTTGACAAGCAGTACGACCAAAGGATCGCTCCTGGGCGGCGGCCTCAGTTCGTTTGATCTCTGACGAGGGTTTGAGGCTAGAACGATGTCGAGAATGGTTCGCACTTCATCTGCGAAATACTTGACTGTCCTTCCATCTACAAGTAGCCTGTCGGCCGAAGGACCCTGCTGTCCGCCGCTCCGCCGATATTCCGCATTCAACTGATCAATAATCTTCTGGAAGCGGTCCAGCTCCCCTTGTTTAGCCTGACCCACGGCAACCCTCTTCATGAGGTCTCGCAGCTCCGGATCCCCCGAAGCCTTCTGAGCCAGTAGAGCAATCACCGGGTCGTTGGGGACAGGCTTTGCCGGAGGACGTCCCGCAACTGGCGCTGCTGGCTTGCCCCCAGCTGGAGACTGAGCTGGCCCAGCATTGGCCGGTCGTGTATGCGGCGCTGCAGTCGCGGACGACGACGGCGGCGGTGGTGGTGGTGGTCTCGCTAACGGCGTGCCGGTATAAGCTTGCTGCTGTCCTGGAAGGGGGTTCGTGGGCGGTCGAATCGGAGGCGGAGGAGCTGCTGCTGCTGCCGGAAGTGAAGGTGGAGGCGCAGGGGACAGACCAGCAGGCTGCGCAGAGAGTGCCGGGCTGGGCGATGGTGATGTCGCTACGTTGATCGTCGTAAGCGGCGAAGGTGTAGGCTGAAGCCCCGAGATGCTCGGCGAGGACGTCGCTGGTCGCTGGGAAGGGCTCGGAGCAGCGAGGGGCTTGGGGGTGGTGGCTGCGGTTGGGATTGGCGTCGAGGCCGCCGATCCAGGCGCAGGCGGAGGGGGCATCGAGCCATTCGGGGGGCCATATTGAAGCACCGGCCGGGCGAGCGGTTGAGGCTGTGACTGCGGTTGCGGTTGCGGTTGCGGCGGCTGAGACACTGCCGGTGACTTTGGCACCTGCTGCGGTGTCCGGGGCGGGGGAGGACGCTGCTTGGCTTCCTTGACCACGTACATGGTGGCCTCGAAGATGTGCGGCTCGATGGTGATGGTGACGTTGCCGACTCGGGTCATGCTGTCTTTGGGGGGGTTCTTTGGATCCTCATTCAGCACGCCCTTGCGCTTGTGAGGCTTGGTCCAAAACTTTTCAAAGAGCCCATCGTTGATCCATCGATATCGAGACCGCGAGAGGGATTCCGCAAGAACGCCGCTGTGGAGGGTGAACTAGGTTAGCGAGCGCGGGGCTTCACGACGATACTTTTTGCTGGAACATGCCTTTCTGAAATTGATTGATACTCTTTGGTGGACAGGTCATCGGGCTGCGCAGTCTCGACGGTGGGCAACGGCTGCCCGGGCTGGAGCGAGGTCGGCAGCGGCGGCGGCGGCGTTGGCGACGGCTCCTTGACGACAGGCTCGGGCGGCGGAGGAGGCGTGACGGAGCGGTCGGCTCGCGGAGTCAAGTTGCGGCGTTTGTTGGCATTCTCGACGCGGGCCGACGTCCTCGCAGGGAGCTTCCGCTTCTTCTCCATCGCGTCTCGAGGCGGGTTTACACGGCTGCGGCAGGCGACGGGCGACGGTGCAGCATCATAAGAGCGCCATGCGAGGGCGGCGAGCGGCCTGGGGGGGCGTGCGGCCGGGCTGCTGGCAGAGCAGTTGGGGAGGGGACTGGCGGCGATGCTGCGCAGAGGCCAGCGAAGAAGCGACAAGGAGCCAGAGCAGAGGCGTGCGAAGCAGAAGTAGGACGAAGGTGCTGAGCGGTGCAAGTCGGTTCCAGGCCTTCTTTTTGGCCGGTGTTGGTACGAGTACCAGTACAAATCCTGGAAGATGCCCAGCCCGTTAGTCATTCGCTGATTGGCTGTCGGGGCATCTGCGCTCCTGCAGCGAAAGTGGTGCCGTCGAGCTTCTGCAGCAGGGGCCTGATTGGCCCGCTAAGGGACCGGGCTGGCTGGCGGCGGCGCGGGATTGGCGGGCTGCTACGGATACAGCGCCATCCCACTAGACGACCCCTCTGGACGGCCAGGGCCACAGTGCTGGAGGCAAAAGGTACAGGGCCTTGGAGGGCCTTGTTAATAAGCGCGCTACTAGTAGTATCCGTAGACATGCATACATGTACCTACCACGAAGAGGGCTTGGTGCAACTTCCAACGCATCACCGAGCATCGGTTGGTCTCCTCGAGTTGCTCAACAGCAACATGACCTGACTTCCAAGGAGCATGAAACGGAGCACATCCGGGCCTTTCTCAGTTAGAGCCTCCGGGACCGAAGTTTAGCGATTTGCGGTGCGTGCTCATTGCAGAGGCTGACGTTGAAGGCCGTGATAGTCATGACTCGGAATGCAAGGTGAGACTTACCTGCATCACACGGCACAGTACATGCAACGTCATCAGACCGAGCACATGCACTTCACTGAGAGGTAGGTACCTAGTATCAGAGCATGTACATGCGGCTGGCACGTCCTCTACAGTACATACATACATACATTTTCACTCGGCGGACGACCGATGGGATGTCGATCCTACCGAGCCTCAACGGCCTGCAGCCACCAGTGCCCAACGTCGTCCATGGGCGCACTACCTATAAGGTACTTAGTAGGGTACAGATGGGATACTTGAGCCTTGGAAGGTCCTCGAGGCTGCCTTGTAGGTAACCTCTACGATATCTCATTCAGAACGCAGGTGTGCGGAGTACCTGGTCGGTATACATGAGGTAGCTTGCGGCTGGAAATACGAACCACCTCCTTGGCTAGGCACCTGCTGGGTATCTATGTAGGTAAGTGTGGGTGTGGCAGGGCACAGTGAAGCACCATCCTCACTCATCGCGTACCTTCATGTGTTCAGGGCACGTTTTATCGCTTGGCCACGCCACCCGGAAGGCATACGGGTAGATCCGGTGGCGACTGATGCTCGGCCCTTCTCTTTAGGTATCTCTGCTCAGGTTCGAATACATAGAGACAGAAAGAGAATACTAGAAGGAGAGAGTGCGCTCACCTCAAAATACTCTAGAGAGTTTTTCCCGTATGTAGATATTTTGCACACATGCCCAAGCACGGATTTGATACAAGCGGGCGAGGAGAGAGAGGGTGTCAGGCCTGCAGATGACCAAGCTGTAAATGTGATAGTTGTGTTGAGTGCCAACCAATCGACTCAACACTGAACATATGAAGCAAAGGCGTCGACCAAAGCAGGGGAAAGAAAAAAGACAGACAGTATACATATATTAAAGGTAATGTTGGAAGATATGAGAATACCAAAGAAGTTGTATGTAAAAAATGTGACATTAAAGTGCAAAATCTTGTGTGCCTGCAGTGACTCCATATTTTAAGGTAGAATGTGAAGACAATTCCATTGCTTACGAAAAGCTCTCCCCCGCCATGAGTTGGTCCATGTAGACTGGCTCCATCACCCGCAAATCCCCTGCGTTTCTGCAGCCTCCCGACACCGAAGACTCGATTCCAGACGCAAGGGGGCAACCGTTGCGCTCTGTGCTTGTACCAAGATGGCGGCTCCCTTGCATCCTGCCGTTTGGGCATCCATTTGGCTGGCTGCTATACCATTCATCTTCTATTTCGCCCTCATCGGATTGGGCGTGATTCCCTTCTTCCAGCGGCAGTAAGTTGCATCTCATGCAGTGCCGACGCCCTCAGTCTTCAATTCACACAGTTTTGTCTGATTCTACACCCTACAGCTTCTTATATGCGCACTCCATCAATTCGCTATGGTGGTCGGATATCAATTCCCCCATGGCTTGGGGCTTTGCCAGTCCGTACATGTCCAACGCTTGGTGATGAGAAGGTACGCCACTGACGGCTGACGGGCTTCGCGTTTCCAATAGAGAATCAAGTCACTCCCTTCGCCCTGCAAACTTCAGACGGCGAGACAATCTACGCGTGGCACATTCTGCCGCTGCCTCTGTATCTGCAGCACGAAACCACAGTGGCAACACAGGACGTGGGATTCTGCAACGACTTTACACAGACCGAGTCATTTCGATTGCTTTCCAGCGATCCGGAGGCCAGATTCATCATCTCATGTAAGTGTCATCCCTCTCGTAGCTCAGGACAGGTCAAAGAAGGTCAAGCACTAACTAGAGTTGCACAGTCCACGGTGTAAGCCAGCCTCGGTGCCATGTCGAATTCTTCAGGTTCTATTGGCACATGTAGGCTTTGAACATCAACTCACTTTCTGCATCTAGAACGCAGGCCACATCGCCCAAAACACTCGACCAGACAGCTACCATGCCTTGACCGACACGTCATCGTACCACGTTATAGCCATTGACTACCGCGGCTTCGGCCATTCCACCGGCACGCCCAACGAAAGGGGCCTGATCCTAGATGCCGCCGCCGTGGTCGATTGGGCAATCAATGTGGCGAGAATCCCCTCGAATCGAATTGTGCTACTCGGCCACAGCCTTGGAACCGCCGTTGCCAGCGGCGTCGCCGAGCGTTACACCCTCCAAGGGGTTGATTTCGCAGGCATCGTGCTCGTCGCCGCGTTCAGCGACCTGGCCACGATGCTCAGCGGCTATCGTTTCGGAGGACTCGTGCCCGCCCTTGGGCCGTTTGCCTTCTGGCCCTTTTTTCAGCGTGTCCTCGATAGAGTCCTCGTGGACAAGTGGCACTCGGCTAATAGGCTTGCTAGTATCGTCCGTCATTCTAGGAGCAGGCTGCGAATCAGCTTGGTACACGCAAAGAATGACAGGGACATTCCCTGGAAAGAAGACAACAAGTTGTTCCGGGCTGCTGCAGGAGAAGCCATTGGTATACTGGATGATGAGGAGTTCGATGCTTGGAAGGAGGCGCGGACAGTCCGGACGAGCAACGATTCGTTCGTCACTACGTGGAAAACAGGCGAGGACACTATCATCCGTCAAGAGTTGTTTCCCTATGGCGGTATGTCCGTCAATCCAATCCTTGGCTTACCCAGCTGACTGTATGGCCAGGACACAATGACATTTTGGGCTTTGCGCCGGTCACATTGGCCATCATGAGGGCGTTTGAGCTTGAAGGCACAACCTACGACTAACGTCGTTATGCATATGGATAGTAGAGGATCCAGCCATTCCTAGCCAGACCACAGGCTATGGTCCTTATTGTAACCGAGCAATTGACGATTGATGGCACGCTCTAGCATCTCTCTAGAGAACAAATGCTTTGAATGGCATCTACGTGTGCCCATTGGTCATCGCGAGCCAGCAATGGCCATCCACGTTACACACAGACGATCGAACGCAGAGAGGAGACAGGGATTTCAGTACGCCACTCATGCTCAGTTCTTCGTGACTTGGGTGTCGGTTTTGGTCGTCTCATCAGGCATTGGGCCTGTGAACAACGGGATCTACCAGAACAAACGCCAAAAAAAGAAATGCTCGACGGAGACAGGATTCGAACCTGCGAGGCCGAAGCCATATGATTTCTAGTCATACCCATTAACCACTCTGGCACTCCGCCTATTGGGTGATTGATGCTACTATGTGGACCGCAAGAGGCATATAGAGTCCACGAGAATTGAGCAGGAGGTAAAAGAGAAGTTTTTTTCTCTGGACCCCAGGAAAAGCGCAAAAAAGAAATGTTTCGACGGAGACAGGATTCGAACCTGCGAGGCCGAAGCCATATGATTTCTAGTCATACCCATTAACCACTCTGGCACTCCGCCAATCAGGTGATTGATGAAAGAAGTTGCTCTATTGTCTACTATACGGTATGTAGACAAGCTCAACCCAGCATCATGTTTCTATTCAACTTCTTCTCAATTCAGGGTAAGCCTATGAATTGGGTGGAAGAGACTCGTTTTATTAGGGGCATGTGGTCTCTATCCCTCTTGTTGTACACTCTAAGCTCATTTCATGTCTAAAGAGGCAAACTAAGATACTTGTACTCGTGTGCGACAAGGTTCTAGGTATGGTTGTTGGGCGACCCGGCAATGTCTGTGGGAAGATCGAATGTTAAAGCATAAGGCAAAGCTGAATACACGTAATTGTCCCCTGTACCTTGGTGGCTTGCTGCAAGTCGTACGCTTGTTGAGCCCAAGATCTGCCACAATAAAATTAGTAGGTTGCTTATCGAAGCAACAACTTGAAGATGCATATGCCAGTGCTGTCGCGCAAAAGAGAAGAGCTAAAAAGCCAGTGAAGAGAGGAGACAATTGACATCAAGTGTCCTACCCAGTATACGGCTTTCAAGCATCTTGAGCTGAAACAGCCTGCCATCAGCCTTTCGCTCTCACAACCCCACCAAGCTCGGCTCAGTGCCGCTTCACCCCACCACCTCCCGCCTCGTCTCGTGTCCTGAACCAGCGCCAAAGCCAGCCTCGAGACCCTCCCGTCTCCCTTCCCAGCTCACCACACATATACACACACACGCACACAGCACAATGCCGGTCGAGGAGTCCAAGCCGGTCGACGAGGCCGTCGGCGCGGTCGACGCCGAACTCAAGGCCAAGCAGGCCGCGGCCGAATCCGAGGGCGAGGAGGAGGATGACGAGCCGACGGCGGGTGACGCAGCAGGAGCATCAGCGGGCGGCTCCGGCGCCGCGGCGGGCAAGAAGAAGAAGAAGTCGAAGCGGAAGAAGGCCAAGGAGCTGCTGACGGGCAAGTCGGGCTCGGGCTCGGGCTCGGGCGACCGCGACGACACCGAGGCGGACCTCAAGAGGGCCATCGGCGGGCTCACGCCGCAGCAGCTGCAGGAGCTCATGGCGCTGAACCCGGCGCTGGCGGGCGAGCTGGCGGCGGCGTCGGGCAGCGCGAACCCGTCGCCGGACCAGATGGCCGAGATGCTCAAGAAGATGAACCTGCAGGACATCATGACGGGGCTGGCGGCGGCGGGCAAGAACGCAAAGGACATGGCCTCGTACAAGTTCTGGCAGACGCAGCCCGTGCCGCGCTTCGGCGAGGACGACAAGACGGTCGAGGAGGGCCCGCTCAAGATCCAGACGGTCGACGAGATCCCCAAGGAGCCTGCGCCGCTGGTGGCCGGCTTTGAGTGGGTGGAGATGGACCTGACCAACGACGACGAGATTAAGGAGATTTACGAGCTGCTCAACGGCCACTACGTCGAGGACGACGAGGCCATGTTCCGCTTCAACTACGGACCGGGCATCCTGAAGTGGTGAGTTGGCCTGGGGGGTTTTGTTCGTCTTTACGCAGGAGAACGATATGCTAACCAAAAGTCTCGTCTGAACAAAACAGGGCCATGATGCCTCCCGGCTGGGCCAAGCACTACCACGTCGGCGTCCGCGCAACCCAGTCCCGCAAGCTCGTCGCCTTCATCTCCGCCATCCCCGTGCGCGTGCGCGTCCGCAACAAGGTCATCACCTGCTCCGAGGTCAACTTCCTCTGCGTCCACAAGAAGCTCCGCGGCAAGCGCCTGGCGCCCGTCCTCATCAAGGAGATCACCCGCATCAGCAACCTGCACGAGATCTGGCAGGGCCTGTACACGGCCGGCATCGTCCTGCCCCGGCCCATCAGCACGTGCCGCTACTACCACCGCTCGCTCAACTGGCAGAAGCTGTACGAGTGCAACTTTGTCCACCTGCCCAACGGCAGCAAGCCCCAGTACCAGATCCGCAAGTATGCCGTGCCGGATCGCACCTCCACCAAGGGCCTGCGCGAGATGAAGCCGGCCGACATGGAGGCCGTCGTCAAGCTGATGGACAAGTACATGAAGCGGTTCGACATTGCCCCCGAGATGACGGTGGAGGAAGCAACCCACTGGTTCTGCCCAACCGTCGAGGCAGGCCAGGACCAATACATCTGGTCTTATGTCGTCGAGGTAAGGGCAAACGAATGACATCCCCCCCAGACTCCTTGTAACCTATCTAGCCTTGCTGACTGTTAATCCTTGCAGGACGATGAGAAGAACATCACCGACTTCTTCTCCTTCTATTGCATCGAGTCCTCCGCCATCAACAACCCCAAGCACGACGTCATCCGCGTCGCCTACCTCTTCTACTACGCCACCGACGTCGCCTTCAAGGAGCCCTTTGACAAGGCCGCCCTCAAGTCCCGCCTCAACGACCTCATACACGATGCCCTCATCCTCGCCAAGCTCGCCCGCTTCGACGTCTTCAACGCCCTGTCCCTCATGGACAATGCGCTGTTCCTCGAGCAGCAGAAGTTTGGCGCCGGAGACGGCCAGCTGCACTACTACCTCTTCAATTACAGGGCGAACCCCATAGCTGGAGGCGTGGACAAGAAGAACCAGCTTGATGAGAAGAATCTTAGTGGCGTTGGACTGGTGTTGCCCTAGAGAAAATCAATGGGGGGGGGGAAGAACATTTGCTGTCACCTTTTATGCTATTGTGTGCTGGATTCCATGTGTGTGTGGTATAAGAAGAATGTCGAAGAAGATGATCGAGAAAGACGATAGATGCATAGCAGCTAGCCCTCTTGCTTGACGCAAAATAATCCAAACAAATCCAAGTTCAGACTTCTCAAGCCACGACAGACCCGCTTGCTTGCAATATGCCTCCCGTATACAACAGACATACCAGCCTCCCCCAATATTTAAATATATATATATGCACACACACTCTCTCTTGCAATCAAGTTCTATCCCAACTTGGCCCACGCCATGAATCGCTCCTCCAGGACACTATTAAACCACTCCGGCCGATCCATAAGCGGCGCATGGCCCATGCCCTCAACGATCAGTCCCACGCCCGGCTCAACATACTTGATCAGCTTCTCCCCATTGGCAACGGTAATCATGTTATCCGCCGTGCCATGCATAATCATGATACGCTCCCTCCCCACGCGATCAGCCATGGAACGCAGCTGCGCCGCCGTCTTCCGGTGCCCGGCCGCGGCAATCAGCTGGCACAGAAACCCTTGCCTGGTGAACCACCCCTTCTGGCGCTTCTTGTACAGCTCCTGCGCCTGGAACCGCTGAAAGTTGGTATCGAACGGGAGATACTCGCCGTCCGGCGTGCCCGGCGCAGGGCCGCACCGGGGCGTCGTCTTGGGCGACGGAAGAGTCGCCGCGTCGTCGGGAGCGGCGAGCCACTCGTCGGTGAACAGCTGGCGGCTCGTGTCGGCGATGCCCTGCTCCTCGGACTTGGGCACGACGAAGCCGATGCGCGCCCAGAGGGCGTCGCCCCAGGACTTTGCCGGCCCGCTCTCAAACTGCGGCGTCGTGGCCACGAGCGTGAGGGAGCGCAGGCGCTGCGGGATGGCGCAGGCGACCTCCTGGGCGATCATGCCGCCGAGCGAGATGCCCACGACGTGGACCTCGCGGTCGGCGGTCCAGCCGACGTGGTCCAGCACGTCGACGACGTCGGCGGCCATGGCGCTGGTGGTGTACCGCGCGAGGGGCTTGTCGCTGTCGCCCATGCCGCGGTTGTCGAGGATGAGGACCGAGTATTCCGCGCCGTGGTCGTGGCCAAAGTACTTTGTCTGGCGCTGCCACGAGGTTTTTACGCCTGCGAGGCCCATGATGAGCTATAGAGACACCGTATTTTTGTCAGTAAATGACGGCGAGGGAGGGTCATCATTGCCTGTTCTCCGAGGGAGACGACCGAGGCTCGTAGTGCTGAGAGGAGAAGTATGAAGCAAAGACAACAAGACATACCACAAGCTTGGTCGGTCCATCGCCGTGAATCTCCCAAGAAATCTTCACCGGCCCTCCTCGCCCGTGAGCAGCCTCAACGACGCCTTTTTGATGCGGTTCCAGAGCCCATATTACCGAAGGATACGCCGGGTGCTTGATTGTCTCCTCCGCAGTCGGTCTTATAAACGCCCTGCAATCATCCGGCATTAGTCTCTACAAGCCACATAAAATGACAATGACGAATGCTGTCTAGAAAAGGTACAAAAGGATGAAGCGTGTGTGTGTAGAGAGAGAGAGAGAGACAGAGAGTGAGAGTGAGCTTGATGTAAGGCGGTGCACAAAGCCATCAGTGAGACAAGGAGGGACGTGTGTGCCACCAAACTAGGTACCTCTAGACACTCGTTACACTCTTCAATTGGGTGACGGCCGCATCTTCATGATAACAGAGGAGACTTGCATTGTTTTTCCAAACTGGTACCCTAAAGGATCTTGTCTCGGGGTCCGGGCGAACCAATTCTCAAGAGGATTGTTTTGGAACCTCGAAAGCGATTCGAAGAAGCCAGTTCTCCAAACTGAACTCTTGTGGCAAAGATGGTACTCCGTATCCAATGAGTATGAGAGCAGACAAAACGGCAATATGTAATGCAAAGAGAATCGCTCTCATATGCAGAATCACTATAAAACCTCTCAGGAAGACAGTACGTTTAGCCCCAAGAATAAATGAAGTCGGACAGTCGACGAGGAAGAACCGGCATCTCGTGAGGTTGGAGGTCAAAGCTGCTGACATCATCACCAACACGTAACGTCATTCGCGCTGGGCCTCGGCATGCCAGAAACGTCCGAGAGCATCTGATTCAGTCATGATGCACTTCAGTTTTTCGTTGGGCAATGCCTGCTCGTCTATGCTAAAACTACACTCAGTCTTGCATCATCTTGACAGCGTCTGTCGTATTTTATCAACTTTCCATGCCGTCAAAACATGCAGTTCGTGTTGTCGCCAGATGCCCATGGTAGCCCTTTTCAGCCAGGCGAGGCTGCTATATAGGTAGGTAGATAGTGTGGCCCACATGCTTTATAGACGGCGGACTGTAGCCTCTTATCATCATCCTTCCACAACCGTTTTCGTCTGCCCGCCATGCCGTCACATTGATCCTCACCTCTCACCAGCCAATCGTCGGCGCTGGACTTCTCCCAGTGCCTTGGTTCCGCTCAAGAAGGCGGCCACTCCGACGACACCAATCGCCGGCAGAGTCTGGAACAAGTTCCACTTGGTGTAGTAGAGGAAGAAGACGCCCTCCATCGCAACGATTGATCCGAAGAAGACAACGTGCGAAATGGGAGCGCTGCCCAGGGCCTTTTGCACATGGGTAAAGTTTCCTCCAATGGCGAACCACTATAATCAGTTAGCACATTCATCTTCTCGTTCGCCATGCCCATGATGATACGGGGGAAAAAGAGAAAACGTACGCCGATGAACAGGGCCGGGATGGTAGCTAGCACGGCGAGTGAGAATGCAATCGAGACCATCTTGGGAGGGTTCTTGGGATCAGCCCGGAAGATGTGGTGAATCTCAGCGAGCTTGCCATATCGCAGCGGCTTCTCGTAGCTCGGCACAGCGGGGGCCGGGTCCAGCTTGACGGCGAGGTCGAAAACGGGTGTGACGGAACCCTTGGTCGAGCCAAAGGATCCCAGGACAAGGCTGGCTTCGAGGGGCTCCTGAGAGAGAAGCAATTGGACGGGAAGATCTTTTTGGGTCTGCCTCTTCGTGTTAGAGAATGCTCGTTTGTCCGGCCAATGGTTTGTTTTGTGTTTGTTTCGTGGAGCTCAGCGTACAATTTCAACTGTTCCCTTGCCAGACTCCTTCACGGTCAGGGGGAAGGGTGCTTCCAGGCCAGAAGCCTCCTTCACGACCAGGAACGCTTGGTGCGGCCGCTTCGCCTGGGACCCTTCCTTTGTCGTGAGCGTCACCTTGAGCTTGTCCTGGTGGCCCAGGGTAAGGATGTTTTGCACTCGATTGTCGCCCGAAAACCTAGTTTCCCAACTGTCAGCACAACCATTCAAGTTCAAGTCCCAGGTGTTATTGTTGCATTGAAAAAAAAGAGGCCACAGTAATCGCAAAGGCCAGGAACGCAACCAAAGCGGAAGCTCTGTCTTGGCATCAACGGGAAAGCTCACTTTGCTACCGCATCGTTGCCGGCTTTGGACGTCACCTGGACGGTCCCGTCTGAAAAGGTCCACGAAGAGGCTGCAGAGGCGATGCTGGCGAGCGCCAAAACGGTCGAGGCCACGGAGAATCGCATGGTGGTGCAGGCGGGCGTTTTGGTGCGAAGTCGAAGATGCGATTGCTCCCCAAAGGCGACAAGGACAGCTTTAGAGAGCTTTTGGTGCTAAAGGTTACGTGTTGAGTCGTCAGGTGGGGGCTGCGATTGGCCGGCTGCCAGGAACGACATACGGTGCATGCGACGACGAGCACTGTACAAGCTGCACCGTATAATCAATCATTCAATGTTCTGTGGAAGATGGAGCACACGATGGCTGCTGTCTGGATGATTCATGCAAGTAGATTGAGAAATAAAATGCTTCATGATGATGATATTGTTTTCAACGCATTCTAGCTGTATGTACATGGCAACGCTCAATGCAATGCCAGCTTGGCCTAAATCACAAATCTTGCCTCAACAAAGTTGAATCCTCCGGCTTCCCATCTACAGAGCCCTCGGGAGTTCGTTCCGGTCATAACATGCTCCCCCAACGTAGTCATAACTCTGTCCTCTGGCTCGGCTCCAGCATCGTCTCGCTCCTCTTGTCTTTCGTAGCCGCCTTTGGGAAGTGCCCCGACAGGTCCATCCACTCTGCCGTAAAGGCCAGAACCAGCTTCGTCCAGTCCAGCACAGTCGGCATGTCGAGATGCTCGCCGTCATCCTCCATTGTATGCCACACGTCAGGGAACGGCGTGGGAATCAGGTGGAGGATGTCGACGCCTCGCCTGAGGAAGGGGATATGGTCGTCTTCAATGCCTCCGTAGCCGAACTGGTTGGGATGCTTCTCGGCGTCCGGCAGAAACGGGTGGGTGGAGTTGGACTCGAGCAGACCCAGGTCTCGCATGCGCTTCTCTAATGCTGCTATTTTCCTGTACGCCCAGTGGGTGGTCAAGAAGTAGGACGGCACTCTGGGATTGGGTGATCCGAGAAGATCGAGGAGGACGAAGAGGCTGATGGAGTGCAGTGGCGTCCTGTAGGTCGACATGGAAGGATGGAACTCCGATTCCCACGTCTCAGCCAGAGATCTAAACAAGACGACGTCAACAATGCCATCCATAGACGCAGAGAGAGAGAGAGAGAGAGAGAGAGAGAGAGATGTAGCACGAAAAGTGGAAAATGCAACGCCTACCTTGCCCCATACAGCGAGTCCGTCTGCGTCCAGCGCACGAAAGCCTCCTCACCATCGAGCAAGAGAATCTGCACCCCAATTCCCGGCTCCAAATCATCATCCAGCCCGCCGCTCGCCGCCATGTCGTCCCATTTGGCCTTGAGCGCCCCGTCGATGCTCCTCGCGACGTGCATCAGCATCGCGCACGGCGCCGCGCTGTCCGTCGCCCCGATAAAGTCCTTGGGCTCGACCTTGCTGTCGTAATGCGCCACCAGCGTCAGCCGCCCGACCTCGCCGGCGGCATACCCCGGCGGGTCGCGGCGCAAGATGAGGTTCGCAAACGGAATGTCCTTGTCGCCCGTCGCCGGCGTCTTGGAGGTTGAGTTCTGCCATAGAATCTCCCACTCGGGCAGGTTGGTCTTGAAGAAGTCGACAAAGTGCTTCTGCGTCTTGGCCTGGCCTTCGGTCCCGGGCACGCGCGGGATCAGGATGGGTGCCAGGAGCTTGCCGGTGTGAATGTCGAAGTCCTGGCCGGGAGAGGGAAGACTGCGCAGGTCGTCGTCGGTCAATGTCCCGATACCGAGCGCGGCGCCCACCAGGCTCAAGAGCGGGGCCACGAGGGATGCCCGCAAGAGGTTGAGATGCATCTCTTCTTCTTTTTTGTTTATACGGAGAGTGGAGGTGATGGTTTCGAAGGGATCTGAGAGGCTCCAACCTGCAGGGCCAATCTGCGCGCTCCCTCTCTCAATGCGTGAAGCGGCCGAAAGCAAGCAACGAACAAGCAAAGACTAATCAGGGAACAAGGAACGGCGACGCTAGACCAAAGACTGGAAACACGTCAAGACGAGGCTGTCATCGTCTCGACAGCAACCACATGAGTCGGTGCTTACTGTGTCCTGGCATGTATAAGGGAGGATGTCCAGGTGCTATTATCGCCAGATATCTGGCTGTTATCTTAGCCCCAGCCCAGAGCGCATGTAAGACCGAGCGCCTAAATAATAACGGGGTGTCGTGGCCACTGCGGGATCAACCCCCGCTAAACCGCATTGCGGAGGCCCTGGAATTTGTGCCCTTGTTCCTGGGCTTTTGTTGAGCCGCTATTTCTCGAACCGCGCTTCATCGTCTTGTTCAGCCGGCATGTGGCTTATAAGGGGCTTGCTTTATTCTTATTCTAGGGGTCTTGAATGGTTGTTGGTGGTATGACCGACTTGCCACTTTTTGACGTTGCTCTCAAACCGACTGCAGATTTCCCATCCAGCCAGGAACTGCTCCACCTCTCTTACACGGTCAAATATGAGGTATGTATGTTGAAAGTGTTCTTGATCAAACAATGACGCCTAATCGTGGTGCTGAATCTACATGTAGCCCCGTATTAATAGGAATACCGAGTAAGGATAATACACATCGCCCCTCATGATGGCCCGGAACGCAAAACGGCCAGAGCAATTGTTCCATGATACAAAAGCGTAAAGCACCATCCAAAACGCCATATCAGCCGTGCGCATCGTGCACCGAGCTGCTCAAAACGAAGTCGTCTTTCCTTCTCTATGTGCAAGTGCCCCCCGATCCATGTCTTCTAGTTGAAAAGCTTGCCGTGTCACCTGGCTTCCCTTCCCTCTTTTTTTCCATGTTTGAAGCCTGCCTACCACCAGGGTGTTGAAATCCTCATACCGCATCAAGAAGCCTCCAAGTTCGGTTCATGAGGGCATTAGTTGTGTCAAGGAGCATGAGCGCAAAAGTACACAATGTGAAAGTGAAAAGAATAGGACCTCGAATCCCGAGATTCCTCTAGTTCTTCATGATGATGATCCATCGTGTGCATCTAATGCAGCTTCGTGGCGGCTCGGGCAGCCATCTTGTTGGCCATCTGCTTCTCCTTTGGAATGGTGAGAGCGTTGATGCCCAAAAAATTGCAGATGCTGGTAATCACCAGGTAGGCCCAGCGGAAATAGACCACCATCGCGAAGATGAGATAGGCCCACAGGTAAAACAACTCCAGCTCGGGGCTGATCTGGGGAAGACCGATTCGAGGAAGGTTCCCGAGAACGGCACCGCCGACCAGCGGCGTCAGCATGACAGTCCAGTAAGGGAACGGCTGGCGGGTCAGGTGCGCCAGGATCATCTTGGTCGTCAAACGTCCAAACACAAAGGACATGGTGAAGCAGAAGAGGGTAAGGTGGTTGTCCTTCATGAGCGAGCTGTAGGGCGAGAAAACCCAGGCACCAATGCAGATGGTGAAGACGGCCATCGGAATCCACTCGAAGAAGACGGGGAGGACGGGGAGGTTCTTTGCTCGGCGCGCTCGGGCAACGTTCAGGACGCAGAAGGGGATGTGGCAAGTAACCAGCAGCAAGACCAACATGCCGACCCAAATATCCCGGAAAGACACATCCCCAATGAGGTGAGCCACTCCCTGCAGGTGGTCGCCCCAGATATGCGCCAGAGGCTTCGTGAAGACGTCGGGTCCGTAAATTCCAGAGACAATCATGATGCCGCACGCAATGAGGAGGCCTTCGGTAGGGCCGTTGAAGAAGCCGAGGTATAGGGTGTGGGTGTGGTACGTCTCCCACGTCGAGAAGAACATGGGAAGGCATGGGACAAGCGCCGTGAAGACACCCGAAGGCGAGGTGCCCAGTCCCATGGCGGCCGTCTCGAGCAAACTGGCGAGCGTGCAGTTGAGCGAATCGATGCCGTGGTCGAAGAGCTCGCCCAAACCGCTCGAGGTCCCGGTCCTTCTTGCCTGCTTGCCGTCGACATTGTCCATCGTCTGATACATGAAGAGGCCGAACGCGAAGCTAAAGTATAGCCATGACGGTGCCTACACAATGTGGTTTCTGTGTCAGCATGGTGAGACGCGCTGGCGGCTTGCAGGGCGGTGACGTACGGGTCCCACCAAGTCGGGCACATAGATGACCATCAACCCGACGTTGAAGAGAATGAAGAAGAAGCCCAGGAGGGTGACCATGTTGGGCGCGAGCCATAGCGGTAGGATCTCGACAAAGGCATTCCACTGCAGAGCAATTCCCGTTAGCTACCGTTTTGTAATGTCCGTGTCTTGCATTGTCGTGTCGTCGCGAGTAGGGGCAGCGCAGCGTCGATGGGCAACGTCATGTCGAAGCGAAGGGAGGTAGTTTCGATCGGTGAGGCCATACCCAGGGACCGAGAATGTATTTCGATACTGGTGATTTATCGACGCTCGAGTATTTGTACGACTTGAGATGGATCAGGGCATCATCTGAGATGCACTCGGCCACAGCCTGCTCTAGATCCACCAATTCCGGGTTAGCCACCGCCAGTATAACAGCATAGGAAGGGAGACGAAAAAAAAATAGCGATGCCCTCCAGCTGTCACCTCGATAGCGCCGCCACGCGGCCACGACCCATCGAAACGAAGCAGGACACCCCTTTCCCACCCCCTCGGCTTCAAACAAGATCTGGACCTACTTGTGTTAGGAGCCATACTGCCACCACCTCGTGTTGAGGTAATATCGCCTTGGTGCAATGGCAGCGTGTTGCTGGACATCGTAGAGGGGGACGGCGAGGCCGGGGCCCGGAGGGAGGTAGGAGCTTTCTCTTTTAAAGAGGACACAAGGAGAAGCGGCGCCAAAGGGGGAGGGGAGCCTCTTCGGTTGCTCCAGGTTTGTCTCTGCGGGAAGAACTAGCACGAGCAGGTTACTTCCTTGCTCCCGTGCGTCCGAGACTGCGCAAACCTCAGACAAGATTTTTTTTTTTTGCTGCTGCTGCTGCTGCTGCTGCTGGTCGCCCAAGTGACCAAGAGTCTGGTTTCGTTGGGAGGCGTGCATGAGGAGGGACGGTTTGTGGTCCCTCGGACCCCTGCTAAAGAGACCTCGGAAAATCTGCCCGTGGGCCTCTTGGACCGCTAAACCCGTCCCAGTCCCCTGAGCTGGAGGCGCTACGAGGCCCGAGAAGCCCCCAGAGAGCTGCTGGAGAGCTTCCACGGCTCGCCTAAATGGGGGATCTTTGACGCGGGCCCCACTGTCCAATGCGTAATCTGCCAGTCAGTTGGTGTTGTGGACGCCAGCACGTGAAAGCCGCCAGCCCCAATTACATGCCCGCCCGTCGAATTGGGACCAATCTCCCCGACTTCAAGACGCTCAGCTCTCGGAGTAGCGGTACCTTGCGAGACGCTGTGAGTTGTTGGGGATTGCAAGGCACATCTACCTGCCTTGGTGCAGAAAGAAATGTCATTGAGTCATTTTAGGTATCACAGGTGCTAATAACGGGTAGTGTGATGTGTGATGTTGTTAGCCATGCCGGATTGATGGGCCGGCAGGAAGCGCTACATTCATGTCATGGCGTTTAGTACATCAATGCAGTTGCTGGCTGACGACGCAATGAGTTGAGAGTTTGCGGGTGATGCTGCGCCGAAATCCTGTGACACCATGATGGACAACTACCTAATAGTACTAGCAACAAGATGGATCAACATCTCCCCATAAAGGAGTGGAAGTTAAAGGACAAGAGCAATAAATGAGAGCAGAAGACATCATCAAGTTGCATCACAATTATCGTGATGTGCTACATACATGTGCCTATCCGGGTACTACCTAGGTGAGAAGCCTGCTGAAAATACCTACAAGTCCCCAGCTTCATCTGATCCCTCATCGCTCAATCGGCAGGCTTCCTCCCTGCAGCGACCTGATCCCCTCAATATGCACGTAAACCCTGCACAGAGTCTCCTCGAGGGAGGCCGTGCGTATCGATATTGCAGATGCATCGAGCCTCACCCTCGCCATGATGTCAACTACTAGGTAGTACCTACTCCGGGACCGATCGCGTGATCTGGGAAGCATCATGTGCCAAAGCTCAACAAAAAGTTCACATGTCCGGATAGACTCGCACCAATGCATTCATCCATGCAAGATCAACCGCGTAGCCTAAATGCATGTCGACTGGAACCTCCCATCATTTTTCCGTACCCGATTCACGGTGCTAAGACAAGATAGGGCAGCGAATCATGTGCTCAAATCAACTTACAAATACGTACCCAGGTGCAATCTTGAGGACAAGACAAGAGGCATGCGGCCAGTTCAGAGTGGCAAGCAATTATAATCGTATCAATTGTATCGTATCAAAACAGGGCATGCAAAAAGTATTAGTAATTTCATAGTCCAACCTCACCCCGTACGTATATGCCAACGTCGAGGGATACCAATGTAAAGCGCACGCTCCAATGAGAAACCAAACCAATCAACCATTATGAGCGATCCTCCCGAGCACACCCAAATGTTTGCTTAATCGCACGACTCTTTTTCAAGCACCATCGTCTTACAGCATGGCAAACCCAACAAACATGGTTCCAAGGAGAACAGCCAGTCCATAGGCTCGTCCAACCTCGACCGCGGGGGCTGCCATCGACTTGCCCTTGCCGCTGCTGCTGCTGCTGCCTCCTCCGGGGGTACCGGTGAAGATGGTGTCGGGGCCTGCTGTAGTGGAGGTGCTTTCTGCCGTAGTCTGAGTAGCAGTGGCGGTCGTGTTGTACCGCTTGGGATCAGTGGCACCGCAAGGGTTGTCCTCGGCGCAGTTAGAGGCACAAGTGTTGTCTCCTCCGCAGTTGTTTCGGCACTGAACGACGTATTCTTGGCAGATGAAGAATGGCAGCGTCAGGGTGTATTCGGAGATGTTGGGCTGCTTGTTGTCACCGCAGAGACAGCCATAGCTCAATGTTTTCTAGTAGTAAGAGACATTGTCAGCATTGAGCACACTTAGGTAGACTCGCAATGGGAGATCCAGTGACGTACAGGATTACACTCGTTGACCAGCGTCTTCTTGTTGGTGGTCTGCTGGCAGATGATGGGGCACGTCGACGTCTCCGAGTTGCACCAGTTCTCTGCATCCCCATTAGCATCAAAGAACTTGCTCGGCGGACAAGATCATATCTCACGTCTTGTCGACAAAGGAACACTGTCGGGATCGATGTAGTAGTCCTTAGCTATCGAGACGGCAACCATGGTGGCGGTGACCAGAAGTGACTTGAGGGACACCATCTTGACTGTTGTATGTGATAATATGTCGAGGGAGAAGACGCGCTTCGTGATGAGGGGGTAGACCAATGATGCTGTGAGAGACCTGTCGCGGAGCGGTGTTAGTGATGCAGTCTGCAACGATGCACAATTGAATGCTTGTTCGCGAGATATGAAGACAGGAGAGGAAGAGAGAGGACGAGAGAAGACGGAGGAAGCAGCTCGGGCGAGGACTCACAGATTATGTAAAAACGACCGGCAGGCGCAGGAGAGTGAATTGCGGATCCAGAAGCGAGAGACCGGGGGAGGGAGAAGGAGCTCGAACAAACGACTCGATAACGACAGAGATGGCAGCGGCGGCGAGGGAAAGAGAAGAAGAAGAAGAAGCAGAAGCAGGACAGAACCAAGGAGGAGGCACGCGGCGAGAAAAGCACCTGGCACTTTTATGAGCTGGCCGGCGGAGGCGACGGAGGTCCGGCTCGGGATGTCTCCAGAAGAGCCAGAGTGACCAGGGCGGGTGGGAAGCGAGACCAGGAGTGTCTGTCTGGCCACGGCCCCCCCCCAGCTGCTGGAAGCTGTTCCATCCCTATCAAGCCGATGGACGCACAAACGGCCAGCTTCAGTATCAGGCTAGCTCCAGTTCGTGTTGCCCTCCACAGGCCACCGTCTGGGCAGAGCAAACGGGGCCCCCTTGGGTCTCACATTGCGTGTAGACTTGTACTCGAGCGATGGGGTGTCGGTACTTGGTGGTTGGGTTGTAGTTGTACTACGATAGGTGCAGGTGGGAAAAGAGGGATGCAGAGAGACGAATCGATGCCGCGAGTCGTGATAGTGCGGTGCTAACAAGCAGCGGTACCTCGTAAGGTTGCGTCTGGAGCTCGATCTAGTGCTGCTGCTACTGCACTTCTCGCACTCAATTGCTGAGAAGCTTTGCACCAAGTGGCGACCAGGAGCAGCTATCTACAAAGCATCGAACAGCGTTTGAGCATACCTTACGTAGGTAGGTACCTAGAGTCAAAACAACAACCTTCGACCAGATAGTACACGGCTTTGCGGCGGCAACAGGGGGAGGGCTTCGAAAAGCTACGAGTACCTTCAATACCTACAAATTACAAGTCATCCCATCCATCGTCAAATTGCCCGCTAGTGCGCAGTACTAGTAGCGCGTCTTCGCTAGTGGAAAGATCCGAGCTTGCAGTATTAGCTTCCTCTCCCCCCTTTTTATGAGCTTCTGGGCAAGCTGGGAAATGAACCGAGCGGCTTACTTTCGCGGGTGGGAAAAAACGGGCACCACACGAGAAGAGGCTGGATCTGCCAATGGCGTCTAACGTTCATGTACCTAGTAAGCCAGGCTCTCTCTCTCTTTCTCTGCAAATCCCCGTGGCACAAGTGTTGACAACTGGCGTTCTGCTGTCCGACTCTGGCCTCTCATTCTCTGAAGCAATCCACCCGCCATATGCATAACGAGTACTACTACGAGTACAACCGCGATAACCTGATGGCATCGTGCGGCTCCTCGGGCGGACTCTCCCATCAAGCCGTGCCGCAGGCAAAGTCGACGGGGGGCCCAACATTACGAGCCCGCTAGCCAGCGCCGAGAGCAGTTGAGCCTGTCGCCCGTTGAGCCAGGATTCTCCGCTTGGTCGTTGACGAAGGGAATGGGTAATAATCGAGAGAGAGAGAGAGAGAGAGAGAGAGCCACCCATCCATTCTACGCCGTATCAGTCGCCCCCCTTCGTATTCTGCTATGCATGTAGATGGAGACGGGAGCTACAGACTCGACCTTATGCAGACACTTGCGACCAGTAGGCACGTCCAGAAGGCAGGCGAAAATGCTCCGCGTTCTCCGCACACTAGCAATACTAGTAGTAACGGCTCCAGAGGAGGCAGAGGAGGCCGTCATGAAGCCTGTTGACATCGTAACAAGATCCGCGAGGAATGCAGCCGACTCTGCTGGCCTGAACAGTCACATTCGTGGGGAGATCCACCGACACAACCAGGCCGCGATCATCATGCCTGTAACATTGCAAAGAGTCCTAGCGAGGCCAAGGGAGGAGGGGCGCGGGAAGACATATTACTCGTACGGACGAGAGCCGCCCTCTGTCCAAGCACGGTTTCATGGCTTCACTAACACTTCACGGACACTTCACCTACTTTATCTGAGCATTGAGAATGAGGGCCCTCCATCTTCGCTGCCCTCAACTGTTAGGACGGGAGTCTGTGTGCGGTTTGTAGCTTCAGGTCTGCGGTACTCTCGCGTATTCTTGAGGCTCGAATGTGCGCAGAGGACCGCCCTTCGGAGTCGGCGAGCTACAAGGGCGGTACATGACCTGTCAGAGACATGCACCCCGATCCCGGCCACGACTCCATTCCTCCTCCCCGCCCAAGAAGGCAGTTGGTTGCTCGGTGTCATTTCTGCGCAAGTATGCTTCAGTCTCAGTCGCATGGGGGGGCCTGACGAGCACAGACAGGCAGCCCCGTTCGAGTGCTTCCATGAGCATCCACTCAAGCAGCCCCGGGGTGATGATAATGATGGAGGCAAGGCTCGGGAGTTACAAAATAAGGCGCTTCTGCTCGTATCTAAACGCACATACCTACTCCTACAGTGTCCATATATCACCTCCAAGAATGTAATCTTACAGACGACGATACGAGAGAGCAGAGATGCCCACTGCCGCCGGCATCGAAAGCTTGGCTCGCAGATCTGAGAATCTGGGGCAGAGCCAAATTGGAGGGACGACGTTGGAACCAGCACGACGATTCGCGAATGAGAGCCCAGGCCTGCGTGAGCGTTATAATGAGGGTCAGCAGTCAGCAGGGTCCCGTTTAGAACTGTTGTTGTGGAGAAGGAAAATTGGACTGGACGCTGATTATCCATCACATCAGACGACGATCATCCCCGAGCTTCCAAGCATGAAGAGGCAGGACTCTTTGATGCAACTTGATATTACTGACTCTACTCAGTCCTCGGTACGCTTTCGTTGGCGCCAGAATACGACACACCGCATCGGGCCCAAGGCCGTTGGAGCAATATGAGTTCGAATGACATGGCAACGGATTACAATTTGAGTCTCAGCTGCAGGGCCCCTTTTTTACAGGTAGTAGGTGTCTCTCCGAAACGGTCAACAGACGGTGAGGGCGTCTGCCCAATGGCGTCTTCCATGCAACGGAGCACTCCGTTGTATCGATCGAAAACCCTATATGGGCATGTCTCAGCCTCGCAGCAACCGGTTATCGGTCGACGGTGGTTATTTTTGGCTGTTCAGCCCAATGCACCAGAGTGTAAATTGCGATGGGTCGTCTACTTTGGCTGTCTCAGACGAGCACCTGAGTGATGGAGAGACAGTGGCGACAGGCAACAGCATACTGCAAGAATGGCTGCCACAATCTCGCATACTATCACCAAACTGTCTCTCGGCGAGACGGAAACATGAATGCTGGCCAGCAGCAGCCACACAGCTGCCAACCCAAGCAGGATGCCGTATCGTACTGAGCAGGGAGTGTCCCGCTCTCTACGACGGAGCATTTATACGTCTCCGAGTCGATAGGGCATGCGATGCTTCGTATTCCTTGGATCCAATCACTGAAAGGGCCTCTGTACATCTAACCACTGGAGTCAGCCCATCATTGCTCTGGATGAGCAGAACCGAGTGGCGTGGTAAACTGTATGGCAAGAAGCCAATACGAGTGTCTGCAACGTCGGGCTCACATTCACCTAGCAAATTAACCGTTCCATAGTACATTTAACCATGACACACCACCAGACATCCCTTACAGAACCATCGAACGCTAGCAAAAGGTGCATGCATGTAGCCTATTCTCACCTAACGGTGGCATCACTGCTCAAGGCCGATAGCCGTAGTCACCTTTCCATGGCATGGCTTTCGACGGCAGCATTGTGACCAAGCAGCTCTAGATACATGTGCCCAGGCAGCAGACACAACTCTCGTATATACCGAGAAAGGGAGTAGGATATCAGTTGGCGAGAGCTGTGCGTAGCACTGAGATATTGGAGAGATCAACGCATAGATCCTGACGAGCTGGTGCGTGAATAGTAGCTGATTACAAGACACCATGTCGACCGAGCTCGAAGCATTGACTCCAAGTCATGCAGCAGTGGTGCGTGCAAGCGGCCACTTAGGTATGTACGATAGAACCACACGTCTGGTTCACGATCTGACCAGGAAAAGGCCCTACGCCAAAAAGCATGTCGCTCCACAGGCCCCTGAGGCTCTCGATAGCCGCTCCTTGAAAACGAATCTGCCACATGGGCTCCTGGCCATGGATTCCACAACATGGAAATTAATCCTTGTGTGGAGCTCTCACGCCATGTCTTGCTTGCAGTTAGCAGTCTTATCGTATAAGAATTACAAGACCTTTCATGTGCCAAAAAAAAAAAAAAAAAAGGTTGCATACCTTGCCTTTCACCATGATGAACATACACAAGGTGGACGTCGTGGCTGGACACTCGACATGTAAGGTGGTCGACAAAATCCCACTACGTCACAGCCTCATGGCTTTTGTTAAACTCGATGGAAACCCCACGTCGTGGCAGGTTTTAGCTGCCGTGTGGGAGTTCCTAGTCGTTACGCCACTCTGCCGGACTGCCGGGCCATTCATTTATTTGCTTGCCAACCGGAGGCCGTGTAAGACGGCGAGCGAATAGTAGGCCACAAGTTCCAGCAGAACGTCCCTTCTAGACTCTCATGGATCTTTTCCATCTACAACCGCCAGCTTCTCCAATACAATCCATACCTGGTACCTTACAGGCCTCCGACGGCATCGAAATCACGACACTATCCCGGCCGTCCCGTTTCTTTCGCATTCGGACCCGATCCGTGACGAGTCCCGCGCGCAATCGCAATTCCTGCCAAGGCATCCCAAGAGCCCCTCCAGGGCTGCGGCTCAGATTTCGACTTGACAGACACACTCTCGATCGACAGACAGCCACGCGAGCAATCTGCGATACTTCTACTACACATGGCTGAATGGCGCCGGCTGTAGACGAGGACCATGCGCCAAGCGAGTTGACGAGCGAGACAGGGCCACGGCCGCCGGCGGGCGAGTCTGGCGAGTCTGGCGGCGCAGCGGCAGCGCCGGGTCGCACCTTGAGCAGGCTGGACACGCAGCTTGCTTCCAGAGACGACAGCGCCGCCTCGCGACGAGAACAAGCCAGCCGTCGTGCCGAGGGCGAGGGCGAGGGCGAGGGCGAGGGCGAGGGTGACGAGGCAGCGCTGCGCAACGCGACGACATCGCCGAGCTCCGCCACGGTCACCTCGCCGCCGCCGTACTGGCCGCACGCCTTTGCGCACCAGCGCACCGTCTCCAACGTGTCCGCCGAGTCCATCCTGCCGATAACGTTGCGCGACAACGACACGAGCGACGACGACCGGAACAGCGCGTGCTGGGCCAAGAGCGTCGAGATCACCGACTACATTGTCGTCAACGGGAGCAACACCAACATTGGCGCATTCGTCGTCTGGAACGTCCGGGTCGAGACGTTGAGTGTGAGTTTTTTTTTTTTTTCCCCTTTTGCCTGCCGGTCTCCTTTTATTTTGCGCGAAGTTGCTTTGGGGGGCATTGAATTGCCCAATATCTTGCGCGCTTGGGGTTGCTGTTGTTGTTGTAACCTGTGTGTGAGTGAGAGAGAGAGAGAGAGAGAGAGAGAGAGCGCTTGTCTGACGGCTTGATATATTTCTAGGGAAGCTTCATGAATATCCGAAAGCGCTACTCCGAGTTTGACGACTTCCGGCAAAAGCTCACATCCTCGTTTCCCAACTTCAAGGCCGCCGTGCCGGAGCTCCCGCCGAAAAGCGCAATCTTCAAGTTTCGCCCCAAATTTCTAGAGAAGCGCCGCGCCGGGCTGCAATATTTTTTAAAGTATGGATTGCCGTCTCTGCCCAAGATTGAGGCTTGCATAGACTTACCTCTATATGTGCCTACATAAACTAACACGGCGCTTTCCTCGCAGCTGCATTATGTTGAACCCAGAGTTTTCCGGTTCACCTGTTCTTAAAGACTTCCTCTTTGCGTAACTCACGCGGCGCATTCTGAATGTCTTTCAGAGCATCTTTTCGCAGACGGGGAAAAGGGGAAATCAGGACGACGGCGCATGGGTCACAAAAAGAAAAAGAAAACATCGGAGGAGCGCCCAGGTGCAACCGGACGACGATGAAGCCGAGGTTCTCCTCTTTGAGGTAATATTCTTCTTATTCTACATGTATGCTGAGCACGTCCTCCGTACTCAGTATTGTACATGCCTGTGTTATTAGCATCGTTGAGACGGAATACGGTAGGGTAATGGCGGCAGGATAATGCGGCCTTGTATAATAATCAGCATCTGTAGTAGGATACAACTAGGTAATGATAATGAGGAATCCTGAGCAAAGTTACAGACGATCCGACTGTACAAATGATTTGAGCGCTCAAGCAACCCCCTGCGACGACGATACATGCATTCACCCCTTGAGCGATACGCGCTGCACCACCGTTGATTCCATGCCTATCGTGCCACGCCATGTTCGCCCGAACCGCTGCCAGAATACATTACATGTAACGCCTCTGCATGCGGCTCCTCATATTCCACATCCCATCAATTTCATCCAACTAGGTACTAGTATTGCATTCAATCACTGACAGAACAAGCCCCAACCTCTCTCATTGCCCATGTCACGCCCAGCACAGCTCCGCTCCGCCTTGCACCGCCTCAAACATGTTTCGTTACTACCTACCTACTAACATAACTACCTACCTAGTAATACTAGGGCCAACCATGCGAACCGCAGCGTTCGTCTGTTTTTGCTTGGCCCAGAGCGTGCCGTTTCCGAGACAGACACAGAAAATACCTACATAGAGGCGCCATGTTCGGGAATCCTACCCTAATCCCGTCTCGGCTGGGCGCAGCGGATTTGGGTACATGTAGGGGCGACATGGAAGATCGATTGTCCCAAGAGATTTTCGGAGGATTCCGCATGCACGAGGCTGACAGCTGCGTCACTGTGTGATGCGTGGCCATGTAGATATGTATCTATCGACTACTTCTGCTACATATGCAATACATTTGACGATGCCTGGTTCATGAGGAGATCTGTATCCCCTGGTTTTGCCTCCATTGAACGAACGGGGTAGAAACAGGAGGATACATAAGACCACATGTACAGTCTCTTCTCACGTAGAACTAGAGAGACTCCGGGATTCATTGGCCGTTAATTCCATTCTCACAGGCACCTTGGCAGATAGGACAGACCCACGTCACGTCATCTCACTGCATCACTAACTCTTTGGTTTCTGATCCATAAGTTTCTCAGGAAATAACACAGTACATACCTTGCAGTAACTCCCGTGCCACACATCCCCAGGGCGAGCCAGCTTCACTTCAGCTCCCTTGAGCTCCCCTCCAGTGCGCATCCGGCTCTCGCAGCACTTTGTAGTCCCGCCCATCATGGCCCCAGATCTCAGATGGGAGGCGGAGCGTCTCAACGCCTTGCCATGATGGTTTGCTGAACGCCCCGACGCTTTTGGGTCCTTGCGTCACCCCGTCATCAACAAACGGCACCGAATCCCCAGTTCAGGGGCCCGTCTGATAGGTGGTCAGCGCCCAAGCAAACATGTTACCTGGTCCAGCAGACGTACCGCTGTCCATTGGGTCCGTCGAGGCGGCCACGGGTCTCTTTTTTTAGTTCTTATCAGCGTCTTAAAGGGCCGTCTTCCCGTGCCTGTAGTGCCGCCTGTGATCCAAAAAGACGAGCCAGATATAAAGCCTGCCGCCTACCTGGAGCTCAGCTCTTAGATCCGGAGCTTCTGCCGGACAACCCGAAGCTCTAGACCAACCTTCAACTTTCCTTCAGCTTTCTGTTCTCAGCTCGACAATACTTTCTAGCGGATCGAGGATTGACAGTATAAGCCGACGTCGGGTAGCTTTCTGATTAATTCTTCGTCTTTGTCGGCCACACATGCAACCTCGCAGAAGTAGCTGTCTCCCATGGGAGGTTCCAGGAGCTGCATGAACGTGTTAGACGACGACCAGAAGCCATGCATTCCAGAAATCCGACAAGCTCCAGCTTCACCTCCAGCTTCTCCACCCTCACCTCCTCTTCAGCCAAGTCGCAACAGTATTTGGACTCGCTGATACCGCCGTCCCGTGAGCAGTTCGAGCGCATTGCCCATGTGCAAGAGGAAAAGGAAGAGGAAATCAGGCAAAGAGTCAAGGAGCAGAAGCGCAGATCACACCAGGAGAGCAGGCGAAGCTTGCAGTCAGACAGAAGTGATGAGAGGAGCGATGCGGCCCGCGTCATTCAGAAGACATTCCGGGGCTATCGAGCAAGGCGAGCGATGGACGGCTTCACACTGGATCCGAGCACGAGATGGATAACGGCCATTCGCGAGGCCCAGTTCCGCGAAACCACACGACCTCGAGGCAGGTCATTCACCGGTCAGAGTCAAGACACGCTGTCAACTGGGGATACCAACGATGTCCACGCCATCGCCCGGTCGAACTGGAAGAAGCTGGGCATGATTGCTTTGCGAGCCGGCCACGATGACGAGGAGCAAGAGTCCGATTCCGACAGCTCAAGTGCATCGACTGGCTTGTCGCCCCGGGAAAAGGAAGAGCTGAGAAAGCTGCGAGAAGAGGCCAATGCCCAGCGGCGATCAACTGCTCTCACGCTGGGGCTGCAGTACTGGTTAGAGATCGTGGACCAGAAGCACCGGTACGGAACCAACTTGCGCATGTACCACGAGGAATGGAGGAAAGCCGACACCAACGAAAACTTCTTCTACTGGCTCGACTATGGCGAGGGGCGATACATTTCGCTCGACACATGCCCGCGAGACCAACTGGAGAGGGACCAGGTCCGCTATCTGTCGCGAGAGGAGCGCCAGTACTATCTGGCCACTGTCGACGACCAGGGTCGGCTCTGCTGGGCGAAGAACGGCGAGCCCATCGACACGAGCGACAAGTACAGGGACAGCATATATGGCATCGTTCCTGTAGACGATCCAGCACCGCCTTGGCGGCCGGCGGTAGAGCCGAATCCCTACGCCGAATCGTCCAGCGGGCTGACTTCGAGCTCATCAGCCTCGTACTCAGATCCGAACCACGAGCAACACCGTCCAGACAAACACGCCCATCACACCAACCCGCCGCCTGATTCGCGCGACGTCAAGAAGGTGAAGCAGTTTTCCGCCACGTCAACCCTGAACAAGCTGCTGCGGAAGACGGTCAAGGACGGCACGTGGATCTTTGTCGCGGACACGTCGTTCAGGCTCTACATCGGCATCAAGCAGGCGGGCGCATTCCAGCACTCATCGTTCCTCCAAGGCGCCCGCATCTCGGCTGGAGGACTCATCGGCATCAAGGAGGGCAAGCTTACCTTCCTGTCGCCACTCAGCGGCCACTACCGACCCCCGACGTCCAACTTCCGCGCCTTTGTGCGGAGTCTCAAGGCCGAAGGCGTCGACGTGGGACACGTGCCGATATCAAAGGCATACGCCGTCCTGCTGGGCCTGGAAACATACACCAAGACTCGGCGAGTGGGCAAAGACCTTGTGCACAAGGCGATTCACAGGAAGAACAAGACGATCCATCCCAAGGAGACGAAGAAGAAAGAGGAGGAGGAAAAGGATAAGAGCAAGAGCGCGCAAAAGGAGCGACAAGTGGTGGAGATGCAGAAGCGGCAGACTGAACTCGAGAAGCAGGCGCACGTGGAAGAGACGGCCATCAAGGCGCTGAAGAAGCTTCACCTCGTGCCCACGGCTGGGCAGGCATCTGAGAAGAGGAGCGTACCATCTCGTTGAGGGAAAAAGCACTGCTTTGTTTTGGCTCAAGGCATTCATTCTGGCTGCATCGGACTGTTACGGTACATGAAAAATACCCCCCCCTTGGTTTTGTTGATTTTGTTGTTTAGATCAACTCATTCTTGCTGTATGATGCATAGACGAGCGAATTTGATAAACGAACTCTACTAGATGGTTCATTGACACTGTGCCCTTCTTACCTTACATCTGATACCAAAGTGATACCGGGTAGTATTATAATAGCTATCCGTCAACCTACAACGTGTCCAAGGCAGTAGGTAGTCATGGAGCAATGAGTGGTAAGTCTAGCATATATCGAAAATCAGAGAGAGAGCTGCTTGTCTTCTGAGAAAACGTCCTAGAATCCATTCCCGTGTTTGCGTCGGATGCATTGAAAGAGCTCGAAGAACGGAAGCCCCAGAGCTCCGAGTGTCCTGCAAGCTCCAGCTCTAAAAGGAGGCTGAGCACCCCGCTGGAAATTAGTGAGCAGGTCCGCTGTAACGACGCCACCTGCCAGGCGGTTCGGGGGACAAGAGCCACTGGAGCCACTCGCTAGAACCGCCAAACCCCCGTGGCGCGCAGGCGCTAGAGCCCCCTTCTGCACGCAAGGGAGGGAGGAGCAGCTGGAGGAGTAGGTAACTAGCTGGGTAGGTAAGGTAGCTAAGAAAAAAAAAAAAAAAGGCGACAGAGCGTCCGTCCCAAGGAGCGGGAATCGCACAGTTGAATATCAACGTCACGTCGCACGAAAATTACAAAGCGGCATCCGGTGCCCATCGAGCAAAAGACGTCGAGGCAACGCGTGTCCCGCCAAGCGACAGCGCCCTCTGCAGCAGCCCTGAAGAAACATGACAGGCGTGCTCCGGCTTGCCAATGGCCTCCATCACCCGCTCCAACCGGCGAGCTGAGGGCCTTCACCCCTATGACCGTAACGTGAACGCCAGCCCCCTCACGCGCCCGGCGCCTGGGCCAAACTCCTTCCACCACGGCGCGGCGGCGGCGGGCGGTCGCACAAAGCGAAGCCTCGACGTGGCCGAGCGCGACCTCGACGCCCTGCGGCACAAGAAGACGAGGATCGCCGTCGAGATACTCGCAAAGCCCCAGCTGCCTCGCGAGCCCGTGAATGTACAGCCGCCGATACCGCGACGAGCCGCTGTGGCGAGCAGCGCAAGTACGAGTAGGCCGCCGCCGCCTGCTGCCCCTGTGCCGCCCACCAGGCCAGCAGCGTCCACGGCCACCACGTCCACGCCCGCGCCCACGCTCACGCCCGCGCCCATCTCCGCAGCCGCAGCAGACCCGGAGCCGCCCAACGCCAGCCTGACGAAGCACCAGGCCAAAGTAATCAATGGCATACGGCACGAGCTCGATCGTCTGCAGCCGCGCCCCGACGACACCAGGGACACCAAGGAGCAGGGCCGCAAGCTGCGGTCGCAGGAGGCCACCAGGTTCAAGAGCGAGCTGTCTGCCTATTTCCCGGACTACGACGAGGTGATAGGCAACGAGCCCAAGGAACAACGTGAGCAGCCCTTTCTCTTACCTACCTTACCGCTTCTCTCTACCTCTTCTCTTCTCTTTGGGCGTTTGATTTTAACGCGCGAGATTCCCGCTCGATGCCCTCTCGTCAATGACAACGTCTTCGTTTATGTGCTGCACTTGCTTGTTGCACAACGGCGCGTTCTAACCAAACCTCTTTTCTGCAGATTTACTCAACCCCGATACGCCGATTATTATAATCGATAGCAGCTTGTCGCGCGCGATCCCCGACGCTCAACGCACTGGGCCTCGACCCCACCACCACCAGAACCCGAGTGGCGCCGACTTTCCCATCAGAGGATACGGCGATGCGTTGTTCACTGACGTGTTCGACTCGCAGCGGATCGACTTCGGCTTTCTAGACGCTCAACACAAGAACAAGAACATCGAGGACCCCTTACCTGACAGCTTGTTCGAGCCGATCCATAAAAAGGCAGAAAGGGTCGAGCGGTCTATTCGCAACACCGAAAAGGGCCGTGCGCAACATGAAAAGGACCAGATCATCCGACTCCTGGAGGGCCTCCAGGGCCATGACTGGCTGAGAGTCATGGGTGTCAGCGGCGTGACGGAGTCGAAGAAGAAGAAGTTTGAACCGGCCCGGAAGCACTTCATCAAGGGCTGCCAGGCGATACTGGCCAAGTTCCGCAACTGGAGCCTTGAAGAGAAGCGGCGGAAGCTGGAGAAGGAGAAGGCTCTGGCAGAGAAGGCAGAGCGAGAAGGCGAAAGCGACGACAGTGACGCAGAATCCCAGGAAGGGGAGGATACCCGGTCGAGAGAGAGCGACGAGAGTGAGGACGAAGAGGACGAGGACGAGGACGAGGACGAGGACGAGGACGAAGCCGAAGAGGATGAGCCTTCGCAAGACGATGCCAGCGAGACGTCCTCTCCGGCCAAGCAGTTGCGACGCGAAGCAAGGGCGAGATCGAAACTAGCGGCAGCAAACTCCAAGCGGTCACGGCCTGCTCACAAACCTGCACCGCCGACGAAGCCTCCAGAACCCCCAAGAGAGTTTAAATCTTTCTTCGCCAAGAGGTATGAGCGCGAGAGCGCTCTCAACAGGCAGAGACGAGCCGGCAGAAAAATCCTCGCCTGGGGTCATCCCATCCCCGACATAGCGGAAGCCGACTTTATCCTGCCGGAAGAGTATCGGGATGAGGAAACACTAAAGGCGCGTGAGAGGAAGAAGCGCAGGGACAGGCGAGAGCTGCGGACTTTGAAGTAGGTAGGTAACCATTGGATCATTGCTACTCAGGGGCGTCACGCGGGGGAGGCTGGGAGGGCAAAATACAGATTGGCGTCTTGGGGGGGTCTGCTTTACAGGGCGTTTGGCGGTTACGGTGATATCATCTTCGTTCTCAGTTCATACTCGTGCAAGGACAATGGCTCGGCAACATGGAAGTGTTGGGGGCAGCAAGCAGCATGTAAGATACCTACCTAGGTACGGTAGCAGTACAGGTGGTTTAGGTAGTACCTACTATGGTTCTCAGGTTCGTTGTATCAAGGGAGATGCGCAATCCATGCGGAAGATTTCGAAAGATTCAAAGCTCAATGTTGATTAACGCATAGTAATCTGATGAGGAGCGTGACCCTTGAACTCAGCAAACACAGACATGTGAAGCTGAGAACAAACTGAGATGCAAGCAAAAGGGCGTCACCAATGCGTCGATGCGCGAGGCTTTGCCGGCCAATAGCGGGACACGCTGCTCTGCTGGGGTACAGCAAGGTTGGGCCAGTCGGAAGCCACAATGGGCGGCAAGCTGGTCCGTGCTCCTTTCGAGCTTCTTTCGAGAGACGCGCGCCCGCCGCTGGCAACTTGGATCTGTTAAGCAGACCTTTTGCTACGACCTCCAGTTTGTCGCCTTCGCCAGCGCTTCACAGTCTTTTGATTTCCTCGCTGGGCGTATCCAGCTGGTGCCAGATCGCGTTCTGCTTCCGCGGCGCCCTTTCTCTGTCGCCACAGCCGTCGTGCGACTTGCCTCTCCCCACGGCCTCGGGCTCCGAGCAGCGACAGACAAACTCGACTCCAGCAGATGCGATGCAGCTGACGCAGATCTGATAGTCCTCACCTTCGTCTCAGATGCGCTCGCGACGACTTCACCGACCTCGATGCAGTGACTGTGCCATATAAAGCTCGCCGGAGCCCCGCCTCTCTTCCTTCTCTTTCCCACCTCGCTCTTCAACCCACCGCCATCGCCGCCATGGCTGCAGCTCTTCCCAACGGCACCAGCGGCACCAACTCGACGCCCGACATGGACGAAGCGCTGTCGCCTCACCCCCTGCTGGACGGAGACGATGGCCTCCCCCCCATCGAGGACCGGACTGTGACTGGATACTTCGTCTTCAAGCAGGAAGTGAACCTCGAGGTCAACTTTCGAGAGCGACGCATCGATGGCACAACGAATATTTTCATCGTTACCTTTGCCGACAAGGCAGTCGACGAGGTCCTCCTGGACGCTGCCCAGTGCGAGATCGACACCAACAACATCACGGTCACGGAGATGCGAGAGGTCGACGGCGAGCCCGTGGAGGGTCAGAAGCGTAAGGTGACTGCTGAATACCACGACCCTTACGAGAAGCTCTCGCAGCCCAAGGGCTGGAACCTGAGGGCCGACCACCACGACATTCGCCGCATTCGCGCTCGATCCATTTTTCACAGCCGCAAAACCGACGTGCCCGCCGAAAATAGAGGCTTCGAGGGCTTTACGCCGGTCTACGGCTCGCTCAAGGTCAACTTTCGAGGCAAGGGGGAACAGGAACGACCGAGATTGATCATTAGGAAGTCAATGTCGAGCATGGATTCCGTGGAAAAGTCTCACAAGCAATTCAAGATCACCATTCCATTTGTGACCAAGAACCCCCGAGACGGCCTGCACTTTGTTGGCGTTGATCCGCTCGACAACCGATTCACGCACATGTACACTCGCCACTCGATACAACCGGGAACTGCTTGCTGCATCTTTCCATGCGTCGACGATCACGGCGCTCGTTGCGACTGGAGGATATCCATCAAATATCCGCGGACCCTCGGTGACGCCCTTCAGCAGGCTCTTGCGACGAAGAAGGACGGTCCATCTCACAATGGGGCGGACAAGTCGCAGACCGATGGCCATGACCTTCACTTCAAGCTCGCTGAGGAGGACAAGCTGCGAGAGATGTCTGTTGTCTGTTCTGGCTTCCTTATGGAGGAGACGGTCGATCCTGAGGATGACCACAAGAAAATCATGATCTTCGAGCCGGAGAAGCAGGTTTCCGTGCAGAAGCTCGGCTTCGCCATTGGCCCGTTTGAGCACATCAATCTCTCATCAGAGTCCCGAACCGAAGAGGACGAAGTGAAGCTTGGGATGAGCGCACTCAAGATCCACGCCTATTGTTTACCTGGCCGAGCCGACTGGGTTCGCAACACTGCTGCGGCCTTGACTATGGCTGCCGACTACTTCACCTATACTTTTGCCAAGTACCCCTTTGGCAACTTCAAGCTCTGTTTTCTGGATGACATGGTGGAAGACACGGTGGTACTGCATTCTCTGGCCTTCGTCAGCAATCGACTTTTGTATCCCGAGGATATCATCGATCCGGAAATTGAGACGACAAGGAAAGTCGTCCACACTCTTACATCACAGTGGATCGGCATCAACATGATTCCCAACACGCGTAGAGATATGTGGCTTGTTGTTGGCATGGCGCACTTCATGACGGACCTATTCATGAAAAAGCTCTGTGGAAATAATGATTACCGGTTTCGAATGAAAATGATGTCGGACAAGCTCGTCGAGTTGGATGTCGACCGGCCCTCACTGTCAGACCTTGGGCAGAACCTTCACTTGGGCGCTTTTGAAATGGAGTTTATGGAACTCAAGGCACCAGTCGTGTTTTTCATCCTCGACAAGCGCCTCAGCAAAGCATCCGGCGGCCACGGATTGACCCGAATTCTGCAGAAGCAGTTGACCAGGGCGCAGATTGAGGGCAGCGACAAATTTCTCATCCTCGACACTGAAAAGTTTCGAGCCACGTGCGAAAAGGCTGCCAAGTACCGCCTCGAGAGTTTCTGGAACCAGTGGGTGTACGGCTCTGGCTGTCCGCGCTTCGACGTCAAGGCCAAGTTCAACAAGAAGCGGCTCTGTGTCGAACTCATGTTGATACAAGTACAGCATCAGACCATCAAAAAGATGGAGCTCAGCAAGGACCAGTTCTTGCGGGTGGTCCGAGAACGAAGGGCGCATCTCAAGACCGGCGAGATTCAACCGCTGTTTACTGGACCAATGACTGTCCGGATACACGAGGCCGACGGAACGCCGTACGAGCACATTCTGGAGATTCGCGAAGATGCCACGCGGTCCACCAAGTTTGAAATTCCTTACAACACCAAGTACAAACGCCTCAAGAGAACGCGCCGTATGAAGGAGAAGCACAACGTAGGTGCTAGCATGGAGATACCCGAAAACACTGACGACGCTCTTCTCTACTGCCTCGGAGACGTCCTTCAAAGTCCAGAGGATCTGCGTGACTGGGAACTCATTGAGTGGGACCCAGAAACCGAGCGGAAGATGGACCAGGAGTCCTACGAATGGATCCGAGTCGATGCCGATTTCGAGTGGGCATGCAGCATGAACAGGACGCTGGAGCCGTACATGTACGTCTCCCAGCTGCAGCAAGATCGAGACGTTGTCGCTCAGCAGGATGCGATGCTCTACCTGTCCACTGGCCCGCTTCATCCAATCGCCTCTGGCTTCCTCGTGAGGACGCTTGTTGACCGCCGCTATTTCCATGGTATTCGGACCATGGCGGCGCAAGCCCTCACCCGACAAGCCAACATCAAAGACATCCCGATGCTGGGCCTGCGCCAGCTCATGCGCGCCTATCGCGAGATGTTCTGTTATGATCAAACGAACCAGCCCCAGCCAAACGACTTCTCCGACAAGAGACAGTACAACGTACGATGTTCAATCATCAGGGCCATCGCCGAGGTCAGAGATGGTGCGGGCTACTGTCCTGTCGAGGCCCGACAATTCATCCTGGACCAGTTACTCTTCAATAACAACGAAAACAATCCGTTTTCCGACCATCACTACATTGCCGTTCTGGTTGAGGCACTGGCCACGTCGCTCATCCCGACGCAGGCGGACGAGTGGTTCAAACGCCAAGTCAAGATACCCTCCGATGAAGAACGTCACTTCCTCGACCAGGCGCTGGAGCAGATAGAACGAGTCCTTAGACGTGACGAGTGGACAAGCTCCTACCAGAACATTTGGACCATCGCAGGGTTGGATGCGAAGCAGCGCCTCATGAAGGCAGAAGTGATACCGTTGGACTATGCCGACTTTGGACAATACTTGTTGGACGGGACCCAGGACCTCATCCGCATCAAGTGCTTCGAGGCTCTGATCGACCTTGGAGCCCTGATGGATCCGACCTTCTTCACCTTCCTGTTCTACTCGCTCATGACGGATCGGTCGCCCTTTGTCCGCGATAAACTCATCCAGGCCGTCGCTCGAGGGCTTGCTGCCATTGCATTCGGGGAACACTCAAAGGCCGTTAAGAACGAGCCTGCCTCGGACGAAGCAGATGCTCTGTTGCTTATCCAGGATAGTGCTGAAGAAGTGGCCGCCAGGAGGGAGAAGTTCGCTCGAAAGGAGAATCTGGACGCGGCACTGAAAGCTCTGAGGAAGGAAATGGACGAGACGTATGCTGCCGATGAGAGGCACTACAGCACTGCCATGCGCAAGGCATTGGACCACCCCGCCCTCGGACGGGCTGAAGTCGAATCGCTTCTTGACCTGGCCGCCATGATGTTTGAAGAAGCAAGAAGCTGGGTGCTCACCCTTAACCTGCCCAAGGGCTGGACGGTGGAGCGGCCTGCGCAGCAGCTCTCTGACCGGGTAAGTTGTTACCTATCCCCTTTTCTCTCTCTTCCCTCTCCCAGTCCCTATTAGATTGCTAACAGTCTGTAGTTGATTGTCAAGTTCAAGTCTTACTACAAGACGAAGCCCAAGAGTGCAGCAGCGCCTCCACCACGGCCGCCCGCGCCCGACGCCATCAGGGTGCCTCTCCCAGCACCAAAGCCATCGTCGATTAAGATCAGCACCAAGGCTGCACAGCAACTCTCACCATCTCGGCCTGCCCCTGCTCCGTTTCCGACGACTTCCAGTGACACTATAGTTGCCGCCGGTCGTCCAACGAATGGCACTGGTCTTCCTCCAAAGACGACGGTCAAGCCAGAGTCTC